ATGATCGATGCTAAGGAAGAGTATTTCTTGGGGATTTTTGCAATATGAAGTTATTTTTCACCTAACTAATTGCAATTATTAATCTTTTTACTAATTCAAGGCCAAACCCAAGTAATGTTTTGGTTTAATTTAGCTATAGTTTGGCAAAAGGTTAAACTAATACCTCAAAGTCAGTTTGGCGAACTGAACTTTAAGCTGAGCTATTAGGTTTTGATTTATAGCAAAATATAGATGCCAAGGTGGCGGATTAATAGTATAAAATCAAACAAGCTTATGATGCAAAACGTGTTGTTATGTAAATTAGAGGTAGTATATTGATTATCGTTTGGGTTTATAGTATAGTATAGTATAGTATAATCTCTAAAAGCAAAGTAATTGTTAAATATAAACGTGATGACAATCGTTTTGAAGGGGAAGTGGTAGCAAGCTGAATTTTTATGGATTTTAAATGATTAATAAATATGTTAATAGGAATAATATAAAAGCTTAACTTCAAATCGGTAAGGTAAGAATACAGAGATGAAAGTATCCTAAAAATTCTTAATAAGGTATCTTATAATTTTATATTCTTGTTTGAAAATTGATTTATATATCTTTAAATACCTTCTTGATACCATAAAAACCATCAAGTATAATCAAGAATGAATCTGACTTCATAGTTAGTATTCCACAAATCTCTTCCTGCCCAAAAGCTCTATAAATTTTCATATTTTTTAGGGGTAAGAGTATCCAAATTTCATTGTGAACTCTAACAAATGTCAACCATATCCCACTGCAATTGTAATTTTCTTTTGCTTTCTTCTCGCATTTCATTTTTGTTATTGTGAAATTGTTCAATCATTTTTCTTCTCTTTAGCCAGTCTGTGGCCCCTTTTCAAGATGTCGATGAGGATGATGTGAGATGCGTTATGCGATATGTGGACCACTTTGGCTTATGATGGAATTGACACTTCAGTTTCTGTGACAGACGAAGTGCGGGATGGCCATCAGAAACAGGGAACACTCATATATAAAGTACCTAAGTATAATTCTCCAACTTATAGTAAGAAATGTACATATATAGAGAGGGAAATGGCAGTGGATAGTGGAGGCAGACGACGCACTTGAAATGCATAAAATGGCATTTTCCATTGTGTGTGCAATGAATGGTGGGTGTTTTTCCTTCTCTATTTTTTTTCTTTTGACTAGAAAGAGGAGGGATTTTTACGGCCAAGTGGAGTTTTTGAGATGCGTTTGTTAGTGCTAATGGCGCATTTATAACCAGAGGGTTGCAAACTAAAAGCTTCCATGGGGGGGTGTGCCAGTATGTGGCCTATCATTCGATCTCCTTTCACTTGACAAAATAAACTCAAAGTCCCTGAAATCATTCATAGATTTTAGTAACAGCTGGGTAAACCCTCTGTGTAAATTGTTTTATCATTACGAAAAAGTTTGAGTTTTGGATTTCCGCTAATTGCCAAATGCCAGCCCTGAAGTTTTGCCTTGGTTTAATTTCCATTTTATATGTTTTTCTTTGTTTGTAAGTAAGTCTATGTGTGAGTGTAATCTAAGCTGGGAAATAAGAGCGGTTGGGTTGGAGGTCTTACTATATAGCCTACATAACTGTAAGTTCCCACTGCCGCACGCTTTGTTGCAACACATTTCCTTTAACCCATAAAAACCAAGCACATGCGCAGCGTCAAAAAAAAAGATACATCTGATGTATGTAAAAGGCGGAAAACAATGGGAAAAACAGGGCGAAATGAGTTGGAAATTGAGAACGAATGAAGAAACTGCCGGCGGATATATCACGCTTTGTTGTTGTTGTTGTTGTTTGTGGTGGGTTGTATATATGTATGTATGTATGGGTATGTATCTAGGTTCTTCCCGTATCAATCATAATTAGGAAGCCAGTTTCTGTAAGTTTTAAGAAACTCTATAATGTTCCACCGTCTCTTAGACCCTCACACCCAGGCACATAGCCAATGACTTTAGTTTTTACGTTCGTGAGAATTCATCATATGCGTGTGTTTAGAGTTACAGAGAGAGAAAAAAGGAGTTGTTATATTTGCAGGCTTAAAAGTTGGAGTCTAAGTAATAAGGTTTAAGGTAAAGTTAAGATGAAATAGTAAGAAAGTCGGAATAAATGTCTGTAAAACTTTATACATTATCATTTTTCACACTTTAATAAAGCAATTTAAAATTTACAGAGCATTGCAGTAAAGTTTTTAAAGAACTTTTCATACTTTTAGTTTGTTTTATCAGTTAAAAGTACTAAAAATAAAATCAACCAGCAGCCTATCAAATAAATTTCCATAATAAAAAACAAGCACATGAAAAAATCCCCTCAGAAAATCAACGTCTTAATCTCATTTTAAGAACAAAACACTTTTAATACCCCCTTTTAAACCTCCCAAAATAACCCCCTCTTAAGTCCCATCCTTTAATCTCAAATTCAAATGTGTTTTTTATTTCTTGGAGTGTTCTTTATGCAGCTGCACTTGCCTTCATCCGCCTCTCAGAGCCCACATCCCAGCACATCAAATGTTTAGTGCTTAATAAAGTGTGTTATGTCTTTTGTGTAATTATTTTTAGCTTTAGTCGCGCTTGATTGCCGTGTTAGTGGAGAGGAACAAAAAAAAGAAAATGGAAGTAGGAAAAGCCCCCAAAGGCGTTTCTAAACGTGTGTGGGCTCTGTACCCCTCCTCCGCCCACCAAATAACACAAAGATCTTAAAGGTTTCAGGCCAAGCTTCGAAAATTAACCCCCCTCCCTCTCTCTCTCTGAATATATATAACCAAAAAATATATATATACCCCTTACATAGTATGTAAATGCCTGATGAGAGTTCCACCTACAAGGTGCTTTGGGCTTTTGGGTTTCTATTTGCACAGGTGTTTTTAGCACCTGGGTTCATGGGTGCCTGATGTGTTTGGGGCATTAGTTATCATCATCTGGGGGCGTGTCACTGGTGTTAAGTGCTAAAAGGCATTCGACTGCACTTTTCTGTAATAATTAGCACATCATGACTGGTAAATAGAGGCCACCACAGTGAGGGTTAGTGTTCTCTTTCTCTGATGGAAGCAGTTTTACCTACTTTAAGGGATATATGTCACAGATAAAAGGTAAATGTTTGAATGTACTTGATAATTAACTAAAGTTAAGGTCAAAAACTAAGTTTATTTGGTTAGTCAGCCACTTAATCTAGAGGGTTTCCCTTATCTTAACTTAATTTTAGTCTATTTAAGCCAAAAAACGAGGCCTAATCATGATAATCTTCTAGGGTTTTAATCTTTTTCTGATAGCCAAGACTAAATCAATCTAAGAACAAAGTTAAATCACCCCCTCTACTTCTTACCCCTCTTGTACTTCCCGACTTTTCCATTATCTATGCAGAAAAACTTCAATAGTTCGGCGTAAACTTTCGTTTGTTTTCACATCGCGATTGCTTTTCCCACGAAAATCATTCAGCAGATGGCTTTTTGATTGCGCTGACTGCTAATTTTTGGAGAGGTAATGGCCCGCGAGGCAAACTCGAAATTCGAATCGAAAATCGCATCGCAGCATAATTCAATTTTCGCTTATGGCCAAAATGGAAACCGGTCCAAAATGCCAGCCATCTCACAGCAATCAGCTAATAATAAAGATTTTAAACTAATTGGCTCATTTAGCGCAAAAGAAAAATAAAAAAAAGGAACAAAATCATTATAATAATAATGATGACGATGACTGATGACTACTTCATCGATAAGTCGCAAAATCATGGATCTTGGCCTTCGGAAAATGGAGAGGCGTAGAAGGGGGGTGTACTGTAAGTCGCCAGAAATTAATTATACAAAAGTTTTCCCATTGCAAGGTTCTCGTTTTTTTTTTCAATTTTTTCAGATTGCGTTTGTCTTTCACTCTCCCATTTTTTGTCAGCGATTTTGCAAATTGAAAAGCTTCTCCGCCCCTCACGAACTCTACCCTCGACCAATGACCTTTATCGCGAAAGTCATTAACGAAGGAATTGGGGCATGGCAAAGGACGCAGAGGCAGTTGCCATCGAAGGACGACCAAGAAGGACAGCATTGATTAAGTAGAAGGAAACACATAAAAGCTGCTGGACATAATCGCCTGCCCTCCGAGGGGGGTCAAAAGGGGGTGGCCTGCACTGAGAGGAAAGTGGTGGTCTAAGATTTATTAATGAATTTGTATTTGAAAGACAATATTATAACTAACTTGTAACTCTTTTTTTAAATTTGAAAAACATCATTTATTCATTTTTTAAAGAATTTATTAATTTTAAGAAAATGTTCATTCATTTTAGGAAAACTTCAATTTATTAATTTAAGAAAAAATATATTTATTTTATGGATGATTTATTCATTTTAGAAAAAAGTTCAGTCATTATGAGACTACATAATTGTTATGGAAAGTTGATTAATTTTATGAAAACTTCATTAATTTTTATAATTTATTGTATGAAAACGTTCATTCATTTTATGGAAAATATTTTTTATTTTATAAAAAATTATTCTGTTTGGAAAAAGTATTTAAAGTATTTTATTTTATTTCTTCATTTTATAAATAATTTATTTATTTTATAGAAAAATATTATCAATTTTATGGAAGAAAAGTATTTATTTGAGGAGAAAATTCATTCATTTTAAAAAATTTAATGAATTTTACTAAAAGTATATTCATTGTATGAAAAGTTCGTTAATATTACATAACATTCATCCTATAAAATTAAGAAAATTCTTGTTAGATTAGTTTTTTTTCATTTTTCAATTGTTATTTCTGGCACTTTGGAAACTTTACAAACATTTTTAGGGATTTCATTAAAAATAAACATTTCTTTTACCTTTAATCTAAGCAATAAAAAATATATTTTAAAGTAAATCCCATTAAAAATCATTTCTTTTAAAATGTTCCCTTGGAATTACTGTTCAATAATCAGCTCTCAGAATTTCCCTAATTTCCCAAAAAAAAATCCCTATAAATTTCCCTAGTGTATTAACGGTTTGCTGGTGACTTACTTGCGTGCCAGGCGCTTCCTTATTCCCGCGAACATTTTGGGTTCTCCTTGGGCTGCTCGCCTTTATCCGCTTTTATGTCCGTACTAATGTTGTATTGTAAATTAAATTGCCGATTTCCGGAAGGTTCACGTGCCCCAAACGCTTCGACGCTCCAACGACGCTATCTTCCTCGCACTCCCCGACGAGTTAACAGAAAAAAAAGGGCAACAGAATACGGCGGCGACACTTAAAATTAATTAAAAAAACAGCAAAAAAGCGCAAACGCAATTGTCGCGCAGCTTCACTTCATGTACTTGTACTTGTTGTTGTTTTTTAGCTTGTTTTTGTTCATTTGGCGAGTTGTTATTGGAGTTGTAGTTGTTGTGATTGGCAGCTTTCGGACGCCTCATTGCAAGAGGCGAACAAACAAACAAACAACAAAAAACCAGCTAACAAACAAATGGGAAAAACAGAAACCGAAATGAAAATCAATTAGCCAAAGTAGCCAGCTGCAACTGTTTCGCCGGAGATTTATATATATATCTTATATTCGGACGGATTGTGCAATCCGTAATTCGTAATTCGTAATTCCTAATTCGACGGCATCAATAATCCTCAGCTTGCAGCATTTCCCAACGCACAAGAAAAACACTTTCAATGCACCAAAATATTTTCATTCACTTTGCCTTCACGTTGACGAATCTCATTGAAGTTTATTTTCTATTTTTCTTTTCATAGAGCTGCAATGAGAAAAGTAGAGAAATTCACACATTAGTTTCATATATATTTTCAGTTCATTTATATCAACAAATTTGAAAGAGAAAAAGAGGGAAAATTGGTTCGGAAAGGGGGGCAGCCTTAAGCGTTTTATATAATTGACGTGTCGAGTGACAAATTCGAGGCATTTGCCTCCAAACAAGTCGCAACGAATCGGATTTTAGGGTCTCGGCTTATGACAAGTTACAGCATCAGCAGAAATTTCGTAACTCTTGAAGGGCAGAAAAATTTGTGATTTACTATAGCTATTGGATATGGTATGAAAAGTTGGGGAAAAAAGATCTTTAAAAAGATGTTATGTGGGCTTATTAAGGGTGGTATATGAGCTATGGCAGGGTCAGGTTTTCATTTACTAGCGGAATTTGTAGTTAGAATCAGTCTAAACTATTTTAAAAAATATTGATAAATGAGGGATCTTATTATGGTTAGAAATAGTTAAAATTATGTTTAAGCTAGTCAAACAAATATTATATCTGGTAAAAATACAGGGTGGCCCATGTAACGTTTGCTTTTTGACTTATCTATAATTTTGACTTTGACATTCGAATGTTATTGTCAATGTGTCAGATATTTAGTAAAAGGTTTGCGGCTTATACTCAAAGAAAATTAAAAAATATTGATATATTCATAGCGATTTTAAAACGCAAGTCTTTCGTGGGCCGCCCTATAGTAGAAATTATGTTTAAGTTAATCAAACTAATCTGATAATAAGAGTAAAAATCATGCCAACTTAAGTTTAGTTAAACAAAATGACCAAACTGTTTTACAAAGACTATAAATATTGGTTCAATTTTAAGTAAAATAGTATAATTTATTCAGAAAACAGAACGAAGCTAACGTACAGTTTTTCTCTTACGATTTCATCAGATTTTCCTTAGAATAAAAAGGCAGATCTGTAAGCACACCTTGTAGTATGTAATTATTATCTTTCAAACTATTAAAGTTCATTTGTATTCATCTTGTCATGTTTTCAACGACCATAGATATTCCATTAGCAAACACTTAGATGCAAATACCTGTAGCAATTAATACTTATTAATGAGCAGAGAAGATTCTGGCCAAGTTTTAATGATGTTTCAGGCCTAACGAGATTTGCAATTAAAAGCCGTGCTCGACTTCCTTAAGCCATTTGGCTGGCTAAACAACTGTTACCGTGTGAAGGCATTTAGTAGACCAAAAGGCCCGCAGAAGTGAAGATTTATGGTTTGTAAATTTTTTGATGGAAGCGAGAGGGGAATATTTTGCAGAAGAACAGACCACTGGTGGAGGAGCAGTATGGGAATGGGAATGTCTGGCATTTCGGATGGAGACCCACTGATAAGCCGGCCGTGCGATCTCTGCCAGAACAGAACGGGGAACATCAATCATGGCCTCAATCTGTGTGTGACCCCCATCCTTTTCTCTTTTTTTTTGTTGTTGGCCAGAACGGATGCAGATGTAATTATGGCCCTCTCTCTGGTCTTTTCGGTCACCCCCCTTTACGGTGCTAATGGCGTATTTGGTTACAGTTTCGGCCCTGCACTTGGCTCACATACGTAGAGTTGCTAGCACAGAAGCGGCAACAGATGGAGCTGCATCTACACACACTTACCCAGCCATGACAAAGAACATGTTTTTTTCTCTGTATTTTCCAGTGTTTTCATACGATTTTCCTTTTGGTTTTTCTTCGTTTTTTCAACCAACTTGCCAGCGAGAGCGTGAAAACAGCAAAACGCAACAACTTCAAGCTTCTCACGCATTTGTATTTTTTGTATCTGTATTTTGTATCTGAGAGTGTGCATCTACGTACTGTATATACTGTATCTATTGGAGATTGCAACACGTACGAACTATGCCTTATTCCCCTCCTGTTCCTGTACCCACACAGAGAGAAAATGCTACCCGATTTGGTCATGGGTTCGTGTCTTAATTATGCCTTTTGTGGTATGAGAGTGTGACATATATATATAATATCTTTTCGATAAGATTTTTTATGCTTTATGGGACAAATATTAGAGGAATATTGACTTGGAAGGGCAATAAGAAGATCAAAAAACACCTTTTAATGATATCTTAGGGATGCACAGAAAATATCTCACAAAGATATCTTTAAATTAGATACAAACAATGTTAAATTTGATGTGCTAATAGGATAAGTAATATGAAATTTATAAACTTCATATGTTTTTAGAACTTTTTGTTACAAATTCAACGAAAAAATACTCCAAATTAGTTTTCAGTGTCGCCCTTGTTATGCTTGATGTTCCGCATTTTACTGTGCCGCTATTTCGGGTCGTTCCCCCTTTTTTACGCTTTTCCCTTGCACCAGCGCCGGTGCTTTCCCGGCTTCCCGCTTTTTCCCATTTTCCCCTGAATGAACAAACGGAAACCTGCCGCATACGATACGCCTCAGCGAGCGTGCAATTACCACCGCAAAACACTGCTTCTGGATGGGAGTCTATATACGAATACGAAACTGACTCTGACTCTGAATCTGAATCCATTCTAAACTAGCCAGCCAGCCATTCAGCCATTCTAAATATCGAAATGTATCTGAAGCTCGAAAATAGTGCAATATCGCCGGCAAGTGGAACTCTTCTGATTTATGGCCCATTGTATCCGACAGATACAAAACGCTTTTTACCAACACTCGAGGTCTACAAGTGGCTGCCTGGCGGTGCATTGTCTACACCCCTCTCTTCATTCTGCTCTCTTCTACTATATCTAGATACATATATATACTTATATACTCCTCCAACTGCCCTCGTTTACTGATTACTTTGCACTCTTCAGCAAGTGAAATCCAAGACTCAACGCCCACAGATTGAACAACAAAGAGTTGCTCACATTTCGAGGGGAGGAGTAACTTGGCTGCAGTAGGAGGGGTTAGAGCTGCAACAAAGTGTCACCCACATGCCACTATCTCTCCAGATTAGAGAACAATCCCAGCTCAACTGGCTAAGGAATTCGCCAGAGCGCCTTTTGTTGACCCAAAGCTAAGGTAATGGAGATGATTTCTTAATTGATTTAAGTTTAGTTTAGGCTAAGGCAGGCGGTGGATTAAGTTAGGCACAAGGAAAAGGCCTTTATCAATTACTTTTCAAAAGGGGGGAAATTCATTTTCTTAAGTGGCTTTTTATGGGTTAAGTTAACTTATGGAAATCTTTAGGTGTTTTTAAGGAGGCAAACTTATCTGTCCTAGTTTTGTTAGGTATAATAATAATCCATTTTCTTCACCATTCAAGAGAGCTCTTAACTTTCAGAGGTAGAAAGATTGATTTTCAGATTATAATGCCCTAATATTGTGAAAAATATTAACCAAAAAAAGATTTTATCTATTTTAATTATTCATTCAAGAACTTGTTTCTTAATAACGTCGAGATACTGAGACTTTTTAGTTAGTAAACTAATAAAACAAGCACTTCCATCAGTCCCTCTAAATATCTCTCAAAAATCAAACCAAAGAAGACTTCATGAAACGCAAACATACAAAGTTTTTGCCCAATTTAGCTGAGGCAGAATCTTATGTTTTCTTTCTTTTTTTTAGCTTTTTCCATTGGCAGATGAAAAACGAGGCAAGAAAACTGCGACGAGCAAATGTGCGAAATAAAAATTTCATAACGTGAAATTAGCGCACATAACTCGAATGCAAATGCAATTTGGGCACGTCGTTGGTTGGTTGCTCAAAATCTAAGGGGGTTGGGGAGGGGTGGCATGGAAGGGGGGGATCCAGAGGAGCCAACTGATGCCGTCGATGACGAGTCGCTGATGGGGAATATGACTAGCTGGCTGGCTGGCTGGCTGGCTGACTGGCTGGCTGAGTTCGGTTCGAGTTGCTTGGCTGCCCATAAACGAAGCAGCAGCTGCATTACGAAAAACTCCTTTCTGCCTCCCTTTAGAACCCCCTTTTTGCCCCTTTTTTGCAGCAATATCTCGAGTAACGGGATTTATAATTAAACATAAGCCCGACGGATCCGCAGACTCAGCGACTCGCCAAAGGCACGCACAACTCCATTTATGCCAATAAGCAAAAGTATCTCGAACAGCCCTGCTTTTCATTTATATTTTCCTTTTATTTTTTTTCATTTTGCTGTCAGGGAATGTGTCGCCAAGTTGGCTACCTCACAGCCTCACTCGCAGCAAAAAAAGCAACAAAAAAACATATCGAAATGAGAGCGCAAAATAAACAAATCATAAATCTGTGAAAAATATGTTTTATGGCTATGTACATGACCGCGACCACCCAAAAATATATTTCCTCCTCTCGCTCTCCTTCTCTCTTTCTCTAGCGCTCTTTGAGATATAAAATTTGTATCCCACAGATGCGTAGATACTTTCGTGTGTTTTCAAGTTGTCAGCATTTTTGAAACTAAATTTTATTTCCATTTCCTATTTTTTTCCTCCGTTTTATGTCCAATTAGAGGGAAAAATGGCTGTGTAAATATCCAAGTTCCCTCCCTGCCACTTCTGTTTGTTTGTTTTTTCACAGCAGTTTGATGGTTAATCGAGTGAAATGCAATCAAATTTACATTTCCCTGCCAAACTGACAAGTAAACTATTCGCTTACCTCCCCTTGCCACCCTTTCAAGTGCCTTACCCATAATAAATGCCAATAAAAGTTCACATTTAACCCATAAAACTTCGATCGGGGAATTGTTACCTTCGTTTGGTCTTTTTTTTTTTTTTACATGGCTTCAGCTCAATTTCAACTTTTATTGAAGTGCCAGCAGGCGGGGGGTGCGGCGGTGCAAAAACAACTACGGAAATCCTCTCGATGACAGGTGTAAGGGCAGCCCATACAGGTGTGTTCCTCGCCAACGGGAAATGGGAAACTGTGAAACTGGCAACTCGAATGTGCTAAAAACTACCCAGAGAATCCAATTAAAATGCTGTATTTGCCAATCTTCTTCGGATTAGATTGGTATTACCGATGGCAATGCTTTCAAAATGATGTTTAATTAGTAAAGATGCTTAAGAGGTTAAATACGGATTTTATCTTTAATCAACAGATAATAAAAATTGATTTTATGCTGTTATAGCAAAGCTTTTATAGTAATTTTTATTTGCCAGTCTTGTTTGCTTTTTAAAAGTAACTCAGTTTTAGTTTTGCAGACTAGATTGAAGTTAAATCGCTTATGGAAATGCTTATCAATATGCCTTAACTTCTTCTATGACTTCTTAACCTTTAATTCATTTAATTATGATTTTTTATTGGTTATTCCTTAAGTTAAAATCAGTTTTTTACATGGAAACATAACATTACATGGAAAATTCATTCTTCTTACCAACTTTTCCCCATCAAATCTTACAAATAAAAGCTTTTCCTATCTTTTTTGTCAACCTTTCACAATCACCTATATTTTCTAGACAAATTTGTGTTATTTCCCATTCAGGAAAAGCACTTGGTATCCTCCTCGCTTCCATTTTATGAGTCTATCGAACCCTGCTATCTACAGTCGGAAAACCCACCGCTGTTCCCCATAGATTTATAGCTTTGCAAAGCAATGTTGGTATATATATATTATATATCTCTACACTATCTCTGGCCTGTCGAGCCCAATCAATTGATGGAAAATTGCTCTAGTCTAAGCCAAAGTCTCAATTGTAAAACCGTCGTGTGGAAAATGTAAACACATTTATGCTAGGCAAACATTTTTCCGCGCTTCCTGGCTGGTTAGCAAGTACAAAACACACCCACCCACCCACTGACCCCGATGTTGTAAATCTCCCTCTGGCTTTATCTTGAGCCTCTGCGTTTTTATTAACAGTCAGCAGAAACTATGCCAAGGCAAGAACTCAGCTTTTTCAAGGGGCTTTCATGGTGAATACTCGTGGATTTTGGCCAGATTAGCCAGAGATAAGAGGGCTACGAGGGCTAAGAGGGGGAAGTGGCTAAGGCAAAACCATAAAATCGAGAAGCGGAAGCCTCATTATTTGCTTGGGTAATTAGCGTAAATTGGAGTAACATAAGCTGGCTAAAAAGACAGAGCGAATGCTGGACACAAAGTAATTGTATTAAGTAGCCAAATTGAATAATGAAAATGAAATAACCAATTAAGAGCCCCAGGAAGTGGCCAAAAATAGCAGCCACAAGGCAAACTAAAAACCAAACAAACACACATATGACACCATCCATGGCTCCATTAGCTTCATCATTGACTAAAAAGTATAAAGCTATATATATATATATATAGTATCTGTATAGTAAACCAGTTACCGGTTTGAAGACTCCCTCCCAGGCGACAAAAGTTCTGTTTGCCGAAAAAGTTTAAAGGGGGTTCTCGGGGGACGGCTAAGGTGTTGCGAAGTAGGATGTGGCCAAAGATTGTGTTATGAATTTGTGAATCAGAACCAGTTCGGCAAGTTGCTGGCTAAAACGCCAAAACTACAAGACAAACAAAGGCTAAGATACAAATGATACTACAGTAGACTATATACATGTATCTTTTTATATAAAGAGTTAGGAGGCAGAGACCGAGCCAAGTGTTGATTTCAATTGTTGGCCGTAAAAATGGGCTCGAGCTGAAGAAAAGGTGTCAAGCCAACCTTGCCCTGCTTGAAATTCATATAAAACTGAAATTTAAATGCCGGAGAAACGACATAAAACGAATCACCATAAAATGCGAAACGTGCCCCAAACCAAAAGTTTTGAATAGCTCAAAAAAAAAAATACAAGAAAAAAACAAGCGAGAAAAAAGTGGAAAATTAGTGCGTGCCTGGAAATGGTTTTGGCCATGAGATTGGGCCCTCTGGAATTGCGAAGAGTCAACATAGCTGCTCCATATCTCCATCTCTCACATCACATCAGAACACCCTGCTCTCTCTCTCGCTCCCTGCCTGCCTCAAGGAATTTATGATATGAGCCCAAATGAGATATGGTTATGGCTGATGTGTTTGCGTTTGTCAACTGGCAATAGGCAGACAGTTGGGCATTCCACACATATATATATATATGAATATATATAGAAGACTATAGCTGAAAGTTGGGTAGTTAAGATATACAACGGGGATAGCGCCACCTATGGGGTATAACCTCCTTCCACCCTCTCAGCTAGTCTCAACCCCATCCATATGCGTATGCAAATGTCAGCTTATGTGGAGCAGCAACCCTAGCTGTGGCTTTATTTATTTCCCAGCGACACGAGAAGTCTCACCCTTACCCTCTCCCTCGCAATTTTCCTTAGTACCTCTTCTTTTTTTGGTTGGAAAATTCCTGTGGTTCTGTTGACAGAACAATTTTTTTGTCGTTGTAAAAGTTTTCTTTTTTTTTATATATTTTAGTTTCAGCTTAATCCCTTAGTGAGCTGAAACTCTCGTTTCCTTTATCATTGCTATTTTTTATCATTTATTTTATTTATTTGTGTAAATATTTTTCATTTTTTTTAGGTTTGTTGGCTTAACAATTGTTTTGCCATGTTTTTGTGTGGCTAACTAAATATTTTCATCGGCCAGCGGTCTGTTTTGGCTTTCATTTATCATCTTTTTTCATTGTGGAAATAAATAAAAGAGAAGACTTTTCATTGCCTTTAAACCACAAATTGTGAATTTATGCAAAAGTTTAAATGGAATTTAGGTTTTAACTTTCCTTAAATACATTTTCTGGCATTAAGTTCCTTAACATTAACTTTAATATATTAAATTTTCCATAAATTCCCATCAAACCCCTCTCTCTCGCCCACAAAACCCATTCATCTACTGCGGCTTCTCACCTTATAAATTCTTTTGTGGCAACAGTTTGCGGCTTTGGCTGACCATAAATAATTGCAGCTTAAGCTGAACTTAATTTCAGTTTAAGCTCAATTTTCGCAGAAACTCTTTTCCCTGACCAGTGCCTAGCTGTCTTCATTCATTATGCAAATCAAATAATTTTGTACATGTGTAGTCATGTTTTCTATATATAAAAAAAAAGTAAAAAAAACACGCACACCTTTTGCGGACGCAGGCGCACCTTTGTGCTTCCGGTTTTTGTGGCAGCAGCACGTGCGTGAAAATTGCGCCAGTTGGTTGGGTGGAGAGAGGGAGGCCCAAAACACATTATGATTGTTGTGGCAACAACGGTCGTAATTAAAATGCTAGAAATTAAAGTCACAGCCACGTCTTTGGTGTTGACTCTTTTTTTGTAACAAGTTTTCTTTATGGCAAACGGCGTTAGGATTGCATAATGCCAAGGCTGAAGAAGAGTTCTCCCCCTCTTTGTTTTTTATATATATAAAAACTACTTCTTTTAGCTGAATGTTTGTGCAATGAACCATCAGCATTTCGCTTAGTTTGCTGAAGGAATTCATTAATAATTTCCAGTGAACAAATGCTGCCCCTAATCTTATCAGAAATGCGTTTTCCGAAGGGGGAAGAGGGAGCCGCAAAGGCACTTCTCCACTTTCCATTACTCATTGAGCCATTAGGGTTGCGAAATGCTATTGGAAGTCGGTGGCAATTCGAGCTACCATTCCCATTGGGATTATTAATTGAATCAATGACAAACCGAAATTCAATAAACAATAACCAGGGGAGCTCTTATCGATGGGGCGCCATGTGGCGTATGCGCAATAATATTACGCATACGTTCGATCCCATAAAATTGTGCAAGCTAACGGCATGAAAGTTGAAGTGGAATTGAAATCGAACTAAGGCTAAAAGTTATTTCCGCAAGAAGTCCAAAAGTTAAAAGCATATATAGCCTGCCAATCGTTATCGTTATCGCTGCCCTTATCAGCCAGAGATAGGCATCGATGACACTGATAATTGACGGCAATCATTGAGCAATTGACAAGTTCATTTAAGGGACAACGCAAATAAAAGCAACAAAGTCTTCCAATGGCGCCTACAGCTGCTGGAATTAACATATTGGTGGTCGGTGGACGGTGGTCGATAGAGGAAGAGATGATAGACGGGAAAAGGGGATAGAGCTGTATTTCAGTACACAGTAGAACTTCTTTAAAACAAATTATCTGCTCTATAAAGATTTAAAAATTTTACATTCTGAGATTCACATATAGCATGATAGAGATTTAACTTCAGTAAAAGAGAAAGAATGTCCTATATTTTCCTATAAAAAGTTCTTTAGCTTTAAGGGAACAATTTTTGATAGGTAGAACCTTTTTTGTTATAAAAAGAAAACTGAAATTCTTTCAGAAAGTTTAATTCATGAATATAAAATTAACATTTTTAAAGACTTATTTCCAAAATTCATATAAGCTTAAGATAAATAAAAGTTATACAAGTTTCCTGATTCATAATTCATTTCTAAGTTTTAAGTTCATTTCATGTTTTAAATTTGCCTTTGCCTTATATATGAATGATTTTTGTTGTTATTTGCTAATTGGAATGTTATTAGGAATGTTATTTGTGCTTCTATAAAGCAATATTATTAGTTTTGGAGTATTTTTTATATGATTCATATAGGCATTTAATTAATTTTATGCTATGAAATCAAAAGCTGAGAATGTTTAAGTTTCATGTTTCTAAGATGAATTTATTTAACTAAAGATCTCTACAAAATGAAGAAAGAGATTATCAGAAACTTAGTTTAGTCTTTTTAAAAAATAAAGACATGTGAATGAAAAATCATATAATTGGCTTTCATTAGTAAACTTAATAAGTAAGTACTCCCAAAGCTTCTCATTTTAAAGAAACATTTCTAATGACTAAGTAAGTCTTAATAATATAAGAATTTAAAACAACAAAATAAACTGATCATAAATATCTTACAAAAAACAAACGGAAACAAAAAACTAATTTTGAAACCTTTATAAATTCCACTCATCAAAGTTTGACTGTATTAGAACTAAAAAAAGCAACAACAAAAACAACAAAATAACAGATGAGATGGGGGCAGTTTGAGATAATTATATGTAAATGGGTTTTTGTCGCCTGTTGTTATCAGGCATTTGGAAGCAGTTCAAAAGGGTGGCATCGGTGGGTCTCATTAAGTCTGCCCCGAAAGTCATTGAACTTGGGCGATAGGAACTTACTCTTCTTCTTCTGCCGCAACTGCTGCTGCTGCTGCTGCTGCTGCTGCTGCTTCTTCTTATTCTGCTCCTTCTTGAAGACTCCTCTATTTCGCCGGAAAATCACGATTCGCTATCCTGTTGCCACATTTTCCATCTTCTTGCCATTCTCTTTTTTTTATCTATTTCCTTTTTGTGGACCAAAACACCGACACAAACAAAAACCACGGGCAGCAGGTGTGTTGTTGTTTCTTTTGGCTTCTGCTTTGTTTGTTTTTGTGTTTGTTTTGCTGTCGGCCTTTGCTTTGCACTTTTCTGCACTCTCTTTTTTTCTTTTCTTTTTGTTTGCTTTTTGCTTTCTGCAGCTGTCAACGCACAAAACGCGCAAAATTATGGGCAGAACGCACACATGCTCTTATTTGCAAACACACACGCACACCCACATATCCATAAACGAGAACAACACAAATCGTTGTGCCGGCGAAAAGTTTTTGAATTCGAAAAAAACTCAAGCGAACGCGGACCGAAACCCAAAGTGAACCGCGCGCGACGAAGTTTCGCTAACGTCTGAGCGAATTTTACTGTGTGGCTGCCTTATACGCCCACTCTTATACAGTGGAGCTGTTAACTTCGCTGTTAATAACAGAGCGCGAGTTCGCCGCAACAGCTGACTGAGAGAGAATGAGAAAAAGAGAGAGCGGCAAGTTGCCGGCTTTTTGAAGCAGAGCGTGAGTATAAGTTAGAACTGGAAAAGTGCATTTTATGCTGTTGCGTAGAAGAGCGCGAGAGTATAAGACGGCAGCTGTGGCGAAAAACAAAAACAACAACATTTTGGCCAAGTTTAATAACCCTTATTAGCTGTCTACAAAGGAAATATCTTCTTCTTTCTAAGGAAAATCATCGCCCTTTTTTATTATTTCTTATCCCCCAAAAAAACATAATCAAATCATTTAGCCAAAAACTTATTCAAAACTCACAATAGCAACACGCTCAAATGCCCAAAATTGGTGGGGCAAAAAAAGCAAAAAGAGTGGGGTAGTGGGAGGTGGCTGACTGGGCGGTCGCAGGACCCTTGCATTGTTGTACACAATCCATCATTATCGCATACACTTCCGCTCGAAAAGGAAACGCGGGGAGTGCCAACAGTGCATTTACATTGCCGGCTGTCGATGCACTGGAAAAAATGTTGGACTACAAAGTACTTCAATATCATATTTTGGAAAATTTTATAATTTTTAAGGTTGATAAAGTACACTTAATATATGGTTAATAATAATCAAAAAATGTTAAATTAAATCAGTCAAAAGAAGTCAGAATGTCCTTCAAGAATGTCTTCACAAGAATGTCCTTTTCCAAAAAGGAAATTAATAAAATTTCCCATAATATCATTTTAATGACTAAATGTAACTTGAGAACTTCCCAATTTTCCTCACTGCTTGAAGAGGCGTTGCTTTTCTAGTCTAGTTCTCCTTGGATCGTCCTTCTTGCACCACCCACAGACACACACACACACACACACACACACTATAAAACGAACACACACAATTACAGTTTTGAAATACAAACACAGATCCATCCAGACACGCAAATTGCTGGGTCGTGAGCACGTGTCTGGCAGCCTTCGCTGGGGATTACGGTCGAGTCGAGTCGAGTCGACTAGAGTCCGCCTGGAGTCGTCGAGTCGTTCAGTGAAAGTGAGCCGCCAGGATCCACAGGACTCAGTCAGTTGGTCGTCGTCTGGTCTGGCCAACACCACAACCTACTCCCCCTCTTTTGGAAAATCCCCTTGAAAATGTTGCATTCGCCAGCAGTTTTCTATAATTCGTGTTTTTCCCTTCTTTGGGGGTTGGCTTGACGGCTTTCATTTTTTGTACATTTTTTTGTTGTTGTTGTAGGTTTTTTCTTTTTGTGGCGGCTGCGGTTTATGCAAATTAGCAAAGTTAACATTTGCCAAATTGTCGAAAATTTCATTTGGCCAGCTCATCCTGCTGGCTGTTCTGTTTGTTTGCCTTGGCAGGGCAGACATGTAAATATTAGCATATCAGTTACATTGAAGTTGTTTGGGGTTTTTATATTTAATTATTATTAGTAAAATATTATATTTATTAGTATACAATTTAAGGGTAAACTATTTCTTAAAGTAATATTTGAGTTGTTTTTTTAAATATTTTTTAAAATTTAACATGGTACCAGTTTTTATTCTAGATTTTAGGAAATCTGTTTAAATTTCTTACAAAATAAGGTTTATATTTATTCTTTAATTTATAAAAAATCATTAAAAATCCTTAAGTATATAGATTTTTGATTTTTATAGTACATAGGGTTATAATGATCCTTCTTATTAATTTCATTACAATTTTAAATAATATATTTCATTTATTGTAAGAATTACTTTTAAGTTTGAAAAAGATTTTATCTTTTCTAAGTTTAAAAACATTATTAAGAATCCCTTTAAAAATTTAAACATTTTTCTAATTAAAAATATATAAAAACTTATCTCTTAAGTGATAATTTTTCCTAAACGAAAAGTCAGCAATCCACAAGTGGAAAGAGCTGAGCATGCGGAAATGGGAAATGCGAAAAACCAAAATAAGTAGGAAAAAGAAGCAAACATAGCTGTGAAATCAAAGCATTTTCGGATTCTTTTGATCAGCAATGTGTTAGGATATAGATGTGACGCCCCTTAGAGTTAAGGCCTCGCCCCTCCCAAAGTCCCAGCCCCCACGGAAAACTCCCTATTTTCTCCATCTTTATTAAGGCAGATCTTCGGTTGTCAGTCGGCCAAGTGACAAAATGCACCTGCATGTGAGTTTTCCACTTTTTTTCAGAAAAAAATATATAAAAAAAGGGGGGCGGAAAAGCCAAGTGGAAAGTAGTGGGGGAAACAGCTATCTATCATAATTAGATTGCGTTCTGTGCTGAAATGTCGTAACGGCAACGAAATGCGTGCACATAAATTAAGTGTGGAGTTTTTCCAGACCGCAGTTTTCCCGGCGTTTTCCCTACCCAACGCAGCCAACAGCAAATAGAGCGCCTAATAGGATTTTATTTAATTTCCGTAGCCCAAGGATTTTCCTAATGAGTTTTTTAACCTGCACAGTGGAGATTTCTCCATTTCCCTTTTCTCATTTTCCTCCCTCGCAAGATGTGGGTGGGTGTCGTCTCAAACTGCGCCCAAGTGAGCTGTAGCCGGAATATTTGAATAGAAATGAAGCCTTTGGATCAGGTGGAGCCAAGTCCCAACATAAACACGACTTCGGTTTGATAAACACACACAGAGAGAGAGAGAGAGTTTTTGGGGAAAAAGGATGCACAGGCCAGGAGAAATCTATATATCCTTTGTCTGGTTTCTAGGATATATCTACTCTATAGCTTTTGTTGTTATTTAGCTTGGCCTGGCAGATGCTGCCTCCGAGTTTAGCGAACTTCGCTTGGCATTTTCCTTTGTGTCTGCTTTACCATTTTCCTACCAAAAATACCCACCATTTCCCACTTGGCCAAGAGCGGAGACAATGGCTCCAGCCAAGTGAATTGCCCTGAGAGAGCAATTTTTCTCTGTACCTTTCGGTGTAAAATTTATGCTGCACTTGGCTAATTTAATGCCATTTTTTAGTAACAACATAATCGGAGGGAAAGGGTGCAATTAAATGCAAAAGGAGTTGATATGATTTGTGTTTTCGCGATATTTGCATAAATTAGCATACAATGCGTGGCAGTGGCTGGCACTTAACCATAATTAGATATGTGCCACTACCGTTTGTTTAGGTAATTAAATGCATTCCCAGACAGGTGTCTTTCTCAGGGCTAAAATCTATGATACTACAGTGTGTTATGAAGTGGTAGGGGAAGACTTTCTATATAGGTATTCAAAGTACAAATAACATGTAAGATATATATAAAAACAGACAACTAAATCTTGTTAAACTCAGAAAATAGTTTGTTAAACTTTCTTATCCTTATATTCCAGCCAGAAAAAAACATTAAAGTATAGAGTATAGAGTATAGAGTATAGAGTATAGAGTATAGAGTATTATAAGGTGTATATAGTATTAAAAACTATGTTCTCGTTCACAAAACTGCCAATGAACTTTCTAACTCGCTGAGTTTCTTAAATATTTAAGTTAAGAAAGGCTTATAGTTTGTTATAAAAAATCTATCTTAAATATTTTCTTAATAAATAATGATTCCTTAATATGTTTAATGATATTTATTGCATTTATTTATAAGCATTTATTTAAGCAGCAAAAACTATCTATTTTTATACAAAACGACTCAACAACCTTTAATTCAATAACAGCCATCCACGAATTTGCCAATCAATAAAGTCATTGAACTATACAAATGTGTCTACGTGTACGCTTACAATAACCATTCATCAGAATTTCCTTTGATATTGGCTAAATGGAAATTAAATTATACTCTCTCTGCATAGAAAAAAATCAAAAAAAATTTATAATTTTTATTCAATGTTTAAAGGATTAAATTCCATAAGTGGCATAAATGGTTTTATAATTTTATTGTAAAAAAAACACCTTTTTAAAAACTAATTCATTTGAATAAATCACATTTAAATTCCAAACAAATTTTATGGTTTTTCAAGAGGAGTGGAAAACCCATTTCCCTGCCCTAACTGCGCAGTAAATTCAATCACTGCAGGCACTTCAATAAATGGCGAATCCTTTCGCTTAGTTATTTGAATATTTGACATTTTCTGGGAAAGAGAAGAGGCAAAAACCACCCCCTGTTAACCCTAGAAATAACTATGGAAGAATGGAGAAGATTATGAATTCATTTATAATAATTTAGTTTGAGTTATGCACAAAACACTGAAACCCACTCAAGTTGGAATCCCATAATGAGCATATTCTATTAGTCGGAGGGGGCGGTATTGCTACCCTTAAGGGTAACCTGAGGGTTGGAAATTAACAAAGCCCAAATCCTGGACACATGTTGCATTCAAATGTCGGTTTTTCAATGGAGTCTGGGTAATGCCGTGTTGTGACAAACCCCAAATCGTTGGACAGTAACGAGGGGAATCCCTTTGAAGCCGCTAAACATTTGCACCCGCAACCACCAAAAACAACAACAGTTTTGACAGGGGGCAGGAGATTCCGACTGCATCACCATCATCATCCGCAGCAGAAAGACAGACAGCCAGACAGACAGACGGAAAGGATGTGCCAGGAAGTTGTTTGGACGGGCATCAAAAAGCTTTGCCCAAACTCCCACTGATTTCCATGGCTTTCCCTTTACATTTCCCTCTCTTTTTTCTCCTTTTGGCCATTGATAACTGACACGCAGTAGCAGCTAACTGAAAATACAGGAGAGATGTATTTGTTTAGCATAATGGATTTGCTACTCCTCGTATAATTGAAAATCGAATCAAATCGCGTGAAATTTAATCAACTTAAGAACTCTGGAAACTCGAGATCCTGCCTGGCTGGCTAACTCCCATACTCCAATTTGGTACCGGATCGGGTTCACAACTCCCCAGGCGAGTGAGGAAATGGAAAAATTAGCACAAATCCATGTGATAAACTGGCTACTATTTGCTTTGAATTGAGTTACTCCACCAGAGCCGCCGCCCCGCCAACTCCGGAGCAACTCGAAAGATTGGAAAGAGAGGCCACTAAGCGCACAGGAAGCCCATCGGAGCGGATGCCACTGCCTCTACGGTCTATCCAAACAGTGGACTCTAATGCACGATTAATGCCCAATCCCAGACGCATCACCCAACCCCAACCACACAGTGCGATGTGCATTTCCTAGTATGGCTAGTACAGGGGAGCTTCATACAAATGAACTGGAACTGTATAAAGCTAGCCAGAGACAATATTAAAAGTAAAAATCATATAAAATTGCAAGCTTTTCCTGAAACGAACTACGTAAGTTTCATCTAAAGAAGTCCCACTGTAGTTGGCTTTAGCTAAAGGCAATGTCGTGGGCGACATTCGATGGCATGTCCATTTCGAGAAATTAAGCCCTGTAAGCGGCTTTCATGGGACTTTGCCTACGACTCTTTCTCTGTCGCCCATCTGGCGGCCACTTGGGCCATGTGGAGCTATGTTTGGCCACACCGGATGGATGAATGAATGGAATAGAGACGGGAGTCACTTTCGTTGACGACCCTTTATTTGATACCATCAAAGTCATCACAGTATAATGTGTAAGCAGATTTGCCACTTCTTTATTTATAGGAGCGGCGACGGGAGTTGCCGAAGATGCGCAGGTGTTTGCTGCGGATGAGTTCCTTGGCTTCCCATTGACTCAGTTCGTAGAGCTCCTTCTCCAACCGACGGATAAGAGCTGCCATGTCCGCTGGCGCAAGAAGACTCAGTTCTGGTAGAAGTTTTTTTGGGATATTTATGGAGCCATCAACACCTTGACAGTCCACTTACCATCCATTTGGCGACGGAGCTCCTCGCTTTCTTTAGCCTCTCCACCGGCTGCCTCATGCTCCTTGTCCATTTCCTCGTCCATCTCGGCTATGATGGAGTCCACTTCCTTTTGATCCTGCTGACCTTCCTCGTCGCTGTCGCCATTGGAGCTGCCGCTGTGCTCCGGTCTGTCCTCCATTTCGTTAGAGTCCTCCTCCAACATGATCTCCTCATCGCTGGGACTCTCCCTCTTCACGGGTTTCGTAGCTTTTCTCATATTTTTTTTTTTCTGAATTTTTAAGTTTTCAATGAGCTTCTCCTACTTTCTGTTTGTCACCCACAGAGTTGTATTTTTTCATAAAAGTTACAGCCTTGCCAGCGTGAAATTGCCTAATTGACATTGCCACCTTGCTAATAGAATAAACTGAAACCAGAAGGGGCACCCAGATATTAACTTTTATGGAGCCACCATTCGCTGGGATGACAGGTTTCCAAGACCATTATATTAAACCACCCTTGGCGAAAGTTTCTAACTGCCTAATGAGCTGTACGAAATTAATTGTCACCACAGGAGGGTTGCCATCTTCAAATCGAATGCGTAATATGCAAATATCCAGGCCTTAACCAGGGTTGCAGCGCCAAGGTCAACGAAAGAAGCCCTGCAAAAACTGCAAAAGCGGCTATTAGAAAGCGTTTTCAAAGGACTCGGCTTCTTGTAAACAATACAAAAGAATTTCACCACCCAAAGCAAAGCACCTTTCTAAGAGGGGTGTATGTAGAAAAGTTTTAAGGGGGCTCTTAAAGATTTTAGGAATCATTAAGGCAAAGATTGATATTATTTTCTATTTATAAAATATGAAAATATGAAATAATAGACCAAGAATTTTTTATTTTAGCGGTTTTCAAACCCCTTAACCCCCCCTCTTTTTCAGTACGTACCTCCCTTATTCTGCCCGCACGTGTCCTTTTCCTTTGGTTGGCAGCTTAACGGACAAAGGACATGGACATGGAATATGTGTCGTGATGGTGACAAAGGGACGCGTGCTCATTACTCCCCTCTGTTCATAGAACTCCGTCTGTGTTTTTGCCACTGCTTTATGGACAAAGTTTTTCGGGCTAGAAGTATCGTTTATACTTTGGGTCCGCGACTCATGCAAATTGAACAAGTTAAACTTTTGCAGGGGACGCTTACGACCCCCCATTCCTCCTGCTTCTCAAGGAGCACACATATTCCCCAGGGTGGACGGGCGTCTGCCTGTGTAAACACAGTGTTTGCACTGTACAATGGGCACCATTACGCTGCAGTTTATTTGCAAGGATTCGGCGGGAACACTGTGCCCCGTGTTATCATCCATCCGGCACGTGCCGCACTCGCATCAGGGGGAATGGCATGGCTGGGGAATGGGATTGGGTTTGGAAGTTCCACTTTTGTCTGCTGCTGACTTTGATTTGTTCAAATCGCTGCTTAATGGATGTTTACATGATGCAGGCTGAAAAACTTTCGAGTTAATGTTAATTTGTAGTTAAGCAACATATTTTTTACAATGATAAGTTTATAAAAATATACAGAAAACATTTTTTAATCTTAAATAAGAGATAGAAAAGTTGTACTGGAAAAAATGTTGGAAGTTATGAACAGTAACTGATGAAAATGTTACTGATGATTGATGATACAAATCTTAGATTTTTCTTTCAAATTTCAAACACAAATACAGAGAGTATCTTCAAAATGTTTTCATAAATTTTCTTCTCTGTATCTAAAAAACAAGACGCAGTACTAACCACTGTGACAAGAAAACCGCCTGAGGCTAAAACAACCCAAACAAAGAACCGTAGGAGTGGTGGCCAAAATAAACCAACTGGCCAGAGACAGAGGCAGAGACAAAGATAGACTAAACGATAAGTTCTTAGGCAGTAGGACATTGTCCCAAATCCAGAAAAGTGACCCCTGACCCCGTCTAAAACTAAGTGTTCTTGTCCTTTGCCAAAACTGCAGCTGCACCGTTCAAATTCAATTTTGGATGCCAAGTATTGGCCATTTTAATGAACAGCATTTTCGGCCATTTCAGCCATGCAAATGGCCCATTTAATTGGATTAACACACATTTCCGCTGCCTAGCTGGCCAATTTATCATAGCCTTTATGTATGTTTATGTTTTATATTTATGTTGCATTTTAATTATGCGCCACAGTTGGAAGTGTGCCATGCGGCGGGGCATGTGGCATGGAGGAGATCTCCGATGGAGATGCGGATGTTTGCCTCACTGCAATTGCCTCTTTCTTTCTTTCTTGCGACTACTTACTCTTCGAATGCCTCCTCTCCTTTCCTGATTTACTGCCTGATCCATTGTGAGCGGCTGTCGATTGCAATCGATACGATCCATACCATATATATATACTTATATATATATCTGACAGGCTGGTGCGAATATCTGATTTGGGATGAATGCCGGTAATTTGAAGTCTTGTTTGCGGTTCGCTAATTTCGTTGCTTCAACGTCGATTGCCGCGATTGTTGTGTATCGATAACCGAAACGAGACGAGTGAAAGTAACAGCTCGTTTCATAGCCAAAAACACATTTTTCTGGCTATGAAATATTGCCCAAAATAAGTCGTTGTCTGAAATTGCCTAACTATCAATCATAAACTTATTATTTCCACGTAATTACAGGCTTATCGGTATAATTGTTTATCAAAGAAAAGATATCGCCGTTCTGCAATATGTTATTTTTTTTAAAGCATTGCTTTGTAAATCTGAAATTTAATATTTTTGGACTTATATTTTCCCTTAAGCCCCAGGAAATGGGTGGCCTGAGAGCCAAATGAAAGGCCACCTTTTTTTCCCAGTCAAGTTTGATATACTCGTAAATGGAAAAAAGCATAGAATGGAGCCTTGCCTGGGGATCTGGGGACATGGAAAGTGGAATCGGTTGAAAGGCTGTGCTGTTCCTTCAATGAAACCAAACTGAAAGTGGGACTGGGATCGTCGGAGGACATGTTGGACACGGCTTAATGTCGTCTGTGCTTGCCGCCGACATATAGTATGAATATTTATAATAGATACTTATCTTGCACCCTTTTGCAGGACAGCGCGTCGGGGCTCCTTGAATTCGGTCGCATTTCTGGCTTATTAATTGCCCGCATACACGAACTCAGTCCTAAGACCCAGAGTCCTGCGAGCTGAGACTGAGTCCTAGCCAAACCAGGCACTCGCAACCCTGTCACTCGCGTCCTTGGCGACCTGTCGCCACCAAATGCAAAACATAAAAAGCATAAATATTAAAAGCCTAATTAATTTTAGGTCGTCCGGTTGGGACTTATATTATATTTTATTACAAAACCGAACGAAACCCAATAATTGCACGTAGGCCGGCTGCAGGTGTGAATGATTCCAGTTCACCTGCCCTTGTCGTTGCTGTTGGAAAAAGAGGCAGGTTTTGTCACTTGAAAATGCTGTAAAAATGCCTAAAATAATTAAAGCAATTTGCAACCACTTCGAAGGGTGCAGCTGCGGCATGGCAAAAATATGGTTTTTAAATTGAAAGTTTTACATAAAAAAATGATACTACTGGGGAATATATTTATATCTACAAAATAATTGAGAAATTTACAAAATTACATTCCATTTTTATAACTAATTTATATTTTTGTATTGTACCTTTGCCTCTTTAGATTTTAATTTATATATAATATACTAAAATTCTGTTAATAAGGACTTAAACTACGCCTTTTGATAAACATTTTTTTCGTTATTTACTTACCAAATATTTCTTTCTGTGCAGTTATGTACACGTTGCTGACGACAATTGACCAGGGGCTGCAATTAGGCATTCCAGCAACTTGACTTGTCCTTTCGATTGCCTTTGATTGATGAGTCCTGCATTGGCCAGCTCTTTTCGAAATAGCTCCATGAAATGGGGAAGTGTCATTGTCTGGTGGAACCTTTACCAAAGCTCAACCATTCAGTAGCAGAGTCTGGGGCAGTAAAAGTGGACCCACTTGCCGCCACACATCATCGCAATCATTTTATACTCACTCTTACACACACACTTATCGAAATGGCCAGTGCCACCGGCTTTTCTTTCAACCGTTGCAGGTGCATTTTATTTTTCTCTTAGTCTTTTGAGCTTCAATCTTAGCCATTCACCGTTTGTGGCTATCAGCGATATTGATGGATAACGAGTTTGCTGCTTGCCGGGAAAGTGGGTGAGTAGCTGGCATCGTAATTCGCTTTTCCATTAATTGATATGCGACCAGTTGCATTATTCATATATAAAGTTGAGATATATATATATAAAGAAAAAGTAGAGCCACGCCAAGTCCAATCTAATTTCGATTTTCCAGCTAATTTCCCTTTGATCTGCTGGCCGTGTGATCCCAACATTCAGAGACGGAAAGAGCAGATCCTTTCAAGCGGCAGCCGCATGACAAATCTAAAGCCTTTGATGTACTTAAAGATTCTTAAGCAGCTAATTATAGTGGGTAATGGTAGAAAGTAAGAAAAATCATTTCCCCTTAAAAACAAGATAATAAAGAAAACACATCAACCGTGATTCGCGAAAGGTTGTTAAAACTCATGAGACAAGCTGGCGCTCCATGACTTCTGACCCACATAGCTGACTTCTCGCCTTACCTCGTGCCATTCACAACAAACTAAATTCAAGGAGATGCGTCACATATATCCACAATTGGAATGGGCGAATTGGTTGAGATTCGAGGATGAGGATTGGCGACCACCAAGACGCTGTCTGCGGCAATCTTTCGGCGGCGCCGCCATTTCGTCTGACCCAGTTTTATATTTCATGGCAGACAAATTGTCTGCGCGCTCCACAGATTGTTTATGATGCTTTTGAACTTTCCTTTAAACAAGTCGCAGATAAAAACACCAAAACGACGCAAAAAACTACGTCGTAGGTCACAGGCGAATTCCCAAACTCTAAATTCAATTATAGCCAATTTTGATGGGGGTTGAGACGGTCAACTAATGTAATGGAGATAACCACAACAATCCCAACACCTTTGCCAATGCCAATTAGTTGGCCTATCTCTGGTCTGGCATGGCCTGGCCTGGCTTGGCCAAATTTCAATTACCGTCAAGAGCAATCAACGAAACTTTCCACCCAGTTTGTCTCTTACGGACGGCTGGGGAAAAGTTTGAACCCTGAACTTTGCTGCATTCTGGACTTTTCAATTATTTAAAAAACCCAAAAACCAGCTGCATGCAAGTTGCATAAGTTACGCTTCGGTTTTTTTCAATGCACTGAAAATGTATTTTAAGACAACTTGCAACAATTCAGGAAGATTTTGAGTGTTTCAAAGATTACATTTTTTAGGCATATATAATTTTTCCCTGTGCACCATGTCGAGTTTTGGTTGCAAAACTTGTTAGTTGCATCGCAATTATGACAGAATTAAGTTTTATGCTATGCCACCGAGGTGACCAACTGTCAGACCCGACCCGGCTAATCCCCGATCCCGCTCTTGATGCCACATCCCCAGACCCCAAACCCCAATCCCCGATCCCTGATCCCCAATCCTCGCCAGACAACCGCAAGGCGGCAAAAGAGCGACACAGACCGCACATAAAACTGTCAGGGAGTGTGTTGTGGTGTTGTGTCAATGGCCAGTGAGATGTGGATTCCGATCCATGCCAGCACCACCCACATGTTACACAAATCACTCCGTTGGGTGAATGGTGTATGGTGTATGGGTATGGTATGGTATGGAGATGGAGATGGTTGCATTTATATTGGTTGCATATTCGGATTTTCGTCCATGTTGTGCCATTGACTTTGCAACTTTGTTGCGGCTCCGTTGCCGCTCTGTGTCTGTTTGTCAATAAAACAAACAAAGAAGTTTGTGCCCCAAACCGACAGTTTGCAAAAAGATACAAGATACCAGATAGAAGAGCATCCGTATCTGTGTATCCATATTTGCACCGGAAGTGCAACTCAAACAGCGAGACACGAGACAACTTTTTCCACAGATCCTTTCCATCATCGTTTCCATATTTTCCTTTTGTCTAGAAAGTTTTTCCCCACTGCTCTCCCCATTCCTGTTTTTTTTTTCCTTTTTTTTATCAATGACAAGTGTCACTGGCAAAAGAGCTGTGGAAATTAAAGTTCTAGTGGCGTTGGCCATCACCACCCACGTCCAAGTATCGATGATGAGTGTCATTGGGTTGTGGTTGGGAAATGTAGTTAGTTTTTTCTTACAATTTAAATAACTAACTAAATGATTTTCCAGCTTAAAGTAACTTAAGTAAATTACATCAAAACGCCTAATAAGACTCCTATTCAAATGGTCAAAAACTACATTTAAAAGGCAGATAGTAATATCAACTTAATATGTAGTTTTTTTCCCCCCTCAGGCTATTTTGCACGCCCGTTGGCCGTAACTCAACTGACTGTACGTGATTACTGCCTGATTGCAGGACTAGATAAAAGCGCCAGACCTCGTAATTATGGCTCCAGATCCTTTTTATACCACCATCACTATGCCTTTCTCACTCAATGAAGCGCAATAATTGCAGTGCTTAATGCAAATTCTTTACCCCAAAAAGGCAGCCACGCCTACATTTGGTGACGCAGGAATAAAAGAGTGAAGAAACGGGGGCAGGGGCGGAGAAAGTGGTGGTTGGTTAATGCAAACCGGCACTGTGTATGCAAATGAGTTTCCAATGACTTGCCACGAAAACAAAACACCATGCAGCGAAGTAAAGGATATGATGTTATGTCGTCTGCTGCACTTGAACTTGGCCATTAACTTGGCCCCATGCGTCTGCCCCATGTCTGTCTATATATATATATATATATATATACTATATATATCTAGAGCTAGCTTGTGGGGAGTGAAAGCGTCATAGCCACTTGTATTATACTTGGCTTAAGGCGTTTTATGCGAAATTTGCACTTTTATTGGCAACGCGGGTCTGCTCCTTTTAGCGCTCAACTTAAAGTGATAAGCGTATTGCTAAAGTTAAGTTTAGTGCCTGCCCTTTATTTCGCTTATCGGTGCACTTTAATGCTGTGCGGGAGTGACACTAAAAGCCTCTCCAGACGGCGGCCCGAAACTCATTGAACATTTACGATAGTAAATCACTCAAGACCTCTTTTCTTTATTAACTTTAATGGGTGACTTCTATTTGGAAATAAAAATGAAAGGAGATATATGCATACTACTAAAACACTACACAATAAACTTAGAATAAATACTTTAACTTCAAATAAAAATAATAAAAACTATTTTAATTAAAGAAAATAAAATTGTGATATAGTCGTCGAATTCTACTATCTGATTTACACTACAAATCTTATAAGCGGAACATATATTATATTACAATACGATCAAGAAAGCGTACAACAGACTTTATTAATTAAGGATTATCCGTTAAGATTGGATATTAAGAAAAAAAACGTATTTTACGTATTCAGTTTTTGCGCCTACGATTTAAAAATCTTAAGAAATGTGGCAGCACAACCCCTTCGCTACAAACGTAATTTTCTGGCAACCTTCTTCGAAATCAGCTGTGTTTTGTTTACATCACTTTCTGCGGTGTGTCGTAATTTGCAAAAATTGCATTAGCATCTTAGGATTCGGCCGGAAATGTCTAGGCATGCGCTGATAGGTACGTTTAAGGCTAAAACCATGACCTCTGGCAAGGCGAACTAACAAGGATTCTCGCTCAGGTGGCGGCACCGGCTTTATCGGTCGCAATCTGGCCAAACACTTAACCCAAAAGGGCTACGATGTAACTGTGATCTCTCGAATGCCAGGTTCCAAACGCATCACCTGGCACGAACTGGAGAAGAATGGTATTCCCGGATCCGTTAATGCAGTAGTAAACGCAACTGGTCAGAACACCTTGGATCCAACGAGACGCTGGACGCCTGGATTCCAGCAAAATGTGTGGAACTCCCGCATCAACTCTTCGAAAACTTTAGCTCAGGCTATAAAGTCGGCTCCACAGGTCACTTCGTTTGTGAATTTTTGCGGTGTTAGCCACTATAAACCTTCCGAGTCGAAGGTTTACACTGAAGAGGATGAGGTGCAGGGATTCGACTACATGTCAAAGTTGTGCTTGGCCTGGGAGGAGGCTGCCCACACTGGGGACGAGCAGGATTGCAAATGCGTGAGCTAATATGTTACAATCTTTTAAGTCAGTATTACAACATCTAAACCTTTCCAGACCATTATTCGATGTGGTGCTGTTGTGGGTCATGGGGGAGGAATGATTCAGTCCATGTGGCTGCCGTTTAAGCTGGGAGTAGGTGGTCCTTTGGGCAGTGGCAAGCAAACAATGCCCTGGATACATCTGCACGATCTTTGCAGTCTGATACAATACATCATTGAGAAACCAGTGCCTGGAGTGGTCAATGCGGTGGCTCCTGAAATAGCCAGCAATTTGGAGTTTAGCAAAGTAGGAATCCCTAGTTTCTTATGAAAAAAACATAGCTTAATAACTTCTTTCATTCCCAGGCTTTTGCAAAAGCCCTCCGTCGGCCCTGTATCTTCAGCGTTCCCGAATTTGTGGTTCAAGCCATCTTCGGAAAAGAACGGGCAGCTCTGGTCTTAAGTGGAGCCAAGGTCAAGCCCCAAAAAGCCATCTCCTGCGGCTTCAAGTTTCAATATCCCACGGTCAAAGAGGCCGTGACACAACTGACCCTCAAAGAATGAACTGAAACGATACTGAATGTGGATTAAACCTCTGCGTTAGTTCAAAGTTGTACATTAAATAGTTGGTAGTACCAAGCGCAAATTAAAACGAATTTCTGCGAGCCGATAGATTTATGAATCACACTCCCCGAAAATAGAACCATTTAATTTGTTTTCTCATCAGTCACGTCCACCAGTATTTCACAATTTTTTAGTGTCATATTAAATGTAATTATTGGCTTAATTCTGTTTTATAAAAACATGTTAAAATAATTTCAATTGTTCTCTCTCATGGGAAATCTTTGTGGAAATAAGCTGTAATCTTTTGTTGTAAGTTAAGTAACACCGTGCACATGCCAGTGCAAAGTTCAAAGGTATTACAACCGAGTGTGAAATTTAGATTAAGAGATAAATCCGATATATATAAACCCTTTGATGGCCAATTGAATATAATTGCAACCAAACTTAAATTAATAGGAAAAAAAAGTTAATTAACTTGCACACGCTGAAAATACGCTATATATACCCACATAATTATAATCACAATGACTGGTCTTATTTTCCGCCGACCAGTGGGTTCTATAAATTGGGCACCCAGGTCGGTTAGGGCATCAGTTTCATTTTGAGCCGCCAAACTGAAAATGCTTTCGAAATCGCAACTATTAGTGCTCGTCGTCGGGTTCTGTCTGGTATGATGATTTGGTATCACGCGATTTAAGCGAGGTTATAACTTATCCATTAACAGAATGCAGCCGTTTCGGGTGACGTGGACTGCAGCAAGCGGCCACCGTTTGTGAGTCCCAAGACCTGCTGTCCCATGCCCGAATTTGTGACTGCCGAGCTGAAGCAGAAGTGCGCAACTTTTGATGTGACTCCGCCACCACCAGCGGATGGGGAAGCTAGCGGATCCTTTGAAGGCAGACGTCGCCATCATCATCCTCATCCGCCACCTGTGAGTAACTCCTAAGATAGGTTTTTGTTCTCAGTATAACTTGGAGTACCCCGCTTTCAGTGCTTCTTCTCTTGCATCTTCAACGAAACTGGTATTTATCAGAACCAAAAACTGGATCAAGACAAGCTGAAGAGCTATCTGCAGGTGGTGTTCAAGGACAGTTCCGATCTGCAGACCACAGCCACACAGGCCTTCACCACCTGTGCCACCAAAGTTGTTGAGTTCGAGGCCAATTTGCCTGCTCGTCCCGCTCCCTCACCACCACCTGGAATGCCCATCTGTCCTCATGATGCTGGTCATCTAATGGGTTGTGTGTTCCGTAATCTCATGAAGAATTGCCCGGACTCGATCCGTAATGATTCTCAAGAGTGCAACGACATGAAGGAGTTCTTCACCAAGTGCAAGCCCCCACGTGGACCTCCCCCTTCCGCCGAAGAGATGTAAGGCAAGCATGGAACCCTTCCTGTCTGATAAACCAAAATGGATATAAAAATACCTCCCCCAACTAGAACATTCAATATTTTTTCAATTTAAAGCAATAAACATTTTTAGCTCAATATGGTTTAATTTCCTTTTCGCTGATAGAGGCATCCTTTTTGCAACTTATCACCAAGACGCACGTTTGGGCGTACAATAAGTTAGAAATTTAGGAGGAGGATTCGTGAGTAAAGTTGTAAGAATCTCTTAACTAAGTTTGAAAACATCTTTTTTTTAGTGTAATATTAAATGTAATTATTGGCTTAATTCTGATTTTAAAAAACATGTTAAAATTATTAGAATTGTTCTGTCTGATAGGAAATCTTTGTGCAAATAAGCGGTAATCTGTTGTTGTAAGTTAATAACACAGTGCACATGCCAGATAAGTTCAAAGGTATTACAACCGAATGTAAAAAGTAGATCAAGAGATAAATCCGATATACATAAGCCCTTTGCTGGCCAATTGAATCTAAACCAAACTAAAATTAATAGGCAAAAAACATTTATTTTTTTTAATTGACTTGTACACGCTGTAAATACGCTATACATACCCACATAATTATAATCATATATCAATGACCAGTGGGTTCTATAAATTGGGCACCGATGTCGGTTAAGGCATCAGTTTTATTTTGAACCGTCAAACCGAAAATGTTTTCCAAATCGCAACTATTACTGCTCGTCGTCGGGTTCTGCCTGGTATGATGATTTGGTATCACGCCATTTTAGTGCGGTTTAACTTATCCATTAACAGAATGCAGCCGTTTCGGGTGACGTGGACTGCAGCAAGCGGCCACCGTTTGTGGATCCCAAGACCTGCTGTCCCATTCCCGAATTTGTGATGATTACTTTGAAAGACTCGTGCGGCATGCTTGGCGTAACTCCACCACCTGTGAGTAACTCCTGAAATAGGTTTTTGTGTCAATATAACTTGGAGTACCCCGCTTTCAGTGCTTCTACTTTTGCTTCCTAAACATGACTAACATCTATAAGAACCAAAAACTAAGTCAGAATGGCCTGAACGGCTATATGCAGCTGGTGACCAAATCCGATCTGCATACCACATACACTCAGGCCTTCACCACCTGTGCAACCAAAGTTGCTGAGTTCGAGGCCAATTTGCCGGCTCTTACCGCTTCCTCACCACCACCCATTTGTCCTGAGGATTATCTAATGGGCTGTGTGTTCCGTAATTTCATGAAGAATTGCCCGGACTCGGTCCGTAACGATTCCCAAGAGTGTAAAGATATGAAGGAGTTCTCCACCAAGTGCGAGCCCCCACTGGGACCCTCCGCCGAAGAGATGTAAGGCAAGCATGGAACCCTTCCCGTCTGATAAACCAAAATGGAAATATAAATACCCCTCCAAACTAGAAAAATATTTTTCAATATTCAATATTCAATATTATTCAATATTTTTCCCATTTAAAGCAATAAACATTTTTAGCTCAATATGGTTTCATTTCCTTTTTACTGATAGAGGCATCCTTTGTGCCACTTATCACCAAGACGCACGTCTGGACGCGCAATGAGTTAGAAAATTAGGTTTCCATCGAGGAAATTGGTTATCGCGCACATGCGCGCGGGCAGAAAACCATTGAACTTTCTGGCCGAAAAGGATTCATTTAAATTCTGTCTGGGAAAGCGTTAGGAACATGGAGGAGGAGCTGAAATTATTTTTCGAAGAGTGTCGGAAGCAAGAATTTACCGAAAGGGAAATTTTGACTATATGTCAGCCTTTAATGTGGAGAATACGACTAGCCAAGATAATAAAATTGTGTTTTATTTTACTTCCTCTGGTGGTTTTATACCTTCTTTGGTTATATAGCGACACCTTTGCCTGGTGGTTGAGTGCTGTGGGTCGTTTGTTACTCATTCAGTTTCTTCCACTCTGGGATTGGACACCATACTATAATGCAAAGTGCTTGATTCCGAGAGATCAGAATGTCCAGGAGCAGACACCTCCTCTAGGTAAAGATGAAACCCTGTGGCAGAATTGTGCCCTTTGTGAAAATTTGGGTGAGTTTAGTTTATCAACGATTACCCCTAAATAATTGCTCAAATTTCTAAACAGAGGGAATAGCCACTACTTCGAATGTTAGCTACTCCATTTTGGAATCGGAATACCTAGAACGTGGACTACCTGTCATTATAACCGATACTGGATTGAAAACAAACGCCATTGATCTTCTAGAAGTCATAGAGAAGAAGTCACCACAGTGGTTAGCAAGTGAACCATGTGATGTTTCCAGCAATCTCCTGCTAAGAAAACTGTTCAACCTGGAGGCAGCTTTGGACAAAATTCACTGGACAAGTCACTGGCACCTTCAGCTAAGAAACTGTCAAAAGAAGGCCATAAAATCCTCTCGACTGTTCCTAGATCGTCCCTACTACTATCCCCTCCACCTGGCTCCATATTATTCCAGCTGGTTACTGACAGTCCATCAGCAAAAGAGAAATCAGGCAGAGATATACGTTCGAGGCTTGATTCTCATTCAGCAATTAGGTGGACACTTCGAAGTGGTTCTCCATCCGAAAAATCCCTGTAATAAAGGATTATGTCCAAGCCTACGAATGCGCCTTAATGCAGGAGAAGGGTTGATCTTCACCACGGATATTTGGAGCCTTAGTTATGGCCTAGAGAAACCCCACTCGAAGCAGACATCTCTGGCTAGTATCTTTGAGATAGACTGGCAATAATGATCATTTTTAGTTGGCCGAAATTGTATTTACACACACAACTAGATACAGACAAATAGAAGCCTAAAGTTCTCGAGAATTACTGGTATGGTTTTGGGTTAGGAACAGACTTATATTATGCCCGACGGCACTTGGCCTCTACGAGCTTCTGCAGCGTGGCCGTCAGGCTATTGATGGCATCGATTTTCATTCGCTCGATCCGCTCCTGCTGCACCAGCGACATTTTCTGGATCTGGACCTGTTCGCGTTGCAAATTCCGCTGCAGCTCCATCTTCTCTCGCTCCACTTCCAGTTTTCTTTCGAAATAATCTTTCCACCAGATGTCATCGGAAATGCCAGAAGCCGATCCAATGGGTCGTGCCAGATCGTAGAGCTTGCCATTGGCCTCTAAATTCTGGTTACTGTCGCAGGTGCGTTCCGCCTCCGGAATTTGATCACCATCGTACTCCATTTTCGGTTGACGCACAACCTCCGACATGCTATTGCTGTCCTCATCGAACTCATCGTTGGACTTACTGTCCAGATTCATTTGAGCCTGCAACAGAACCTGGTCCACAGGTGTGATATATGGTTGACCCTCCTTTGCCGTAGCTTGGGGTTGAATTTGTAGCTGCATTTGCGGTGTTTCGGGTTTTATGTTAACCGGAGTGTGTTGCACCTGCACGGGTTGCTGGGGAATTGCTTGGATCGGATTTTGTCCATTAGCAGGAGTTGGGGCCTGCTGCGCATTTGCGGGCTGCTGTGGTAGCTGCATATCAAAGTCGGCCTTCTTTCCCTGCAAGTACTTGAACATCTCCTCGAAGAACTCCCAGTGCACATAACCGGAGACATATTTCTTGCTCAGATTCTTGTTGTAGGTAATTAGGATGTTGTGCCACTTTTTCTGTACCTTGGCGGCGGAGTAGCGAAAGCCCAAGCGCTGTAGTTGTCGGGTGCAGTGCAGCCAAAGAGCTGTGCGTTTTTGCCTGCAATGGTGCTTTTATAAAAATCTGTTAAAGTTTTGGGATAATACCCATACTAACCTGCCCTCCGTGAAGCTTCCCTCCATGGGACCACGTATGTGAATCAATGCTCTGGTTGCCTCAGTGGTCCATGCCCGTTCGTAGGGACCACGTCCCATGCTATTGGCTCCTCCCGAAGTCTCCGCTTCCTCCAGCAGGCAATCATCATCCAAGTCGTCCAAGTCATCGTCACTTATTTGATAAGCTAACGGAAATGATAAGGAAAGTGGTTATTATTTTAAACGAACAAACAATATTAGTAAAATATCTAGTAGATTTATCATCTTTGATTGATGTTCTAATGTTTTCTAACAACAACTAACTAAAAATATCATTAAATTCAAAAACTTGTTGCTTTTTGGCACCTTTGTGGCATCCCTGCCGCTCTCACAGCATCCTTCGTTCTGCTAATTCTCAATCTCTTTTATTTTGTCCTGCCCTCTCTTTCTCTCTCTTTAAAGTTACCACCCAACGCCAGGCCAAAAGGCATCCTAGCTATGTCAAAGATGCTAGCTGCCGCTGACATACACCATGTATGATACATACGGACATATCTATGTATTTACATATATCCTGAAACAAGACAAACACTATGCACATACATACAAATGTACATACATATGCATATCCTTCGGCTAAGCACCTCTACATACATATGCACGTACATATTAAGATACCTGGCAAATAGTCAATTTTCCTTTTTGATTTTATTTATCAATTGGCAGACTTACGTTCGTTATCCTCGACATTGTTCCCGTTGTGTGGCGTTTGGCCATTGCCACCATTAAGCTGAACTTGAGCCATTTAGCCTGTTAGTTTGGTATTAATCTGTTTTTACTGCCAGCCTATGAGTGATTTTTAGACCTTTCGCCTGTCAATAGTTTTGTCGTTCTAACAGGACAATTTTCGGGCTGCAGCTTCCAGGCGTCGAGAACTTCGTGTGCGCCTACTCTCTCCGCGTTCTTTCCGCTGCTCTCTCGCTCGCTCTTAGATCTGGAAACGATGGGAGGCTGCGGCTAGCCAGGGAGTAGTGGTATTAGCTTGCAAGGTGAGGGGTTCTCTAGAATGGGGTGGCTGGGTGGTCTTCTGGGTGGTGAAGTGCAGCATCTGCGCACTTTGCACTCTGACTTCACAGGTCTGTTAGCCGCAGCCACAGCCTCACTGGAATGACTCGACAGTTGGGAAGTCTAACCTAAATAGTTCTAGTTCGGCTGAACTGGAAGGCAATTCGAGAACAGTTAGAAATTTGTAAGGTCCCACCACATACACAAACAAGTATGTCAGATAGTACTAATGATGAAATGTCACAGGGGTGCCCCTTTAAGTAGTTAATAGAACAAAATTAATTTATAGATCAAAATATGAAAACTTTATAGACATATAATTTAACTGTGTCCCAAATTTTTATATGTGCATACATATTAAGTCACAATTGTTTGTTACACAAATAAACACAGATTTTCTAAATATGTGCTGTATGTGCATTTAATTAGTATTACTTGAGTATGGTCAGGTAATGGTAATGGTCAGCTTCTTCTACATTATTCTTGTTAAGTTCTTTAAAAACCTTTTTCGTATATAAATTTCCATGCACAGTTCTTAAATAATTTAAACTTAAACCATTTATTATCATATCAAACTTCCGAGTGTCCACTGTAGAAACGGATATTTTTTTTGAGAAAAATATGACTATCGGTCTATCGATACACTTTTGACGCTACCAGCTGGCTGTCCCGGCGTTTTGTTATGCTATGTGGCAACGCCACGAATTCGCGCGTGAATAAAACACTATTATTAATAATTATAAATTTAAGTTGTTGAAGAGAACTAAGACAATGCCTGCGGTGGAGAAGTGCGTGATGTAAGTACCCGGAGTCTGAAAGAAATATATATCTGAATTTAATCTCGCGTTTTACCGTGTAGCATCGACTGGAAGCGCCTGTGGCAGATGGTCTCCGGAATTCACTATGAGACGCCTCAAGACACAGTGCGTGAGGAGCTTATGAACGTGGCCACCGAACTTCAGGCTGGTGTGCATCAGTTCAAGCAGAAAAGTGCATCCAACGTTCAGCTGGCCACGTTGCTCAAAGAGAAGAAACAAGACAAGCTGCTGCCCTTCACTGAGCGATTGCAGGATCTGCTGGATCTGGAATCCTCCCAGTGCTGGGAGATTCTTTGCTACTACCTCACGAAGGAGTACCGCGGATCGGCGAATCTCCTTACCCAGCTGATCTCCACAGAGACCAACATGGCAAAGCTACACGAGGACATCCGCCATTATTACTCCCTAGAACGCATGATTGTTCTTAAGATTGTTAAAAACCTTATTGTCTTCCACCGTGTACCGAATCATCCCTACCACCAGGAATATCGTGCTGTGGTGGAGAAGATCACCCTCGCCCGTCTAAGAGATTCATACCTAGACCAACTGGAAAGCTTGATCAGCGAACTTCCACCCAGAAAGCTGATGGCGGGCGAGTGCTTCCACTCTATGGAGCGACTTGTTGCGTGGTCGGAGAGAAACGCCCGCGAGATCAACGAAGTGCTGCACATTCTGCTGTTGCTGGCGGAATACTTACCCATGGGATTGGAGCACATCAAAAGAATATTCGCCGCCTGCAAGCAACACTCCTTTGGAAAGATACAGAATTATATGGATGAAAGCCAGCCATATCATCAAGAGCTAATCCGCAGCTTAGCCTACTCAGAGCTAATGTTAATTTTGAAATGCCTGGACTTTCAGAATCCCGAGGAGCACGCCAATCTCATCGAAAAACTTATAGAGGATTTGCAGGTTGACATTTCTACTATGCACCACCGACCGGAGCACGGTCCATTGCTTCTGGTTTGGATGCTGCTCCGCCTGCGAGGCACCAATGATGCCGACGACGCTTCCAGTTTGCTCCGTTGTCGGCAGTTGGGCAAGAGAGCCGTGGATCTGAAGTGCTTTGTCCAACTCCACCTAGTTGTAAGGCATACCATGTACGCCGATGACTCCTCGTTGTCGCGAATTGTACGCAAGACCATCTATAACCAGTTGGGATACATGTGTAATCTGTTCGATGGCGATGGCAGTTGTGGCCGATATGAGGGCATCTACGAGCTACTCTGCGAACTTGTCTCATGGCCACATTTAGCCAAAGACTTTTGCAGTCGAGAGGGTCAGTATTGCATTATGTTTATAAATATTTTGGTTTTGAACAAAACATTTTCCCCTTTCAGATGATGGACCGCGGTCGCTGTATAAAACGCTTTTGGAGAACTTCCCTCTAGATTTTACACATCTGTCGAAACTGGCTGAATCACTAACTAAAGCAGGTCAAGGAAACTACGTAAGCCGGTCAATTTATATAATTAAAAGCATTCGCTTATTTAATGTTTATAATTTACTAGATAAAAAGTCAGCTAGAATCGCTGCCTATACTGGCCCTACTTTACGATGAAAATCAACACAAACTCAGAGAAGTTGACACAGATGAATTTGAGCTTATAGCCAGTGTTCGCCCCTTTCCGCGGATTGACTTTACCATACCCGCAGGAACTAGTTGCACTGCCATCCAACATCCATCTGGCTGCTTTATGCACTTTCGCACCCAGGTAAACTTCTTCGATACATTGCACCATGAGATTAATTGTCTGCTGCGAGAAACCGGTCACTTACATGGTGATTTTGAATCAAGCGAACGCATTCGTCGCGTGGAAGCAGGCTTGAGATTTTTGGAAAGTGCCGTAAAGCTCAGTAAATCGGTTTCCGGCATAAGCGCCGAGATGGTGCATCCCACCGAGATGTGCGTCGATCTGTTGCACAAGTTCAAAAGTGTACAATCCCCGCCAGTTGGCCTTCTGTCCAGCTGTCTTAATGTCTGCACCGCCTTGCTACCGCTTGTAGACGAGGAGATATTTTCGAGAATCAGTAACCTCCACATCCTGCCGACAGTTGGCCAAGGAGCCCAATGCGACTTCAAGTTGTATGCCAACGCTAGAGGCGTGGGTTTTGAGTCACGATTCCTCGGCTCCCTCATTGATAATGTGGAAAAGAAGAGTGAGCGATACGAGTTCCTGCTTTCTTACATCAATTTCTTGCGCACATACACCAAGTTGAAAAGGAATCGTCATATGCAGGTGGAAATTCCGGGTCTCATTTTCCTGCTGAGGGACGTTTTTCCACACCTGCACACCTGGCACTTCCGTTCTCAGTTGGAGAGAAACAAGATCTATTTCGAGGTTCTTAGCTATATATGCGATATCTTGGACTTATTTAACACCAATACAGAATCTACGTGCAAACAGAGCGAACTCTTGCTACAGGTGTGCGTATATTCGCTTCTGAATTTGGATAATGGTGTGATTCTTTTAAGGTAAGAGTTCTTATACATAAACTCAACCCACCACTAAATTAATATATCTTTTCTTTTAGATTCGTTGGCGTGGGCAATGCTTATGTGCAGTACACAATGGAGCTTGAAACGAATTGGATGCAGCAGCAGCCACACGGCTTGATGATGCTAGTACGTTTGTCTATGCGCATTCTGATGCAGGTGCTTCGACTAAAGGACAAGGTATATGGTCACAGCGATAACCTCTCTCCACTGGAGGCGTTGATATACACACAGCCCAAACAGCGAGATACCCTGCGAATCATTCCCACAGTCTGCAGCTATATGGGCAACATATTTGATAGGTGGCTACCGATTCTGTCTTGCCGCCTGTTGAAGAGAATCGCCCTGGAGTTCAACATGTCTCTATTGGCCTGTTTGGACATGGAGGCGGATCAAATCCGCTTGACATTCATGCAGAAATTGCCTGATGAGTTAGAGAGCGATTCTATCAAGCTGGCTATCTTGGAGCTAGTGGATGCTTGCATTGCCAAGCAACCGGGTGTCACCGAGGCCTTCTTTAAAGTAAACTACTCTCAGGACAAACGCTCGCGCTCCTTCTTTGGCAAGGAGTGTGTTCCCAATATTGGAGAGAGCATTGTCACTTATATGAGAGAGTTTCTGGATGCTCTTCAAGTGGAGCCACTGACAATTCAGCAGGCGTTGCCCACTAAGATCATGAACATCTTCCACTCGCTTTGGAAGCATAATCTTCAGATGCTAGTAGACGAACTGCAAAAGGACAAACAGTTTTGGCAAAAATTCTGCTCGCCGCTCTTCACCGAACTTCAGCCGAATGTAAGGATCTATACCCAGCTTCTGAATATCATATCTATTGAAATTTACATGGGAACTGGAAACAATGCCGCTCTTTTGGAAGTTATGACTAAGTTCTTCCAACCAAAGTACTTTGGTCCGTGGCTAAATTATGTATTTAACATGCCAAAGGTTCCGGCTGTAAATAATTTGAGTTCCACTGACGAGCTGCCCGACTGGATTTGCTGCCTGCAGGCATTCAAAGATCTTATCATAATTATTCTAAAGAAGCAGCCTAAGTTCATGACTATACCAGAATCGCAGTTCAAGCTACTGGCACAAAAGACTCTTAAAGTCCTGGTTGATCGGTCACACTATCTGGAGGACATGCGACCCTTTATAATGTTGGCTGAACTGTACGTCTTCCTTCTACTCCAGTTCAAGCACTCGTACACAAACACCGTTGAGGAAGAACAGGAACTGATGGAGTTGCTGTTGCAGCTAATGAGCCGCATATGCTCATGTTATGAGGATCAACATGTAAGAGCCAAAGAGGCCTGTCTGGCGATTGTTACCAAGTGCACACATCTTTACACCGACCTGCTCATCCGGGACTCATCAATCGCCCTACGTTTCCTTAACTCCGTTGTGAGCATTATCTGCACTGAGCTACAGCACATGGAGAATTCGGTGTGCCTGGATAAATCACACCCTCTGAATAATTCGGAAAGTTCAGATAGCAAAGCTTCGACGAACTCGCTGATCCTGTGTCTCAATCTTCTAAAGGCTGTGGCTACCATATTCCACAACGATGGTCCCGGAAATTGGGATCTCCCTTTTGTGTCGGTTCGGTTGTTCCAACGGCTCGTGTGCTGCGTCTCCAAAACTCTACCCCTGTTTAGCAAACAGGTTCTTAGTGTCCAACTGCTGGATGTGCTCATCGTGTTCGCGAAAGGCCACTGCTCCGTGGAGTTCCTACATTGCGATTTAGGAGAGTATTTGTGGCTAAATCTATTGCCACCGAGGGAACTTCTGCAGTCTAAGAATGAATTTACTAAGCCAATACCGGCGGATGCAGAACGTTGGACTGTGGAGCAGTGGTGGCCTGTGTATGCCAGGGGTATAGAGTTCGTTACCATCATCTACGAAAAGCACAAGAAATGCTTCCTGCATCAGGCTTTTCAGTTTGTTGGTATCCACTCTGCTTACCTGGAGGACGCGCTCTTGTTGAGCAAACAATCCCTGGAGCCGGCAGCCATGCAGTTAATAAAGGCAGCTGTTACCCTAGTTGCTAGTCTTACGGAGCATCATAAAGAGTGGAAGCAGGACCATGGTCTGTCGCTCTGTAATATAATGGTGAGTACAAAATTTATTGATCGTCAGATTATTATTTTTATTCTGGATTCTTGTATTACAGCGTGCAGTTCAAGGCTTGCTATGCCACAGCTCATCCCTGTTCCACCAGCAAAGAAACTTAAAATGTCTCTTAGCTGGACGACGCTCGCAACTGGAAATCCTGCGCAGCATCGAGGCCATAACTATAGACGATGAACTCATCCAAGCCTGCAACGAGTGAGTTCTGCTAAATAATCTCATTCTATTTGGATTTTAATGGTTTTTACTGACCCTCTATAGCCTCACGGATATAATTATTTTCTGCGTAAAGTCATTGCTGAGATTCAGTCCTGATTTGATGGAATTGCTGTGCTGCAGTGTATATGAGCCCTCCAAATACTCAGCTTTGCTAGATGTTAAGTTTGGAGCACCCAAACTGAACGAAGAAAACATGACGCTGACTTTTGGAATTATCCTCAACTTGGTTAACATATACGTAAAGGCTTTGAATATGGTGAGAAGACTGAACCTCAGTTAAGACCATCACTTTCTAATACATTAAATTCTCCAGCAAAACCATGGTTTTAGTGAGGTGCCTCTAAATTCACTGCTCAATGTGGAGCACTCCGGGGATAACGATGAAACTGACGCCTGTTTAGGAAACCAAACGAACCGAACGTTCTCTAAATCCCTTTCTACTGCCTCGATTTCGTCCGCCAGCTGTCCAGCCAGTGAACTGCTTTCCAACATGGACGGGCAGCTTTGTTTGCTGGCTTTGGAGCACCTGCTTATGCTGGTGGCTTCGCAGGCCATCTATATAATCCGCTCTCCCAATCTGGAATCGCGCTGGAAGCAAATAGTACGCCGGGACATCAGTAACGAGCTGGTGATCTTCAATGAGTTTGTGCGACGGAAGGTGGTTTTGGACTTCAAGGAAAACAGGAGCCCATGGCTTCGACGCAAGCATGGGCACTACAAGCTTAAGTTCTCGGATCCAGCGAAGAGCTCGCCCAGCTCATCTCGAAGCTCGGACATTGTGCGTCGCAGTAATACAAATACTAATGAACTGCGAGTCAATGTGGTTCGCAGACTTCACCTGCAGCAGCAGCAAAGAACTCCACCGCCGCACAACTTTGACATGAGCAGCGAACTTAGTCCCATAGCGGCGATTCAAGGTACAGCCATGTCATCGGCTCTAGATCACAGGGATAGTCGGAAGCGCTTGTATCCGGCTCAGCAGGCGGGAGAGGCCTTCTTGGAGGACGAACTGGCCGCTATCGACCTGCAGTACTTCCCACCGCCCTCGGACAATGGTTATTGCGAGTTGTCGCAAGTTCAGATGGTGGAAGAGGACTACCTCCAGCTGATGTCGGCCCTTTTTAATGTAATGCCACATTGCGACTGAGCTATTTGTTTCCTATTTGATTGTTAAGTGGCCTAAGGGTATTTGAATAAAGTTTGTACGCATAATTTTAATGTGTAGTTTTGGGTATATTTTTATATTATAAGAATTTAGTATTTTTTCACGTACTTTACACAATTCTGCTAATGATGTCACTAGTTAAGACGAGCCCCCAAAAACGTCATAGGCCTCTCCTTCAGGAGAGTGTTTCCCACGGCGTAAAACTCTCCCTCTGAGAAAAAGAGCAAGAGCTCACATTTTTATGCTCACTCACCGCCATCGAAGAAGTAATCATCGCTGCTTTTGCCGCTGCCAGTGATTTTGCGGCAGCGTTGAGCTGATTATGAGCTTTCTGCTTTTGGCATTTCAGTAGCCAGCGATTGGTAGAACAGAACGCATGTGCAGACAGCGGAGCGGATACGCAAAGTGAACGAAGAGCCCACCAGACAAGACATCAAGTACGAGCATTAAAGGTTTAACCCCTTATTAGGCATCCGATAATCCGATCAAAATCAAAGAGACGTCGTCGTCATTAGGGCAACCAATTAGCCAAATCAGTGATTGTGATAATGCTTAAAGGTGTTCCCACGCTAGCCGGTCGAAACCTTCGTCTACTGACGACCCAGGGACAGGTGTTGGTCCATCATCGCGCCAAGGCATCCGCCGCCGAGCCCGCAGAGCTATTGGACCAGGAGACGGATCTCTTGAAGCGCGCCAAGTTCGGACATACGGGCAAACAGCTGCAGCAGAAAATATGCAATGAGGTGAGTTCCGCGTTTGGATTTGCCTCAAAAAGGGGGGTTGAACCGTTAAACAGCTGACTATGTACATTTTTTGGGCCTGAATTTCGCCCGGCTATTGATTTTTCATGTTATAACCGAAAAAGTGAAGGCATAATCCCCGAACAGTATTTGCGCATTTGCTGGCGGCAAAATTAAACAATGTGCAGAAATCCAAAAATAGATTTTGAAAATTAAACAAACGAAGATATCTTTTGGATACCGGATCTGATTTTTGGCACGTAAGGGCATATGACTTTCATTCAGCCTGACAACGCCAGATTTGTTTTTTAATGAAGACGCCGGGACGTTAGTTTAATTAGATAAATGCCAAGCACAGCGTGACTGACGCAATATCCAGATAACACACCCACTGTCCTGCCTCTCCCAAAAAGAAAGATAATGAGTTATATCTTATCAGATCAGGGATTGCGACGGCGGCGGCGGCTAGACTACTGGCCAAACTAATTGTGAAATTATCATGACAAATTTTTCGGGAGCTAGGTGCTAATCAGGTGCAAATCAAATGACACACTCATCTTTAATCCCCCGAAAACCACATGTCACATGTGGAACTCCCAAATAAATGGTACTGGTCGTCAACAAGTTTATAAAAATGTCAAAAACTCAGACGACGGCGAGACGCCAAGCAAAACATTTGAAAAACACTGATTGTGTGATTGGGTTTGGGAATTCATATGGCTATACGAAAATATTGTTAATCTGTAGGTCATAAAACATCAGTAAGAATCGTGTGCTATTCGAAATATTTAACATGCACGCAAAAAAAATGTTTAGTTTTTCTATGTAAATTATAAGATATATGATTTCCTTCTTAGAAAACAATCTTAATCTTATCCGATGGATTACAAATCTTATCAACATAACAACAAGATGTTTGCAATTTCGATAGCTAAAAATAGTTTGGCTATTTTTAAAGTTTATGGTGTTACTAAGTCTAAACAAGACACATGTTCTTATCAGTTACGAATTACCATCTTATCTCATTTAAAGGTCAAAACCATCTGATTTTGATCATTTGTAGATGTCTTCCCTAGAAATTTTAAATATATCGTGGTATATATTAAATTCAAAATCTTCTTCTCTAGTGCATGTTACACATTTTTTAATGTCCATAATTCAACATATTATACCACTGATAAGAGCAATTTTCTTATAAAAAACAATGCTACATTTTTCGTTGTGTATGTGATTCACAGACTCTTTCATTGTCAAAGTCACGCGAAACTGTCGCCCGAAAATAAATAGTGTAAACGTGAGCATGGCAACACAAAAAACACGCATTATATATAAGTAATTATGAACAAATAAAGCCAGAGGTGATACTTCATATTATGGGGAATATTATGGAAAGCAATTAAGCTGGCCCAGAATTGGCAAAAGTCCATCGCTATTGCGATTCTTTCGTTGCCATGGAAAGAAATGAATAAAGAAAGAGCCGCACACATTCATAAATATTTAGCATATGCGAGTACATATAAATATTTTAGGTGCCACAACACAAAAACCAAGCCCCTTCACTTCCCACATGGTAACTAGGGAAGAGAGGAAAAGAGAAAACAAGAGAGTTAAGAAGTTCTCTCGAAATATTTAAACAAATATTATGGTTAATCTCTTAGTCTGCTTATAAGATGTGCAGATACTTTAAGAATCCGATTTTCAATTTAATTATTTAAAAAGTATTAAAGAAAATTGTAGATTTACTTCATTTATTTCTGGAAAAATCCTTAAGAAATATCTGGGCCAGATAAAAATATATAAATGGTGTATAGAAAAAGGCTACATATTTTACAAACACTATATGGTTAGCTTATCACTAACTCAGCTGCTTTGAGCGTCATGCATTTTTAAAAGCTCTATTAAGTTGCTCCCGTCTTAACTTTATTAGACTTAAAACCTATCACTTTTTACTCACCTATTATAGTCTTTATAAAGATAATGCTATTTGGTGACTAACAGTTAAAGCAATAAATCTCATTCATAAATACGAAAAGATTTACAATGATATTTCTGATAATATTCTAACGATTAAAGTCCACCTGTTTTTAAACCATTACATATATTCGATAAGAAATATTGAAAACCTAACAATGACATTTCTTTGAAAACTTAACTTGATATATAACAAACTTATTTCGCAATGCATGGCAATAACAGACTTTAAACTTTAACAAGCGACATAGTGATAGTTTCTACTTCAGGAAGTGACTTAAAGATAGTTCTCTTATTTCACCCAAATAATTTTCTCTTTTCTCTTTTAATCTCTGCATTTCCGTGCGAATTGTGCGTCAACGGTTCGTCAGCTTTTTTCGAATTCCAATTTGAAAGGTGTCAAAGTCCCACGCTGATGGTGGCAGGCCCCTTGAACGGAAACTTGTTTGGCAAATATATTTTATTCTTTTTATTTATATACCGCACTTGATGCTGCTGTTGTTGTTGTTGTTATTGTAAGAGATACTCACCCTCACATGACTTTCTTTTGGTTAAATATGTATTTAATAATATGCAAATAAGCAGCAAGTGCGAAAACAGCTTAACAACGAAAACAGATTTTGGAGGCAGCCTTTTCTGGGATTAAAAAAAAACAGATTTATAGTAGAGATATAAGCACGTGCATTTAATCAGTTGTAATCAAAAGAATATTATTTAATCAATTACAAACGAAAGGAAATGAAGAAAATGGCTGAGACATCTGTTGCGCTGATGTCATGCGGTTAGGTAATCCAATACATTAGTACTAAGGACCTAAGGCTGGCCAAGAAGTATTTGATTACATTAATGAAAGAGATTAAATTTCCCCATTAACGTAAATAGAAAAAGCAAGTAGGCTTAGAACAGTTTGTAGACTTAAGGAAAATATTTTCCAAATTAATAATATGCAAGGAGATAGCATTGCAAATATTAGGGAAATATTCTAAAAATAACTATCTAAGCAGCATGAATGTTATTACCATCCTTGTAAGCCTAAAAAGTGTTGCCTAGTTTTGGGGATATCGTAAAAGTTTTGGATAGACCAAAACTCCTTCTTTCTATAAAAGGTGCTCGTTAATGGCATTTTGTCATTATTTCAGTTTTGATCCAGTTGGGGTATACATTGCAAATACACCACTAAAATATGCTAGTACGTGCCATAGAATTGACACTTCAAATAGCTGGAAATACGTGATTTTAGAGGGGAATTCCTGACCTGAACTACAGTTGTAATACTTAACCAATGTTCTGTTCATTTCAGAAGAAACTGCGCGCTCCACCGCTATTGAATTTGGTATTTGCCAATAGGAAATTGTCCTTCTACGACACCAGTTCCACACCAAAGACCAAAGAGGATAATGCCAAACTGTGAGTATGAAAACAAAGTTTACCCTTTATTATCATAACTATCACCTAACACCTTATAACAAATCCAAATCAGAGCACTTGAACAAATGCATTTAGTTACTAATTGTTAGGGTTACAAAATATTTGTCAACCTGCCTTGTCTGTTATGGTTTTTTCCCACTTTTTTTCTTTCCACGTGGCCATAATCACTTGGGTCAACAAAATTCGCTGCTACCAGGCTGCATTTCATATCCGAATGATCCATTTTTAGATCCCACTGCAGTTTGCAGTTCTATTCTTAGTACGGAAAATATTGTTTTCGAAAAACATCAACAGCCCCCCAAATCGTTGACACACACAATTAACAATCTTTGCTTAAGTCCAAAGTAGATTTGCGAAAATATTTTGATGGCACTTTTTGGGGTAAATATTGTTTTTGGGCTATCCCTTTTGTTTCAAATGTAGAGAGCAGGTCTAGAGAGGATTGGGGATTGGAGCAGCCCAAATGGGAGGTATCGGTGCTCCGAAAGCACGCGCTAATTGCCAGCAATCGCCAGCGCATAAAAATAAATTAACATACGTTTATTAAACGAAGATAAAAATCGAATTCGCTCACTCTTTTTGGGTCTGCTGAATGATAAATCTATATATATATATAGATCTGTATGTATTGGCTTTGATGTATGATGTTGGCGAACTATAAAACCATTGGCCATTCGCCGACTGGTCTCATTTCGGCGGCGACGGGCCGCAAGTTTGCACAGTGCAAAAAAGAGGATATATATATATATAGTTATTATCAAAATGATGGGCGATCGTAGTTGGAATCTGCTGCAATATGCCACCGAGAAGGCTCCCCTCCCACTTGATGGATATACAGCTGAGGAGGCGGACCAGTTCAAGGATAGCATAAGGCAGAAGATTGTAGACGATCTGAAGTCCATGACGGGAGAAGAGCTCATAGAGCTGGTCAAACAGAATGCCGCCAAGGTGGAGGAGGAGAAGGTTGAGATTCCAGTCAAGCAACCCCTGTCCGGTACTGAAGAGGGCAAGGAACGTATTCAGGATGATGCGGATCTGATAGATGCTGGTATTATAGCCGAAATGGTCGCTGGACTGTGTACCAAAAGTCAGAAGGAAACTTTCATCAAGGTGATAACGAAGTATATCAGGTAATTGTGAATCATCCCGGAGACGTGCCCACCTCGTTCTTATCAGAGAATTGAAAGAAAAGTGATTTCGACCCGTGACGTTTTCCTCTTTATCAGTTTCGAAGTGGTAGTGGCCCATGTGAATATCAACTATATAGTACAGAATGCCAGACAATGGCCAGTGCCATTATAATGGCATAATGCCATAAATCCAGCCATATCTACTCGTGTGGTTTTTTGTGTACCTGCCAGGGTTTGCATAGAGAAAAAGGAGTTAATTAATTTATTTTATTGGCAATAACATGATTTAGAAATTAGCACATTGCGGTGGTGCTCTCCGTGGTGCTCCCTGCTCACAACTCACCGCTCTCCGATCTCTCCAAGTCATATAGCTAGCCGGCTATCTAAGTGCTCCGTTCGCTGGGATGGGAGCAGCAGCAAAAGTCACACTTTCCGTTAATGTATAAAATGCCGGCGCGCTTACTGTTGTTCCCATTAAACTTGCAACAGCTCAACGCTCAAGTCAAGGCGATCCCAGTTTCAATAAATATTAAAAAACATTCAAACTCATTTTTCTAAGCAAAAATATTGCTCATACGTAGAAATATCACGTATACGCCGAGATGGTGCAGACAAATGATTTGGACGCCTTGAAGCGGCAGAGCGAAGATGGGGAGACCAAGGAGCGGGAGGAGAACTATAGAAGGGACAAAGAGCAGGAGACCACGGAGACGGCGGCCATTATTGAAGAAATTATCGAGGGCATCCCATTGCAGAATCGTCGCGGCACTATAGTGCGCACTATTTCCTCGATTATCAGGTAAAAATAGTGCCGGAAAAAGCTAAAAACCAAAACAGACAAGTCAGGGGCAGGGTCACTATGTAGTCTATGTGGATTGTAAAAATAGATTGTGCACATCTACACACTTATACACACCCTAACTTTATCTATATGACACACCCCTTTTATAAGTATCATAAATGAAAATTACGTTGATTGACGCTCATTACACGATCTTTATGGCCAACATATGGAAATCTAACTAACAATTGCCATCCGATCATCCTGTCTATCACCATTTCTAGCAATCAGCGACGCCACTATTCGATGCGGCCGTGAGTAATCTTGATTGAACCGTTCTGTTGTGTATCCCCTTCAAGTAGAATTTGAATTCAGTTGCCATGCTACCAAAACCCAAACGATCTCTTAATCAAGCCCAAATCAAATGAATTGAAGTCGATTGAAGTCAAAGCGCAGAAAGACAAATGATTTGCCAAATTGATTTGATAGTTCTCAAGAAAATATCCCCAATTAATGAAATCAGTTAACCATGGAGGAGTAACTATATTTAGAAAAGCCCAACTGGATCTGTGCAGTTTTTGTTTTTTGTTTGTCCGCGCTGCATTAGATGTCTGTGAGCCAATTAGCACTTGGAGTTCAGCGCCAGTTGGCCAGAAGACAAACCCCTTTTAAAATTCCCCCTTTTGTTATCCACCACCCCTCCCCCCCCTAAACACCCCTCGTAGTGTTAGTGCTATAATTTCTGTGAATTTTGTATTGCTTTTCCACACACGCATGCTAAAATTCAGTCGGGGATCGCCGCTCAATTAGCAGGTGCCCTAAACCCAATTGCTTTTCTATGGCTTCGAAACTATGGTATTTCGCTAATTTCCCCCTCTCATAATAACCTTTTCTAACTCTATTCACAGCCATCGGGAGCAGGAACAGCGAAATGCCGAGGATGTGCTATTCGACATGTTCGCCAGCGAGGAGACGGGCCTCATCTCGATGGGTAAATTCCTGGCCGGACTAAAGACCACGGGCATTCGCAGGAATGATCCGAGAGTGCGTGAGTTGATGGATAACTTGAAGAAAGTTCATAAATTGAATAACTACGAGACGGGTTCTTCGGCTGAGACCCAGCATCTCAATAGGGAGACCTTCAAGGCGTAAGTTTGAGCTAAGGATAATCCTATCTTACAGATCTGTAATCTTTATCCCTTTCCAGTGTGGTGGCTCCCAATATTGTCCTGATTGCCAAGGCCTTTAGACAGCAGTTTGTGATCCCCGACTTTACGAGTTTCGTCAAGGACATCGAGGACATCTACAACCGCTGCAAGACCAATACTTTGGGCAAATTGGCTGACTATATTCCACAGCTGGCTCGCTATAATCCCGATTCCTGGGGTCTGAGCATCTGCACCGTTGATGGACAACGCTTCTCCATCGGCGATGTGGAGGTGCCTTTCACCCTCCAGAGTTGCAGCAAGCCGCTGACTTATGCCATTGCCTTGGAAAAGTTGGGACCCAAGGTGGTGCACTCGTATGTGGGCCAAGAGCCAAGTGGCAGGAACTTTAATGAACTTGTCCTAGATCAGAACAGTAAGTTTGGACTATGAATTAGTAAGAAAGAAATATAATTTTTATGATCTTCTCCCTACAGAGAAACCACACAATCCCATGATCAATGCTGGTGCCATTCTCACCTGCTCCCTGATGAACGCTCTGGTCAAGCCGGACATGACATCTGCGGAGATCTTTGACTACACCATGTCCTGGTTTAAAAGGCTATCCGGTGGAGAGTACATTGGCTTTAACAATGCCGTATTCCTGTCCGAACGAGAGGCTGCCGATAGAAACTACGCTTTGGGTTTCTATATGAGGGAGAACAAGTGCTTCCCCAAGCGCACCAATCTGAAGGAGGTGATGGACTTCTATTTCCAATGCTGCTCCATGGAGACCAACTGCGAGGCAATGTCCGTGATAGCTGCCAGTTTGGCCAATGGTGGTATTTGTCCCACCACTGAGGAGAAGGTGTTCCGACCGGAGGTGATCCGAGATGTACTCTCGATCATGCACTCCTGCGGAACGTACGACTACTCCGGTCAGTTTGCCTTCAAAGTGGGTCTGCCAGCCAAATCTGGAGTGAGCGGCGGCATGATGCTGGTCATCCCCAATGTGATGGGCATCTTTGCCTGGTCCCCGCCTCTGGATCACCTGGGCAATACGGTGCGAGGACTGCAGTTCTGCGAGGAGCTGGTCTCCATGTTTAATTTCCATCGCTACGATAACCTGAAGCATCTGTCCAACAAGAAGGATCCGCGGAAGCATCGCTACGAGACCAAGGGTCTGTCCATTGTGAATCTACTCTTTTCAGCTGCCAGCGGAGATGTTACGGCCCTGCGTCGTCACCGTCTCTCTGGCATGGACATCACTTTGGCTGACTACGATGGTCGTACTGCCCTCCATTTGGCTGCCTCCGAAGGACACTTGGAGTGCGTCAAGTTCCTGCTGGAACAGTGTCATGTTCCCCACAACCCCAAGGATCGTTGGGGCAACCTGCCCGTGGATGAGGCCGAGAACTTTGGACACAGCCATGTGGTGGAGTTCCTTCGTACCTGGGCGGAGAAGGCTGATCAGACTAGCGAGGAGTGTCAGCCGGAGGCGGTGACCAGCAAGACACAAGCAGATGAGGTCAGTTCAAGTCCATGTGAAAGTCCATTTTCATGCCCTTGTCCATGCCCAAGTTCAAGTCCGAAACCAACAGAAGCGATGGCTCGGAAGCCAAGCAAGAATAATAACAAAACCAAGCTAAATTCGAATCTTACTTTCCAGGAAATCGTCAGCACGAGCGACCTGGAGACCAGTCCGGCCACCAGTCCCATTCCCACGCCTGTAGAATCTGGTTCTAGGGCGGGATCTGGACGATCCAGTCCAGTGCCATCGGATGCGGGCAGCACGGCGAGCGCTGGCAGTGCCAGCAGCGTCGATGACAAAACCAAGCCAGGATTATAAGCGCCCAGAGATCCAGGATCCCCGCAGAATCTCTCTGACTAAATTATTCGCACAAGCTTTTAGTTTAAATATCACGTATTAGATTAAAGTTAAGACCCAAAAAAACATACCACCCATTCACGCTGGTCGGCTGGTTAGTCCTATATAATTTGTAGTAGTCATCCCATGTGCAAGTCGTGGTCCTTCGAGCAGGATCCACTGCACGAGCGGCATTTGTACTTGTACTTAGAAGCGCTTAGTTAGCCACTAAAATTCCAGGGTATCCTACGACGAAACAATGACAATAATCTTAACGAATATCCATCTACTAACCGAAAGAAACTTTTGGGTCTGTGACCCGCCTAAATGTATCGCATTCGTACTTGTCAATTGATATTTGTATGCGTTTGTATGTGTATTAACTATCCTGTTCCATAAAGATCGAGCTATCTACTCGATTCCAGTTGAATATATAAATATATATACGTAGTTAGCTGAAAAACACACAAAATATATGGCATATCTTTACTTAAATGGTTTGAAAGTCTTTTCGGGGTGGAAGGTTTACAATTTGCTTTCTAAAACTTATCTTCTATGGTTTTTATGAAAGATATATACTGTTTATAAGGTCTTAATTACATTGTTTCATGTAAAGTTTAAAAGAAATATAAATATAGAAATTTATAAGCAATTATTGATGTTAAAAAAACTTAGCCTTTAAAGAAAAATAAATTCGGAAACTTAGAAAACAAAGTAATTTGATTTTTGCTTTAAAAATTTCAAAGGTTTTTGGGTTAAGCTTATATATACTCATTAATTATGGTTATTATTATGACCACATACTTTCACCATATCTACATTTCTTCTTACATTTTACCCTTATATTCAAATATCTACCATAAACTGTGTATAATACGTATTCGAGTACAGCTCAATTATAGCAGTGGGAGTTAGGTCTCTTGGCTCTCTCACTCTCTTCCTCTCCCGCTCTCTTATAGTTCGTGTGTGGCGTTCGGGCTCGTACGAGTCGTATTCTTGCTGTCTAACATTGGCGGAGCAGCGGCAGAGAAATGTATCCTAACATTTCTGCTACAAAACCTATGTAACATAACATTTTGATCGCAACTGAAGCGCCAATGGCGGGCAATAGAGAAATTACTCGATGTTAATTATGGTTAATAATTAAACATTTTTTTTAAGATCCTACTTAATATAATTCAGTTTCAAATATTTGAGTTAAAGAACTTATTACTAAACAATGTAAAACATTTAGTATTAGTATTATCAAAATTTTGTATTTAATTACACAGACATTATGTTACTTTACCACGAAATGGAATCAGAATTCAGCTTATAGAAGCTGTGGCCTTATAAATTAGCTATGAAGGCTGTCCTTATGGGCGGGTTAACGTACACATTCCTACCCACCCTACAATAATCTACTATAAACTCAGTAAACCGACCGTATTTGACACGAAGCGACAATGCACGAAGCTGGATTATGGCAGCATTATAGCACTTCGCCGGCCAATTTTCCCCAGCGCCATTTAAGTTCAATTCGTTCACAGCATTCGTGGAGTTCGGTCGTGGGTGTTTTTATATGATTTTCAGAGAGTGCGTGTTTCGTGCCGGTTTGTTTGCGGAGTTTCTGCCATCATCCATCAGCTCGGTTTCCCAATCCACACCATCGCCTGCAGCATCCCACGGAGGAGAAGAGATGCAGTCGTGTTCACGTTCGGGCAGATGAATTAATTGTGGAAAATTGTTAAATTCCAGCTCGTTGAAGCGGCCACAAATCCAATTAACCATATATACACCATTTTCAGAGAGTTTGTGCATAATAGAGTAATTAAGTTTTCATACAAAAAAAAAGGGTTTTTGACACCGCACACACACGGCAAAGTAACTTGGGGTAGGTCCACAGCTATTCCTTCTTTTCTGATTTCCAAAGAGAGTGACAAAAACAACAGCAGCATCATTTCCGTTTCCGCTTTGCTAGCTGCTTTCCCATAAGAGTGTGTTCATAAAAAAAATAGCACAGAATTCAGCAAGAACCTAATCGGATTATTAAGTCTCTGCCGCAAAAAGGATGTCTATTGTGGGGAGACTTAGGGTTGGCATACACACCCCTCCCCTCCCAACCCCTCCCCTTTACACACCACATTTTCTGCATTTCCCTTTATTGACAATCTCTCTGCACAAGTCGCTGCATATCCGGGCCTCCAAATATTTCGGGGGCCTTCTTTTGTTAGTGGATTTTGGCCGCTCGCTTTGTTTGTTTCCTACATTTGGTGCAGATATGGGCAGCGTCAGCAGCTGTGGGATTGCATAATGTCCAGCTTCCTCTCCAGAAAGTAGCCCAAAGCGATTGAGGTGGCTTGGGAATTAGGTCTGAACGAAGGGGGAAAACAAGTTCTGCTATCTGAAGAAAATTCGTTCTTAGTGGTTGCATTACGTTAAAGTTAAAGCTTGAATAATGGAAGTTAAATAATAGTTATTAAGGAATGATAAACTAAATAGTGTTGCAGAAAGATAAGAAGATTTACGATTGATAACCATTTTCATCAAAAAGGGCCAAAATGTTTGTAGAAGGAAGAAACTTCTCTTAGTTAAGTTTTCAAATTAAACAGCTTTCTCAAAGGTTAAACACAAATGATAGAAGGTAAAATAAACACTTTGCTGATTTCAATCAAAACAGGACCGAATCCACCCACCCACAACCCAAAACTGTCACTGTCGCATTTGCTAATAATACCCCTAAGTTGGGGGGGACCTGTATAATGAACCTAATCCAGGCGAAGGGAATGTCAGAACACCATCGTCCATCGTCCCTTCCGTGGGAACTGGACACATGTGAGTGTGAATAGGGGACAGTGGGCTATGCAAACGATTCGCAGGAATTTCGGATTGAAGGGGCGGATTGGGGTTGCCGGTTGACTGGCTGACTGGTTGACTGGGCAAAGGAAGTTGGCTTCGGCATCAGCAAATGCCAGGCATTGATGTGTCCATCAAGTGTCTCTGTCTCCGTCTCCGTCTCGGGAACCGGAGGTTCATTGAACCCTCCAAGAACTAGAACGTCCGATAATAATTGATTGGTCGGAGAATAGGGAAAGGGAATCGAACGGATCCCACACACACACTCAGTATCTGAAGTATCTCTGGAATATCTTCAACTTGACGCTGGGGAAGGCTGAGACGGAAATTGGCGCTCTCTGCAGAACGCATTCGGACGTGTGATGGGCCAATTTCACACATGGCAGAAACGGCGGCGGAAAAAATAGTATCTGAAAACCAAAACAGAGAGCGAGCCAAGTGCAATGCCCTGGACTTCAGTTGACGCTGCACTTTTGCCACCTTGTGGAGTCGCCAAAAATAAATGCCAAAAGCCATTTCCACTTCTCATTCTTGTTCTCGTTCTCCCTCCTCCGAAAATGAAAAGCGGCTTCCCCGCTTATTATGTTTCGGTTTCCCCCAACTATAAAAGGCCCATATAAATATATGGATATATATTCAGACATATAGCGGCGCCGCCATTCATCACCAGTGGAGACCCTACTCCCCCTATACTTACTGTACAGAGTTGCGGATGTGGAATCAGCGTCGGAATCAGAATCCTGCTGCTACTCTGTTGTTCTGTTCTCTCTATTAAAATGCCACATTTAAATGCCGAACCGAGACTCATAAATGTTTCTCTTCTCGCAAATGCAGTGAACAAAGAGCAGCGGCATCAAAATTGATTGCTTTCACATGGACACGAACTCGGTGAGCCCCCTGCCTCCAATGGAGGAGGCCATGGACAGGGTCAGCGAGAAGTCACCCCCGGGAACACCAAATGGGCTCGACATGCCCCCGCCGCCAGATGAAAAGTGAGTTCAGATTACCTACTCCATAAGATCCAAAAATAGATCTTAAATTAATGTAAATTCTGTTGTTTTTAAAACAGATTAAAATGGTTGTCATTTAGTATGATGTGTTAGGTGATAAGTCAAGACGGAAGCATACTATCACGATGTTCTCAAAATCTCAAATTGAAGATTTTTAAATATCTTTCAGGATGAGTTTTTGTATTTTAATCACCTTAATTTGTTTCGAGAAACAAACACAAAACCTCTTTCCACCAGAAACTCTCTTTCTCTCTCTTTTTCGGTTGCCCAATCAATCTCCCATTCGCAGCTAATCAACACAATTTAGTCAGCAGAATCCCCAACACATTTGTTTATCAATATTTAAGTAAATTGTGTCACTTATGCATATCAAATTCGAGCCAGACACACAGCCTCAAGAAGAACAGAGAGACCAATTTCCCAGGGGGCCAATTTGGAACTCTTGTCTAGTCGGGCAATTGGCCTTGCTCATCTGAGATGCTTAGATGCTCAGCTGCCAGTCCAGACTGGCACTAACTAAGCTCTTTAGATGTAAGTGAAAAATAGTCTGAGGTCCGCTCAGCCGTACTCTGCCTTTAATCGATTTTAATGGCACCACGCGGCGTATGTGTAATATTTACATGGAATAGGACCCAAACACGTTAGGAATTACCCCAGAAGACTAATTAACAATGGCGAAGAAGAACAACAACCAATGTCGACGCCTACACACCCTTTGCTAGACAGAGGCTTGGTATGAGGTGGAAGGGATACTGCTATCCATAGTTCGAGGTTATTTTTACGCGCCAATTTCCTAATTCACGTATCTTTGAAAGTCGTAAATTTTATTTTAATGCGACCTCGTCGCAAATCACACAAAATCCCCGCTCCATTCATCCTTCCTGGCAAACCGTACGTACACCCACAAATTCAACAGTTGATCGCGTGCGGGAAACTCACATAGTAACTGGCCGTAAACATTCCGCCCGGTTGCCTCCTCCTCCTCCTCCTCCCTTGGCCATGTCCTTGTCCAATTTCTGGCACGAAGCTCGGTAAGCTTCAAGTAATTACGGGTATTTTTCTTTCTTTGCTCGCAGGAGACTCAACCTTTTCGCCGCCTCGTTTTCATTTCATTTTCATTTGGTTTTCATTTGATTTCAAGTAATTTTTGGGCGCGCTGCCCGTACACAAAATAAAAATCAACTGGCTTATGGGCTCCAAGGAGCCGGAATAATGACCCAAAGTCCCAGGGTGTGTTTGTTGTCTTTGCCGGGGGAGTGGACCCTCTAGTACATATATGAGAATGGAAGTGGCTAACCCTAACCCGCTCCCACTACTCCTTGGTGACCCAGTAATTCGCTAGGAATTAGTGGAAGCAACGTTTCCATAAATATTTGATTGACTCTGGCTGCTGCTGTTCCTGCTGCTGCTGCTGGCAGGTGTTTTGATTGATACCCTCATTTACTTATTTATTTATAGTCACAAAGTGTTCTTGACAAACAGGTGTCTTATTAATTAGTTTTTGGGTGGAGTTGAGAAAACTATTTCTGTCTTTTTATGTACAAATTTAGTTTAGTTTACTTTAATATGAAATAAATTTTTCTTATCATGAATTTTTCCAGTCAGCTGATGACGACTATCTTTTATCTTAACTTTGTGTACCCTCTTAATCTGTAGTAGCTTTTAGACCGAAAATTACATAAACCAAGGTTGAGGCGAAGAGACACTGGGCCTTAAATCTTCCTAATCAAGAAACCTTAAACAAATAATTAACACATCTTTAAATTTATAACTCCCGTGATGGTTTCTTTCCCAGCTAATGGTTGACTTCCCAACTAAACAAATTCTCTCTTTGGTTAAGCGGTTAGGCCCTGCTGGTTGTATTCCCAGATAAGCAGCTTCAGATCAGTTGGTGTCACTGCTAAAATATCGTTACATATGTGATCTAAAACCTAGAGCATTTCGCAGCTCGATTTTTAGTACCATGAAGCTTTGGCCAGAAAATTGAAATTTATTTTCATTTGTCTCTAGCCGATCGCCGCGATCTGATCGTTGTTACAGTTCATTTGATAATAAAATTCAGTGAATTGAATTGAGGATTTTCGTGCGGTTGTTTGTGTTAGTGTTAGTGCGGCTATTAACAAAAGGAGCAATATAAACAAAAGCATAGAAAAATAGAAGAAAAACAAATTTATATTTAAAGTGCTTTGTTTATACTGAACTTGTGTGCCACTTTTTGAAAATATTTTGAATGTTCATTACACGCTATTTGCCTCTGCTACTTTCTTTGACTGAGAAATCAGAAATCAGACTTGTTCGACATCGCTGAACAAGAATCGAAATTTGCATCTATAGAATTACGAATTGATTAAATTCGTTGTGAACTTACGGCCTCATCTGGGCACATGAATAGATAACGAACCGAATCCATCACTGTTTTTTGGGATCGCTTTTTGGCTCTGTGTGATTGACAAATTAACGCATTCAGCGTTCGATTAGCATCTGTATCCAAACTGGAAAAGTTCTATTAGCGATTAGCGATCCCATAGCCAGACGACGGTTTTTCAATTGTCTCTCGATTGTGGCATTTTACAGAATCAGCAAACTATATAGAAGCCTAATTACGCGGAAAACACCAAACACAATCTATACATAAAATAAACGACCTTTAGTTGGGCCATCCTATAAGCATATATATATAAAGCTATATTGAGCCGATCTGTGACGCATCGCCTAGTGATTCTACCTCTAGTGGGTGGTGGTGACAAAATCAAGAGAAAAACCCAAACGAATTTCGGCCCAAATAGCAACACTTGGCTAAATGCGTGATCGTCACTTGGCCAAAATGCCGCGTGGAGGAACGACAACAGCGTAAGTTCTAAATATCTCAAAAAAAAAAAAAAAAAAACCAGACAGGGCCAGACTTTAGACCCAAAATAAACAAATTGCGTACTGTTCTTAAGTGTATTTAATTTAATTTAAACAATTGCTGCTTATGGAGAAAAAGTACTTTGATCGTGTCAGGTTGTATGTAGCGCGAATTCGATTGTATCTGCAAGATACAATTTCAAGTATGTTTCGGATTATTATGGATCGAGGGCCCGCACTCCCTCGAGACATCGCTTCAATTAAATAAAAGCCGCGACATCGACGATGCGTCGTCGTCTCTAAACAATTGCCAGGCATTGTAAAGTAACCCCCCAGCCAGATCAGACCACTATATATGTCGTACTCGTCGTACTTCATCATAATCAACCCGCAGGATAACGTACAGAAGTGTGTGTTCCGAGTGTTTGAGTGATTTCCAGCCATGCGTGCGACAGCAAATGTTTTAATTCGCCTCGATCCGCAGATTTTTAATTGTACATTCCGACTCAGCTCGTTACTTGTTACATCTGATGGTTTCTTTAATTGAATTGTGCCCTGGCTTCCTGCTATAAATTTCTTTTCTACTTTTCCTAATCTTTTCCCTATATTCCCATATTACGACCCGTTAGCATTGCTCTACTTTTGAGTACTTAGTTAACCAAGTTATTGCCGTAATTAGCCCGGTTCTATTAAGGCCTTCTGTTCTGGTTTCCCTATTATCTGTTTAGTTTTTTACTTTTGTTGATCTACTTGCCTCTCATCTGGCTGCCATGGTCATCATAATCTTCATCACATGACTGAGATAAGGCAAGGTCCCTTGAATGTACTTAAATTTGAAGATTCTGCTTATCTCTAGATAAGGCTTAGACATAACTCAACACATTTTATCAGTATGATATAATGTCATCTTGATCTTCACATTCGCAGTTTGTAAATTTGCATATCTCAGATAGGAAACCTAAAACAGTTCTTCATCCTTGGCAGTGCTGTTTAGTTTTATATATTAATTTGTTTGTTTATGTTTTAAATTAAGAACAAAACTGGCAGACAAATGATAGATGGCACTAACTAGAATATTCTTGAATTATACTTTCCTATCTATCTAGCAGTTTTTAACTTAACTTTCCTACCTCTTTAAAGATGACAGCAAACTTAATCTTTTAATAACGAAATAACAATAAAGTCAGACATTGAATTTCCCATTTCTTTAAATTGAAAGCTAACCAACTGCTTCTTATTTGCAGTTTAAGTTTATTTTATTATCCGCTAGTTAATTTGTATGACATGTCAAGCCATAAAGTCATAAATATAATCCCCTCATCAATCATGATGGTTTTCCCAGCTTATATTTGCATAAATTATGCATTTAGTTTGCATTTGTTAAATGACTTTGGTAGTTTGCCGATTATGCTGCAACATCGATGCGCTTTCTCTGTTTATTTACCTTTCCATCTACAGTGGGTGCCACTGTAAGAGTCAATAGCCTTTTATCCACGATGACCCATTAGCCATGAGTCGCTGCACCTAGGCCAAATACCCGACACTCGAAACTCTAGCTCAGACCGAGGTTCAGGTTCAGGTTTGACTATATACCAAACAGGTGGCGTTCAGCAAACGAGTTTTCCATAAAACGTAAAAGCTTTTAGCGAAAATTTCTCAGCGCAGCTAACCAAATGAAAAGTGAAAGAGATACAAATGTGCAGCTAAAGATACAGATACAGATACAGATACAAGTACAGCCAGTGGCGTCGGCTTGTTTTCCAACAAACTGCGGCAAGTGAAATGTATGTTAGAGCAAACAGCCACTGCAGCTAGTCATGCCCCGCTTTTCCCTGGCCCCCTTGAAAATGTGTTGATAGCTAAATGCCTGCCCCAACCGCAGTACCAAAACCCAAAGCCCAGACGCAGCTGCAGCCACAGATGCAGCCACATTCACATCTACTGCGGCGGAGGAGTGCAACTTGTGGCAGACACTCGTTCATTGACACCGCCATCGGATGCACAGCAACAAACGTGATCTGTGATCGTCAATTAATCTATTTCAAAGGGAAAAGTATGTGCTTAGATCTGAAAACATAAGTTTTTCTTATTTTCAAATCAATTTTAAACTGACTATCATCTTGATATTAACAAATAAGTTTTGGAGAAGAAAAATTAATCAAAGAAAAGTTTCTGTAGTTCATATCAAAACCATTTCCTTGGCAATACTAATACTATATCTCAAAGCTTAGATTAGATCATCTTAAAACCTCGTTTAACTTGGTAAATTCTTGGCAAAAGATATATATCTTATACCTCTTTTGTTAATACCATATAAATCTCAAATAAGTCTTGACTTTTTCTCCGAGTGTCTCTGATCTTTAGGCACACTCACAGCCTCACCAATCATGCCCCCCCGTATCCGATCCACTCCGATCCTCTCCACCGTTTGGTGTCTCATGTAAATTGGAGCACCCCATGGCATTATCTTCGCGTTGCAATGATGCAAGTGTCGTGAAAGCGAGAGTAACAGCGATATGATAGTGATGATGATGATTATGCCTGGTAATTCGATTCGCTTTTGCTTTCATTATCACAACATGGGGCTCGCACTATTAATTTAAATAATAGGTTTGTTTACCAAATGGATTTTTGGAATTTCATATGAAAAGCCCAGGAGTTGGACTTGGTGATGATTAAGTGGCTCGTTGGCGGCCAGCAATGCGTCTAATTACCACAACCGCATAGAGTTTCTACTCCAGTTTTGTGGCTGCAGGCTGTTTACACTTTCAACAGATCAACAGATGGCTTTGGTTTGGCTACCCATTGTGTTTGTTTGGCTGGTTGGGTGGGACTTCTCCCACTGCAATATGTTGATGATGGATCTATATCTCTTTAGATGGTGAGATCATTGCGCACAGCATCAGCTAGTATGTCATATGATCGCACGACAAGTGATGAAATTAATATGACAGACAGACCGCAATTGGCTGGAAACAATACACTTTTGACTCCATTACCCTTTCCCCAGCTGTCAAAATCATTCCATAGGATAAACTTCACATGCAGAATACACCAACACCACACCCAATCCAAGAAGTCAAGGACAAGTGAAACAGTTTATACGATAAGTTGGAACGCAAGTACGCTTTGGTGAACTCTTCAAGCCAGAAATACTCTAAACATAAGGGGAAAATGGAAAATTTGATAAGCAAATTAGATAATTGTGTTTCTTCATAGATCCTCTGTGATTCCACTTGATCTGTCCATCTGTCTGTTGTCTATCAATTAAGCCGTTTAGCAGCACATTCAACCCACAATTAGCGTAATCTATTGAGAATCTCCGCTAGAATCTCCATAATTCCAAGGCGGAACCATCATAAATTGTGTTTAATGAGGTCGGCCAACCCACATTCCCCTCTCTCTCTGCTTGTACTAGCTCTGTTCTTAGGCAGAACTCATAAATCCCTTGTAACATTAGAAACATAAGTGATATTTGGAGTGTGATATGATATAAGAGAACAACCCCCAACAAAATGAAACCAATTGACGGACCCTTTATCGATGAACTGAACCACCTCATCTTTCATCGTCCAAACTTTATAAAGAGTCGCGGCAAAAAGTAATTGATAAAGTTATATAAAATATGATATCATCGATTTTTCCAATGCTCTTTAAACCCCACAGGCGCTATGAGGAGGATCCGGATAATGCCTGGAACTGCTGCTCCTGGTGCGAATACTTACTGATTGTCATCCTCTCCACTATCCTGCTGGTGGGCGTTCTGGTCTTGACACTCTTCTGGGTGATGTTCTACAGGGATGGCTTCGCCTGGTCGGAGAGTCCCAAGCAGCAGTTCAACCTGCATCCCATCCTGATGATCGCTGGTTTCGTAACGCTCTCTGGATTTTGTAAGTCTCTCTCTCATATAATGATAGATGAAGTAATTTTATTTACGATACCACATATTAGCCATCTTGATCTACCGCTTGTGCCGATGCGTGAAGCACATCTATGTGAAGCTGATCCACATGTTCTTCCATGCCGTCGCCATTCCGTGCATCGCGTTGGGTTTCCTATCCGTCTTCGATTCCCACGAGGCATTGCAAAAGGTCAACTTCTATAGCCTCCACTCGTGGCTGGGCTTCGTGACAATGGGCATGTTTGTGCTCCAGTTTGTGATCGGCTTCTTCACGTGGGTTTCTATATAGCTCTTTTTGGTGTCCCAATCTGTCATATTAATTAGCCTTCTTCTTCTATAGCTTTCTGGTGATGTTATGTTGTGAGAACAAGACCTACAGCTGCCGATCCGCCATGGTGCCCATCCACGCCAGCTTGGGTCTAGCCAACTTCTGGCTGGCCATTGCCACATCCGTCACGGGACTGATCGAGAAGGAGCGCGAAACCGTCACCGAAACGGGTGTGAGGTAAGAATCGTCTCATAATTGTTATAGGTACCTCTTAAACAAAACTTGCAACTATGTTTAGAAATAGTAATTTAGTTTTAGTCTTTAAATAAGCTAAAATGAACTCTTAAATTCGTCCAAAAAGCATCTTAAGCTTTTCGATAATGACTAATTTTTAGAAATTTATAATGAATATCTCATGATACACGTCAATCAATCAATGCTACTAAGGAATTAACTTTAGAACTATGAAATATATTTGCTATACTGTATATTTTCCCTGAGAATTATGCGCAATTTATAGATTTTAGGCTGAATCATCATCATCAACATAAAATAGAATTTTGCCAAAAAGTAGACTACATTATTTTTTAAGTCTTTCAAGAACGTTATGGAAGTGAATGGAAATCGTAATAAGAAATTAGATCATTGATAGTCAACATTAATATAGTTTATCTTTCTCATTCACGAAATAATATTAATTGAATTAAATTATTTTCACCTTGCAGCCCGGAAAACAAGCTCATCGAGCACTACATCACCAGTGCCATCGGCGTCACCCTGATCTTCATTGGCATTATTGTGACATTTGCGGTACGGCGTTCCAATGCCCCCGCCTCCGCAAAGGTATATGTGACGGAGCGCATTTAGATGGGCCGTCCGGCTTGTCGGAGTATCCGTCGCCGGATTTGGTCCACGGCCAGGACGGGAAGCGAATCGCAACAGATGTATCCGAAGATACCAGAACTCGGCGACATGGACTGGAAATGGGGCAACGACGAGTCGTGGTTGCCCACACGCCAGGCTTAGCGCACAGAGACCACGCTTCTGCATCTCTATCCGAACCCTTTGTAACCATTTTATATGCCAAATTAAATCCTCTTCATACACTTAGACTCTACTCAACTCTACTCCATACGGCGCTAATCAAAATCTTTACCCACTTTCAAACTTCTTAGTAGATGTGTAGGATTAGGAATCTCAGAAAACAAGCCGACCAAGCAAAGCAAATCTAATCAAAATTAACATGTGTGTGTTCAGCCGAACTAAACTGATGCATTAAGGCACTCTGAAGCATGATTAGCCTGATTAGTTTTTTTGGTACTATGAGTATACTCGTATAGTAGAATTTTGATATAAGCCTAAAGCCCATTGTGTAACTAGTGTATGTACCATGTACCACGTAATGCATTGAATGTAACGCACCACTCGGACTCAAAACTGTCGCATTTGATGTTTTTTGTAATCGTGCAAATATTTGTATTTCATAATGCGCTAAGCAACGTAAGCTGTAAACCAATTTTACAAACAAATAATAAACGATACTTTTGCCCTGTCTGAGGGGTATTCATAATGTGAGATTATGTTTGTGAAGAAATTCATGGTTTAGTTGGCTGATAGAGGTAGTAATACTCCGTGTATCTATACCGGGATGTCGGAACATGCTTTATCCTTAAGATTTGCTAAAAGGAAGAAGCTATAGATATCAAAGGTAGTAAGAAAGGTTAACCAAACACTCAATTTAAACTAAAACTTCATCACTTTTATTCTAAGCAGTCTTTACTAAACTTATATCCCCACTAGCCGAATCAACATCATTGTTTTGATAGTCCCCAAAGTTGGTCCACGTAAAGTTCCAGAACCTGGGATCAGCACGAGGATCAGCAGGCTTATTTGAAGGCGGCACTGCTGTAGAGTTAAAGCGCTCCAACTCTACCAACAAGGCGTTTACAACTTCCGGATATCTTAAAGATATTCAAAATGACTATAAAGTATAAAACTTATAGATTTATAAACTCACTGCTTTGCCAGATTGAACTGCTCACAAGGATCATTGCGAATGTGGAACAAGCATGGAGCTGAAAAGGCGGTGGCCTTACAACTGGTTCCTTCAGAGGATTGACTCTGGCAGGAGACTGTGGCAGCTGCCCGTAATCTCTGCAGATCCGCTCGACTTGGCAGCATACGGAGTGCTTCCAAGGCTTTGCCTGACCTACTCTTCGCCACCATTTGCCAGTCATAGAGATTGGGCTCTCTTGTTCCAGCTGGTCCATACCATCCATCCCAACTGCCTCGATAGTTGGTGCCCTTGACCAATTTCCAATCTCCTACGCTGATGGCGGCACTTCCCCAAATGTCATCGATATTATGGAGCACATTAAGACGTGGTGATGCCTTATCCTGTACCAAAGACCTCCAAATACTCTGACCGTCGATTGCTTTGCTAAGATTAGCCACAGAGGGTTGACCACCAGCTGCTTCGAGGAGCGTGGGTAGCCAGTCTACGATGTGCATCGTCTGATTGGAAACCCGCTGGCTTTTCTTCAGCAGAGGTGACCAGATGAGACCCGCTGCTCTTACTCCGCCCTCCCACAGGGTGTTCTTAACACCTTTCAAGGGGTAATTTGAGGCAAAGTTCAGGTTAAATCCTTGGGCTGGACCACCATTATCCGAGGAGAATATAATAATAGAGTTTTCCAGCATGTTGGATTTACGCAGCTGGTCTACGATTTCACCCACGGAGTCGTCCATTTTGGATACCATAGCTGGGGAAGAACAAGTTAGAGTTATTCTGGAGAAGATTATGCTCAGTCAAATGATATTTTACCTGCAAACTTCCTACGTTTATAATGTCGAATATGTCCCAGCTTGACCACATCGTTATCCGGAACTGGCAACGGATTATACGGATTACTCGAATGGCATGCTGCATGTGCCACGTAGAGGAAGAGAGGACCATTGGTGGAATTATGGTTGGCAATAACCTTGACCGAGTGTTCAGTTATCACATCCGTTGTGTACTGTCCATGAAGATCATAGGCCACTTCGGTGCCATTACGCATATCCAAACCCCACTGATTGTTTTCAACGGCAGTATGATCGTTGTAATCCTGATGACCTGACCAGAATCCGACATGGCTACTAAAGCCTCGATGCAGTGGAGTATATTTCAGCTTCCAATGACCGAGATGCCATTTGCCAGCTATGTGAGAGGTGTAACTGGAAATAGAGATTGAGCAATTATAGGCTTAACTTTAGAAATCTAACGACCTACCCCAACTCGTTCAAATACTGGGGCAGTATCTTCTCCTCCAGCGGCAAACCTCGTGGTTCAGCGGCATAGAGAACTGTATGCTGCATTCCTATAAAAGATTTATTAATAGATATAAATATCTGATATGAAAAATATTTACGTACCCGTATGAATTGGATATTTCCCGGTCATTAAAGCAGATCTTGAAGGAGTACAAATGGGTGCCACATAGTAACGATTTAGAATAATTCCAGAATAAGCCAAAGCATCAATATTGGGCGTGGGAATCTCTGCTGAGCCATGGAAACCCACATCATTAAAGCCCTAAAGAGTAAAATAAAGTAAAATATGTAAAAGAAATATAAAATTTAACTTACCAGATCATCAGCCAAAATAAAAATAATATTCGGCCTGGCAGGTGGTTTTTCCTCTTGACATAAAATCAAATTTGGCAGCAACATAAATAGTAGCCATAGAAATAACATTGTTTCTCTGGAAAATCAAAAATCGTTTAATAAAAACATTAAACAAGATTTCTCAAACACCGTGTGATATTTGCAACTATAAAGAAAACAATTAGTTAACTAATTGATGTGTCGCAGAGATTCCCAGTGACAGCAATTACGAGAACGAGCTGAAATCAATTGATTGATCATCCAACGTTTGGCATCGTGGCATTGATCGTCATCTGGGTTGAAATTCATTTCCATTTGCCTCTCTGGAAATGGAACTGAATCAGCAATTGCACTCAATATGACCTCAATTCACCTGCATTGAGTTAATTGATTTGCGGGTTCAAATTGGGTGCTTCATTATATGAAAAGCCAGTTATTGGTCATAGGGAACCCCTCAAGAATTTATGTTATAGGCTTATGGGTTACGAATTCAAAGCGATTTCATATGCCACCTAATTAGCATGTAAATTGCGTTTGTCGCTGTTTGTACCGTTAATGGGTCAACAAGTGCCACTCGGTAATCAGAAAGCTCAAATTAAAAAACCAAATTAGATTCGGCGACTCTTCGCAGACAGATCGACCTTTTAATGCTCTAAAAGTGATAAGGGAATGTTTAAGCTTGTTTGGTGATGATTATTTGATGCATAAAAGATGGTAAAGAACTTAAGTCAAATTAATCACAATACTTATAATCGTTGTTATAATGGTTTCATATAATAATATCCTTTTAAAATTATCTAGGTATGTTCCGATTAACTTTTAAGTAAGGTTAGGCTGATGCTTAGGTGATTTTAGTCACATAAATGCGTCTATCACTTCACACAGATATATTCCTGTTGAAAAGTTTTCGTATACTATACACTTTTTAAAGAATTTCACTTCTTTGTGTTCATATATTTCGTATTTATTTTCAATATGTTAGGTCCACTATGAACTCTCTTTGTTATACAAACAATCATTCTATTGTCTGTCATAGGTCACTAACCCCTTTTGGGTTTCAAAAGAAATTCAGTTATGCAAAATCACTCATAAGCCAATTATATTATTTTTGTGGCGATTAGTAAAGTTCACGCCCTTACCGTTTTAACTTTTGTTTATTTTACGCGATTTTGGAATTAATTAGACAGGTAAACAGGCTGCAAGCAATATTAACTTAACACGTAAACTTGTTAGAGTTTGTTATGCCTGAGCCGTGTACTCGATTTTATTTGCAAATTTTGTATTTGACTTTTGGTTAACGTAATATTCTGTACATACATATATACAGTACTGTTTATTTAAGAACGATTTATGTTGACTGGGGAAGAAGTTATTTATTCGTCTGTCACCGGTTTGCCAACCGTTTTAATTCACGCGCCAAGTCTGACTGAAAAAATTCCCAAGCCAAGCCAGGCACCAGAGCCGCAGACCTTTAACAGTGAAAGCAAAACGCTGTTAAAGATCGAAATCTATTCAAACAGAGGTAGAGTGCGCTACAGAGCGCATCGACGGCTTTAATTGCATGAAAAGCGCAAACTTATGCTTTTGTTGACCTCCCGGACCCATGAAAATGAAAACATTGTATAACATTAGTTTACATTATTTATAGTACACAGGATCCGGTGAAGGAATATCTACGGAAAACTCTTTATAATTCAACAAACTACTTTGAAAACAGATTAACTTCCTTCGAACCATCGGGCTCCTGTCTAGCCCGCTGCAAAATACACTTTTAATGCTTAGTTTTAAATGTTACATCTAGAAGTACACAATGGGAAATAAATATAAGCTAGACAGGCAATAATTTCTTAGAGAAAGCAACCAAATCACCCAATGCTTTATGGATTTAACAGACCCCCATGCAAATGGAGGACGTTTAGAGTATTTCCAGGTCCACATGCCGTATTTCCGGGAATTGCGTCTGCCAAAAAATACAGAATACAGGTAAGTAAATAAATAACTTAATTATTTCCTATAATAACAAACCCGCAGATTCATCTCGATGCGATCAATTTCGCCGCCCATCAGGTCCACTATGTTTTCGCCTTGATCCAGCAAAAAGCCCTCCAGATCCTCAACCTTTTGGAAGCCTCGTACCGTCTGCGGGTGTGAAAACAAAAACCGGTTAGTGACAGGCCAAGAAATGGGTCAATTACCACGCACCGTAAGCAGCTTAGCGAGATCCTGTTTGTCCAGATACGAACGCGTCAGCTCGCGACCATCAAAGTCGAGCTCAGCCTGTGAAAATACAAATTAGTCTCATTGAAGCCCTTTAAGAGCAAGGTCTCACCTTGTAGCGGACTCGAGCGTTTCCAATATCGATGCCCTTGACATCGTAAATAGCTCGAATCATCACATCAGCCTCTAAAGCAGAATTTATCTTTTCCAGTCGCTCGGAAGCAATGGAAATTCCCACTAGGGCATTCGCATTTGTGTAAATGATAAAGGACGCTACGGCACCTAAGAGAGCACCTATAACCAGGGATCCAGCGGCATCAAAAATGGGAGATCCTGTGTAGCTACTCAATCCCATACATGCTCCAGCTACCATGACACCAGTTACAGCAGCAGCATCTTCGCAGAGCACCACATTCACACACGGGTCCTTTCCAGAAATCACTGAGTGTACATTAGAAGGCAAAAATATTATTGAAATTAAAAACTTATTTTAAAAACTCACCATAGTCTTTGAACGTCATATTGTTTTCCTTAGCTGCTCGTTTAAGCTCATTGATAGCCACCACCAAAGTGGCTCCCTCAGAAACTAGAGATCCCATTAGGATGCAGTATACCCAAAACAGATCTGTGATGGGTTCTGGATGCAATATACCATCTATGCCGTGGTAGATCGACAGTCCACAGCCAACGCAAAAGATGCCTACACCCGAGATCAGAGAGGAAACGTATCGCATATTCATATATCCATAAGGATGATCGATGTCCGGACTCTGAGACGACTTGTATATGCCAAATGCAAGAATGAGCTGGTTGATCAAGTCGGCCAACGAATGAATAACCTCAGCAAACATGCTGTGGGAACCGCTGTAAAGCCAGCCTCCTGCCTTGAAGAGCAAATTAGCCGCATTGCTGAAAAGAGATAAAACCATGTTTTAAGAAGGATTTTTATATTTTAAGTAAAGCAACTTACATAGCAATGGCTGTGGCCACTACTTGTCCGGACTTCTCCGTTTCCTTGCGGCTGTCGAGCACTTTGGTGCGGGATCCCATCTCTCTGCGGTAGTCGCGCAACCGCCGTTTGACAGTAAAAAGATCTGCGGAGTCATAGACTTTAGCACCCACATTAAAGATTGGACGAAGACAGGGGACACAGGGACTCACTCTGCTGGTACTGCTTGCGTTCCACCTCTCGCTTAAGTCGCTCCCGCAATAGGTTCTCCTTCGAGCCCCACACTTCAACGGCCTTGGCCTCCACATCTCGTCGCCAATATACCGTCATAGGAGGCTCTTGTTCGTACGGTGATCTTCGCTTAATCTTAGGAAGGCTTTCAAGTTCTGCAGCGGTCAGCAAGAAGTCGCTTATGGCCCGATTTGGAGTCACAAAGTTGCGTTCCAGAGAAGCGCGATAATCAAATCGTGGTCGCTTTGGTGGAATTACAGGCAATGGAGACTCTACTGGTGGGACTGTAGGAGGTACTTCTGTCTTTGAAGCTAATACAGTTGCAGCTATAGCAGTTGGAGTGGATGGCGGTTTTACTGTTTCAGGCGGATTTTTAAAGGTACCTCCACCCAATGGTAATGCGCCAGTACCAGCTGGAGAAGAGCTGGTCCGCAGACTGATGGCAGCTGCTGCTAGAGCCGGTTCCTTTAGCTTTGACACAGGAGGCAGATCGGATTTTTCAAACACGATCTCGTTGATCTTAGAGTCCTCTATGGTGGTACTGATAGAAAGAATGCCCTTTGTTGTCTTCACCTCTAAGTTCCTCGTTTGCTTTTCCTTCGCTTGGGCCACTGAACCTGTGATCTCTTGCACCCCCGGTTGTTCCTTCTTTTTCGAGTCACTGCCACTAGCGCTGCAGCGAAACTGAAGAAACATGCCGGGTCGCTTACAGGGGGGAACCTTGGTGGACTCGCTGTCATTGCGCTTCCAAGGATTTCGGGCTTCATGGTGCAAGGAGCCCTGACTGAAAGCCCTCCCAAACTGCTGGTGTCTTCGCTGCAGAACCTGCACGCCGCGCATCAGCATCCTGCACTGAAAGGGATTATGGATTATGCTTATCTTTTCAGTACGTATATTAATACATACACGGCGCGCTGCGTCAGTATCTGGCTATAGATTCCGATCGGTTGTTTTCTATTGGTGGGGGTGCTCCGCGGTTTAGCGCAAAACTACGTCATGCGGGTCAAATAGAACGGTGGCAATACGAATTGCGGACGTAACGAATCGTGATCGGTTAACTTTGGGGTACGCCGCACTCGGTCCTGGGCTTACAGTCCTTGGGGCGTCGCGGGCGTATTTGGATTTTGGCTTTAAATATACATTGGCGAATTTTTTATACTGAAAATTTAACCATCACCGGCTGGCGCTTTTTGCTTGTGCTTTGGCCGTTGTTTTTGTGGTTTTCGTTATTACTTAGCGCAGCTTGGTCACACTTTAAGCTGTTCAGAAGTGTTCTCAATATAAAACATTACTAAATTCATAGATATATATTTATATAATGTTATTTAAAAAGTCAATTCCGGGCGCATTCGAAAATTTGATTTTGATTTGGATTCTTTTACTATCCACAATCTCAAACTTTGTTTAAACAATGGTTTAAAAATGTAAAGGTAGTGGGAACAGTACACTTGCCGCCTCAATGTTATCGATGCGTTACTCGATAGTCGACGGCAACAGCTGTTTTCGCCGGTCGTTTTATAATCACTTAATTATCCATTTTCTCTTTTTGTTTTTACTTGATTTTAACGGCAAAATGTCTATGCTTATGCAAGGAGCGTCGAGATTAGCCCGTCAATGCATCCGCCCACTTATTGCAGCCCGTAATTTTGCGGCGGCGGCTCCATACGGCGATGGAAATGAAGTTCTGGTTGAGCGATTGGATGGACCTCAGACTGGAATCTCAGTTATTGGTCTTAATAGACCAGCAGCAAAAAATTCCTTCAGTAGAGGAATGGTAGAAACCTTTACCGATGTCCTGGACGATATCAAGAAGGATAATGGATCAAGAGTAGTGGTATTGAGGAGTCTCACTCCAGGTATCTTCTGTGCCGGCGCCGATTTAAAAGAGCGAAAGGGTGAGCATTGATATTTAAGATACTAAAGTCCTATGTTTATTCCTTAAATTAATTCTAGGCATGACTCCCGAAGAGGCTACTGAATTTGTAAAGGAGCTCAGAGCTCTACTCATCGCAATCGAGCAACTTCCAATGCCCGTAATTGCTGCGTTGGATGGCGCTGCCCTTGGTGGAGGTCTGGAAATGGCTCTGGCATGTGATATCCGTACCGCTGCATCAAACACCAAAATGGGTCTGGTGGAGACAAGGTTGGCCATTATCCCAGGAGCCGGCGGCACCCAGAGACTACCCCGCATCTTGTCCCCCGCTCTTGCCAAGGAGTTGATCTTCACGGCTCGTGTGTTCGACGGTGCAGAGGCCAAGGATCTGGGTCTTGTCAACCATGTGGTACAGCAGAACGAATCCAAAGATGCTGCCTATCAGCAGGCCCTAAAGTTGGCCGAGGAAATCCTTCCCAACGGTCCAGTGGGCGTACGCATGGCTAAACTGGCCATAGACAAGGGCATGCAGGTGGACTTGGCCACCGGTTACTCTATCGAGGAGATTTGCTACTCGCAGGTTATCCCAACTAAGGATCGACTGGAGGGACTGGCTGCTTTCGCTGAGAAGCGCAAGCCCGTATACAAGGGGGAGTAATTGCAGATTCGAACCACTCCTAACGTTAAGCTGAAAATTGCATTTATAATTTATCTGTTACTGTTTGTTGTAGAAACAAAGAAGCGGCAAAGCCCAGTTCAATTGTTTTTATATAAAGCATTAGATTGAATCTATCAGGCTGTCAAATAACTTAAATTACGCTAATTGTAGTTAAGCTATTTTTTAATAGCTGCGATGACGCATCCCGATTTAGTCATGGAAATGCTAATTACAGCTATTAAATACCACCGATCGACATACACTCCCATTTGCATTGCATGTTCTCGGCCCAGCATAAAACTGGGAATCAGATGGAAAACTCACCTTGATCGTTCTGTCGTCGAACTATGCGGAAATTGGAATTTCTTAGGAAGCCGTAAGCTAGAAAGTTCCTATTGTCATGCAAGTTGAGTGTCTAATTGCATGGCGAATCAGCCTACAAGTTCCACCTTTAGATGACTGTGCCTTCGTTTGTCATTTGTACAGCAGGTAATTTGCATATTGCAAACATTTATATTACAGGGCGTGCTCCTCCACACTTATTGTATTTTTGGGGCCCGCTCGAAACAAAGGGATTCTGTATCACCTGGGGCAACACAAAACAAATCAGGCGCTAAATAAAGTCACTTTGGTGTAGCCGCCGTTGAAGATTTAACCGGTTTTTTGGCGACAACTCAAGGAAGTTGTCACCCAGATGACTGGAACCACCCCCACTAGCCCAGATTTTCGATCGAGAATCTACATTGCGTTATTACCTCACCTCCATTCAGCGGTCACAGCAGTAAATTAAAAATGCGTCGCGGGTGTTTGACATCGAGCAAGGTCAGTGTCGTTTTGGCAGAAGCTGTATATACAGATATCTGAAATATCGGAATCTAAAATACAAATCTCAACCGGCAAGCTGCGCAGTGTGCATATTAATTAATCAATTAATTAATTACTCAGTGCTCAATGCGTACAATACGAACCGAGTTGACCCCAAGACATGGCGAGAAGGCAGATCCGGAAGACAATTGCGGAAGCAAATCAATTATTTATTGTTTTGACTCGTTATTATGAGCGATAATAATACACACACACATTGCGATTTGGATGCGAATTTCTCGATGAGCATTTTAAATTTCCATTTGCTGAAGCTCGATCAGTTGGTCAGATTTACGAATACTCAAACTCGACGTGCTGCATTGTAATGAGGCAGGGAAGTGGAAGCCGGTGACAAGAGGCCTTAAATATCTTTTTTTCAGGGAGGGGATTTTTTCTGAATTAACTTTTTCCAGGTATTTGTATGTTTGAGCTGCCGCTTGAAAATCAATTAGATTGATGAGAGAGGTATTCTCAAGGCTTGCAAAATATACATAAATTTATATCAGATGGAGTGGAAAATCCCCTCCGAGGAGAGCCGATAATATCTTAGGCTCTTAAGAACACATCATCCATGAGGCTTTCACAATCGATAATACTCTATTAAGGCGGTACAACTTTATCAGGCTCAACGGAGATTGTCAATATGGGCCAGCAACAGTAGTAGTAAATATTTTCCAAATTCTATAACGATAAGAAATCACAGTGTCAATATTGCAGCGGCTATACAATAAGTACTTGACCTGCTTGAAAAGGGTTTCAGGTCTTGTTCATCGCAGAACCTTTTAGCTTATCAGACTATCGGCCTTCGAAGGCTTCCACATGTCGTATACGCAACGTGCATTTGCCTTGTCTTGCGTCAATAAGAAACCTTGTTAAACAATGAACATCATATTTTATCAGTACTTACTCTCCAATTAAAGATACAATGTTTGCTATCCATAGCCCTGGTTAACTTCAATCCAATCAACGCTTTAGATATTACTGCTATTCCAGAACTATGTTGTCTAGCTTAATTACATTACCATTTGGCCCTTAAATTGCGATCAGATTTTATGACCTCATAAATCAATGACAACTCACAATCCATTTTGCTCAACTTGATTTGAACTCGCCTAAATTCAAAATGCACATCACGTGAAAAATGCATTTCATTGCCGCTAAAAATTTTCCACTGTCCCACTGAGGCAGCAAACTAACTAACCACACCGTTTGCTAAGGCAAACAAAACCGATCGTTTTTTCATATTTTATGGTTAGACAACAGAAAACCAGCTAACAAGGGGAGCTGGCTACTTGAAACAAGTCAATCACTAAACTCCATGGTCTGTCTAAAAGAGAAGCGCCCCAGGCAACACTAAGTAATTGTTGGGATATAGAAAATGGGGGGGATTGGTTGAGAGGTCCAAAGAGCTGCAAAGTGTCGCACAAATTCTCGAGTTGCAACTAGGCAGCATACACCATATTTGGTGGCGAGATGCACTGGAAAAAAGATTTAATTATATTTATTACAGTTTTAATAGTTTCGGTTTTTGGGTTACCTTTAATAGTCCCTCCGAAAATGTTTTATAAGGAATATAATTTACTTTTAGTCAAATCTTTTGATTTCCTATTTAGTGTATTTATTAACCACTTTTTTGAACAAAATTCTTTAAAAAGAAACATATATTTAAAACAATTTAGTGACCAACGATTTTTCTTAAGATCTGTAACATCGTTAAGAAACTTTCAAAAATTTTTCTGTGTTGTCGCAACGATTGTTAACTGTATCAGATGATTGATGGTTGATTGATAGCTATAGTTCATAAGATGGCTGGATAGTGGCAGACAGAGTGTCTGTGGAGGAAACAGGGTGATGTAATTACAACCTGAAAATTAAAAGTCATAATGAAAGAGCCTGCCACCAGTGCACTGGTTGCCCCTAAAAGTATACACAATCCTTAAACTTTGGAATTTTTCAGAGAAAAATGCAATCAGATAAGGAAAATCTGTTCTTAAGCTTGACTAATCCATTTCGGCAAAGTATCAGATAAGAGGTTTCCCTAACAACAAACTTTTATTTTAAATCTGTACACTGGCACCCTGTTGTCCTCATACTCCTCTTACACCGATACTCCTCCTTGGCTACACGGCGTATGAGTAATGGGGCGAAGGCAGACTTGTCTGGCCGCCGAATGCCCAAAAGCTGAGTGATCTGTAGAAAGCACCCATACGCACAATGGCTATGTACCTCCTAAGCATACATATACATATTATCCACCTGGTTGAGAGAGAGGCCGACTTCGCCCCACCTGCGTCACGGTAACGTTTATTGTCCATTGCGCTAATTGCCCCGAACCGAGCCGACTTCGTCTCCGAGATTCAGTGGGGAGTGGGAAGACTCTGTATATCTGTGTGTCTGGCCGGGTTTATAGCCGCTCTGGCGACGCCATCGCAGCAACAAATTAAAGCACAAACATTGGCTTAATATCAGTCACTAAGCGATCGTCCGACTGTTAACAACAAATCGCCAGCGGGGGCCAAATTTAAAAAAAAAAATAAGAAAAATAAATCAAACGTAAACCCTTTAAACAAAGCGCGCGCGAATTTCGTAAATCCTTGCAACACATCAGGTGTTAAAAATTAAATAATTAAACAAGCAAATGGTCACAAAGAGTTAAGCTAAACAGTGTTGATTGCTTCTGCAAATTCTGGCCTTATAGCCGCACCATCAAGCATAAATATCATCATTAACGCGGCTGTGTGAAAAACTAAACTTTTTTGGCGTCAATGTCGAGGACAAACGATTGGATCCAACAATTAATATAATTTCTTTATAATACATATAGTAGCCGCCATAAAAGTTCACACAAAACTAAATCGGTTCAAAAGGTAATTATTGTGCTTGGGCAATTATTTCTTTGTTTACATCGAGCTTTTCGTGTTTATCATCGCCTATTTTTTAAGTGCCCTAATTATTTATAATTAATTCCCGCACATCAAATGAGTTATCAGGCATACTTATCAGATGCATGTGACAAAATAAAACAAAAACCAGTGAATCTTCGATCCCGGCCCCCTTTTACTTTTCAATTAGCCAAGTCATGAGCCGAATAAGAAGTGGGAAAAATCATAGCTACCCTCATTTAATTTTTGTTGCGGTGATAAGCCCCGAATTGGATGTTATAAAAGATTATTGGCTCAGTTTTATCTTGACAGCTACCTACAGTTCCACTACACATGGTGCAATAAACCTGAAGTTCAGTTCAGATTCTGGGAATAAAAAAGTGTACTCCCCCTTTCACCCACACGCCTGTCACTCAAAAATTGGCAAGGTTGGGGGGTATTATCACATCATTGTTAATATTTTTATTGCCCGAAAATAAATGGGCTTGAACAATGAGATAACTGCAAGTTCAACACTACAAAACTGTCAAACTGTCCCATCAATTATGCGGCTCAGGCTCATCCGTTTTGCATATCGAAAGTGTGTGTGCGATAAGGTCGCGCTATATACATATTTATATATATATATTGAACCGATTTACCTTACTGCGAGAGATCGTCTGACTTTGAGTGCCTTATCCAGCCCGCAACTCCCCTTGCACTGAGAGAAAACTAATAGCATGTCAGTGAATATTTAAAGCTGTTAATCATGAAACTGATCATATTATTAGCTAATTAAAACCTATCCTGTTTAGTTTGTTTAAATATATTAAAACATCTTCTTCAAATCGGAAATATGTCAAACAAGTTTTTAATTCAAAATCTTGTTAAATATAAAACTGGTATGAAAATAGATCAAAAAGTCGTTTTCAAAAAAGATTAACTATTTCGAAGAACTAATGAAATATTAAAATATTTCCTAGAAAAAGCCATTATACAGCCATAATAAAATTGAATCTTGATCTTAACAGGTTGCTTAAATTGTTCTTTTAATTAATTTATTTGTACAGATTATTTATTTAGCTTCAAGTATGTTTGGAAATGTTAAAAATCTTTATTCATAATAAACAAAAATCGGATATTTCTCTCTGTAATGGAGTTTAATGAATGGTATTGACAGTCTGTCAGGACGGTCAACGGGTTTTCTTTTTGCCTCTTCTTGCGGCACGTGAAGCGAACACAAAAGCAAAACAAAAGTGGCAAAAAATTTAAACAAAAACCAAAGCAAAACAAAACTGGTAACACAAAAAGGCAAAACAAAAAAGCTGTTTTGGCTTTAATGGAATGCATTGACCCAAAAGAGATCCTACTCGAAATTCCATTCAAAAATTTTGGCAATCAATTAAAGGTACTTAAGGCGGTGCTCGAGAATTGGCAGGGAGAAATTCCTGAAGTCAAAATGTTCGAAACTCCTTTATCACTATTGAAAGACAGTTTATGTAATATCTGGGAAGGCCATTCGTTGGGATCGCGGACTTATGGAAGCGGGTCAGGGTATTAAAATAATACAGTTAACAATGGAGTATATGACATCGATAAGGAGGAGATAAAGATCATGTATTGTAAGTCATATAATTTTATGAGGAAAGAAAGAATCCGCACAAGGTAACTCCATTGATCAAAACAATATCTTTACAACGAATTCAGGTCAACATCCGAGCAGTCACACCCTCCCATCACTTTTCTCATTTGACGTAGCACTTTATTAGCTTTACCTCATAATTAAGATTTAATAAATCACTATATAATTATTTAGGCAAACTCTCGAAATGGAATATTTCGTTTTCCGTTTCGCTCATTAGAGGAGAAATCCCCAAAAAAGTTAAGAAAAGTCGTTACTGTGCCAAGGCACGAAGGCTTTCTAGGCAATTAGCACGTTTATAAAAGCCCAAATCGAAGTCTACATCTTTCGGTGACGCACTTAACGCGATCTTTAATTAATTTATAAATCAAATGGCGGAACTAATTAATGTAATTGGTCATAAAACGAATATTTCCCGAGTGTTGGACTAATCGAAAAGCTAATCAATGTCCAAAAGTTTCGATATGATTCAATATCAAACTGGGTAGTGTGGGCGCGTGATGTCGTATAAAGTGTGGGGCCCCCCAGTAACTGGAACCCAATTAGAAGTCGATCATAAAGATTTACCAATTCGATTTATCGATTTGTTGGCCCAAAATAAAAGGCAATCGCTTTGGGTAAACAACAAATAATGACCGATCGTAGGATATATACATGTGGGGACTTCAATGTCAGCTAGTATTGATTTACTTTCTTTATATAAGAAGTATGGTCATTGTACAGTGAGTGATACTAACCACTAATCTTATCGATCCACCAGATAATATTGATAATAATAACACGCTCCGCCACGATTAACGGTCATTAAACGTAATTATTTAATTCCTTCGATCGCGTTTTCCCCATCAAAAGTCTAAAGTTCTCAATGAAACTTAATAGGTCTTCGAAATTTATTGAATTAATGCAACAAATCGAATCAGTATATCATTGATGAGTACTCTTGTTATTAGTTTCGCTGGGTCAGTAAATCAGTTAAGTGGATTGTGGTCTATTCCTCGCCCATTCGGTTGTATTCGTTTTCGGGTTCGGGGCCGATAATGTTATCAGTTTATAATTGATTTTAAAAGTAGCTTTAAGTATTTTATTTTTATTAGCAGTGAATTTGGCATGCTGCTTGTATTTGTTGTTCATTGATTATTGTTGTCGTCTTGCTTTAAGTCGTTATCATTTCTGGACATTATTATTTCGACGTTTTCCGACACTCTTAGGCGCCGTAGCCTTCGTCGAACCTAAAACTTAGAGCCCACGCCCATTTCGTTAGCCAACTGATCGTTCAGTTGCTTTTGGCCAGAGGACGCGTTCGGTCCTCCCATTCCTCGAAAACTCTTGTAATCGTTTTATCCTAGCTGAAAAGTAAGTTACCGGAAACGTGATGTTACGTATATTTTATTCGCGTAACCCGAAATAAATCAAAGGATTACAAGTTTTTGTGAGGTTTAACAAAAATAACCTGTTGTTCAATTATATTTATTGCTCACTTAAAAAAACATTTCTCTGGAAATTACATGACTAAGTTTTAATTCATTTTTGCCCTTCTATATGTTCATATCATTTCTACCAAGTTTAAGTTCAATTTCATAAACCAAATTGCGGGAGAAAATGAAAACAATGGTGATGAAGCTTTTGGGGTAAATACTGGCACTATTTGGAAAATTTTCCATGGTTTTAACTTTATGATCGATCGAAGTTAAGTATGCCAAGGAAATCAAGATAAAAATCACAGTAAAATCTTATTTGACTACGGTTTTATCAAGCTATAGAAGAATTTTTATTAGAAAATTTTTCGTTTTTAATTGATAGAAAATTCTTTGTTTTTAATTGATAGAAAATGAATTCATGATACTAAGGAATATTGTTAAAAATATTTATTAAACAGGATGCACAAATTAATTGTGCAATTCAAACCTTCAAATAGCATTTACATTAGTATCCGCAACATCAATAAGCTAAGAAATCCATCATGTGACCTTTCGGTTTATGGATGTTATATGGCCAAAGTCAACAAATTTCCCGGCCTTCAATAACATCATTTTTAACAGTACCCTAATAGATTCATAAATTTCAATAGAAGAGGGAGCGGCTCGTAAATAAAAAGTTTATGAAGATTACGCTAATCTGAGTTCAAAGAACATGGTCAAATTGCAGGAATAAGTGGTTCGATCGGCTGGGCTGCTTTAATTATAACCCGCATATATGAATGAATCAACTTATTGGGAAAAGTAGGTGGTGGTGACTACTATATAGACGCTGATTTAGGGTCCGGTTTTACGGCCATAGTCAAAGGAATTACAAGCGTTCTTTTAGGGCCATTATAAAGCTAAATTTTATGAACGGAGTGCGATTGTTGTTTATTTGCCCGACCCCACCTCCAGCTCCGTTCTTTGCCATTTCCGATAACGATCGGCCAGTATCAGAAATCTCTTTGGTAAGGCAATTCTAATACTCGAACGTTCTTAAATGCCGATAAGATATGCCCCGGGCTTGTGCCTAGCAACCCTCGAGCGGATTAACCCAAGCCTTAAATGACCAACGAAAGCGAATCTCGTGCTTCCTCCCTGCGATAAAATCCCGTTCGTGTGCGGTCGATCAATCAAATGTGCTAATTCTGTTTAATAACAATCGATTTGGGGTAATTTCTTTGTTTTTTCAGATGGCAGATAATAAGGGATTTACCCCAGATGAACCGGATACCCGACCATCGGCACCAGTTGAGGACCCGCCATCGTATACGAATGCTGTGACCAAGTCAAATGACTTTAATTCTCAGTAAGTGGAAAGATTTAACAAAAAATGTAGATAAATGTAAAAATTTTGATACTTTTTTTTCCAATGTAATCATTTTTTATAAGTTTTTTCGTTAAAGTTTCTGACAGAAAATGATTAAACATTACTTTTTTATAATAAGAAGTATTGTAAAGAATTAAGGATTCAATATCCTAGATTTAAACTTATTGAATTGGCTAAATTTTAAAATTAATCACAAACTTTTACTATCTCTTTTATAGTTCGAACTTGACAGACAAGAACCAACTATCCCTGTCTGAGGATCCTTACCATCCCTTCGAGCACCGCGATCCCAATGGAGCCAGTGCAGGTGGCGCCTTGGCGCATTTGCTCAAAAGTTCTTTGGGAACGGGAATATTGGCCATGCCCATGGCATTTCACAATGCCGGTTTGGCATTTGGAATGGCCATGACGCTGATCGTTGGATTCCTCTGCACCCACTGCGTACACATTTTGGTAAGTGAAATGGCTAAGATTTTAGCACCTGATTCTGAATGTTGACTCAACCAATTACGACAGACAGACAGCGTTCAGACCAGGTGAGCCGTATAAGCCATGGCTGACGTAGTACCATTCGGTTTTTAAGTAGTTCAAGGTGCCGAATCGATGGCCTATAGAAGTAATAGGGACCAGATAAGCACAGCAATGGGCAGTACAATCAATGCACGCGTCTTAACACGCAGACTAGTCGCCACTCGTCCTTATCGTTTGGAGATACAATGTGCGATTGTTTGTATTTTTATGACATCCATTTATGACCAAGAATTTCCGATCCTCACAAATCCACTAAAGACGTAATTCCCCAGAATTAGCTGCACTTCAATCTCCAGACATCAACGGATTCGCGTGACCAAACATTGCATAAATCAAATGAAAATTCCCTAAAATGGCCAACTCACTGATCCTCTATCGGTCATATATAAATATAAATGCGGACATACATAATAAAACTCTCGAGTCAGCAGATTTATGGCGTTAAGATTTGGAAAGTCATTTTGGACTTTTCCCGAGCGCCTTAAATGGTTTTTCAAGTGCTTAGCACTACGATCAATTAGATTTACTATTTGTAGATTGAGTGTATTATAAGTTCCTTGTAAAAATTATTTTTAAGTGAGATAATCATCCACTACATTATCATGATGTAGTTCCAAGTAGTCTATCACTTAGCAATCACTTAACTTTTCCATTGAAAAGCAGTTGTTTCTAGTTGAAATTAATTCATAGACTAGATAACAAGTTGCTCATTACAACTTTAATATTGTAAATCGGATATAATGGATATATACATTATATGAAACATATTTTAGGATTTATAAATAATTTAAAGATCTTTTATCAATGGAGCTTTAATTACTTAAATAACCTGGGAACTTGGCTATAATCACCATATAGATAAATCATATAATAGTGATACTTAATTTGCCTTACAGGTTAAAACTTCACATGACATTTGCCGGGATGCCAAGGTTACATCTCTGGGATTCGCTGAAACGGCGGAGAAAGTTTTCGAGTACGGGCCAAAGGGAATGCGTCCCTACTCCAACTTTGCCAAGTGAGTAGAGCTAACTCGTAACCCACAAGATGATCCTCAATGATAATTCTCCTTCACTTCTTCAGGCAATTCGTGGATATAGGATTGATGGCCACATACTACGCTGCCGCATGTGTGTATATCGTATTTATTGCGACATCTTTCCACGATGTCATCAACTACGATTGTGGCATTAACTGGGATGTTCGCATCTACATTGCCCTAACCGTGATTCCTTGCCTGCTTATTGGTCAGATTCGTGACCTCAAGTGGCTGGTGCCTTTCTCAATGATGGCCAACATCTTCATTGTTGTGACATTCGTGATCACGCTGTACTACATGTTCGATGAGCCACTGGTATACTCCGACAAGCCATTGATCGCCAAGGCTGCCAACATTCCGCTCTTCTTTGCCACTGTGATCTTCGCCATGGAGGGTATTGGTGTTGTGATGCCTGTGGAGAACTCGATGAAGAAGCCCCAGCATTTCTTGGGATGTCCTGGTGTCCTTAACACGGCTATGATCACGGTGGTCTCGCTCTATGCCGTCATCGGCTTCTTCGGCTATGTCAGATTTGGAGATCAAGTGCGAGGCAGCATTACGTTGAATCTGCCAGAGGGACAATGGCTGGGAGATACAGCGAAGCTCTTGATGGCCGTCGCCATCCTCTTCACCTTTGGCCTGCAGTTCTATGTGCCCAATGAGATCCTGTGGCGCAAGATCGGACACAAGTTCAAGCCCGAAAAGCACAACATTACACAAATCCTGCTGCGCAGTGGCATTATCCTGCTGAGCGGTGGTGTTGCTGCTGCTATTCCCAATCTGGAACCCTTCATCAGTCTGGTTGGTGCTGTGTTCTTCTCGCTGCTGGGCATCTTTGTGCCTAGCTTTGTGGAGACCGTTTACCTGTGGCCCGATCGCCTGGGCGTTTGCAAGTGGAAGATGGTCAAGAACATCTTCCTAGGAGTGTTCTCCATCCTTGCTCTGGTTGCCGGTGCGGTGGCCAGTATCAACGAAATCATCGAAATGTACAGCGGCGAAGATTAAGGTTTTCAGAGGTTCACTTCACCCTTTAAACAGACACGTAGTATTACACCAGATGCAGGTAGCTCCAACAATGGAAGCGGTTGAAATACGAGTAAGAGTTCAAAAAGCAGGCAATGCCCAGATTCAAATCAGACCCAAGTTACGGCCATGTTGAACATGGTCAGACGGCTCGCCAAATGCCAAAACTGCCGATGCCGTTGACTGCATGAACAAGATGATATTAAGTTTAAGTGCCTTGTTACACAAACTAAGCTGCAATTCATAGAATTTATAAATGTTATTATTTTAAGTTGCTCAGCATTCCAAACCATAAAGAGAACAGTATAAAAATGACAATTTTCCGGTGTTTTCTTTTTTGGTGTCCTCCTCCGAAAATGGAAATAAAAGCATCATGGCTGTGTTGCAATATTGGTATAAATATAATAGTTACGATCTTAGAACAAAATACAATTAATTACTTGGAATAGAATACAGCGGCGCGCTATGATAATATTGTTGCATGCGTTGGCGGGAGTTTAAAAGATATTCTGGGACTGATGTGTAATCGCTTCCGGTGTGATTTAATAACTAAGTATCTATATCGAGTGAAATATGTTTAAGTAATCGCTTGTCTTAACTATATAACTGCCTAATGCTGAGTGTGGAGCCGAATCTCAAGGTATATCTTAGCTCTGTGCCCCTTTACTTCTTCTTCTTTTTAGAGCTGGAACTGGTGGCCACAACCTCGCTCTTGCGCTTCTGATTAGCCTTCGGTTGGGGCGTAGGTGCTGGTGTGTTGGAACTACCACTTCCACTGCCTGCGGACACGCTGCCTTTGGGTGCCTTCTTCTTCTTCTCGGCCCGTTCCTTCTCCTCCAGTTCGATATTTTCACGCTCGATAAGGGTAATCAATGTATTGCAACGACGCTGTAGCTCCAGAGCTGTTCGAGATTTGATGAACCAGTCGAAACGGAACTGAGGAGAAGCTCTGTGGGAGAATTGGAAAATGAAATGAGATTTCTTTCTCATTAATCAAGTTGTAAACTTACCTTATAGCCGCTCTCAGCTCCTCGTACACGTTCTCCTTATCAAAGCCTAACTTATGAAGCATGCAAACTAGAAAACGATCCTCTATTTCTGTGTAGTTTTTGCCCTTATTATTGCCATATTGCAAACGTAGCTGATGGAAGGGAGCCCGATAACGCGACATCTAAAAGAGAAGGATAAGTTTTAAATAAAAAAAAACAATGACAAAATAACTAAAAACTCACCTTTTGGTCCAATGCCTTCTTAATAGAAAGTCGTCGCTGAATCTTGCCCTCTCCACGCTCAATCTGACCCATAATACGTTCAATATCTTGCAACTCAGTGCAGCGCTCCCAGAAAACAGCATTATACTCAATAACCTCCTCCGGTGTCTTGCCCTCCACATCCTTGGCAATGTTGTCGATGTCATCTCGACCGTACTTCTCGTTGGCCTTGATGAATTGGTTGAAATCGCGCTTGGTCCAGGCAGTAAAGCCATGTGAGAGCAGGTTTTCCTTCTCCTGGATCTCATCCTCGGTGAGCGGTTCCGCCTCATCGATCTTGCGCTGCTCCTCCCGCTGCACTTTGGTAGCCTCTGAGCCCAGTTCCGTGTTCTTGGGCACCTTATAACCAACGGTCTTGCGGAAGTAGTAGATCTCCTGGTCGAGAAGCTCAAAAAGACGGGGCGGGAAGAACTGGAAGTCCTGTACGATGGGTTGCTTGGGTGGGCGTGGAGCCTTAGGCGCCTTGGGTTCGGAAACGCGAAGCGCCTCCCGGAAATAGGCATCTACGGCATAATTTGCCTTGCGCTCACGCTTCGGTGGTTCGATCCAGTTACCAAGAGCATTAAGCTTCTGCTTCTCACGCCAATCCTCACCTTCAAATTGGTACACAGAGGATGTACCAGCCTCGCCGTTTGTGTCCATGGTGAAGGTGCGCAGCGAACTCTCGCCTAGACTATCCAGTGTTGCCTTCTGCTCGGCTGTCTTGGCCTCTCCGCGCTCTAGGATAACGTCAATGTCCTCGTCTGTAATGTCGGTTTCCTTTGAGCTGAATACTTGATTGGCTCCGAAACGAATAATGTTAAGCATTTCATCCTTATTCAGCTGATTAGAACGATTGTCTACCAATCGCCCTCCCTGAATGACCATCTTATCCAAACGCAGCTTGACCTCAGCTCTCTCCACGATTTTTTCCTCCACTGTGCTTTCAGTGATCAGGCGGAAAACTCGCACTTGCTTCTTCTGGCCGATACGATGAGCACGATCCATAGCCTGCAAATCCATCTGAGGATTCCAATCCGAGTCGTAGATAATGACCACATCAGCTGTAGCCAAATTAATACCCAAACCACCAGCTCGAGTTGACAACATGAAGAGGAACTTGGCGCTGTTGTCCATGTTGAATTCTTGAATTTGTCTGTTACGATCCTCGTGAGGCGTCTGACCGTCTAGGCGACAGTAGTTGTAGTTACGCCAGTGGCAGTAATCCTCTAGGATATCCAACATCCTTGTCATCTGAGAGAAAATTAGCACACGCGATCCCTGCTCTTGAAGCTTAGGCAGCAGTTTGTCCAAAATGGCCATCTTTCCGGAGTTGAACACCAAATGGGTGTCTGTGGTGTAGGGTGGACCAGGCTCGGCGCCATCAAACAAGTACGGGTGATTGGTGCACTTGCGCAGCTGCATCAGGATGTTCTGCAGTCTCATCTTCTCCACTTTACCAGCCCCGTTCACCACGTCGATATCCTTTAGCAGCACCTTGGTATACCAGTCACGTTGCATTTTGGACAGACCGACAAATATTTTCATCTCCTTCTTGGGCTTCAGTCGCTTCTCCACTTCGGCCTTAAGACGACGGAGCAGGAAAGGCTTGAGCACTGCGTGCAACCGCGTGATCAACGCATCATCACCCAGACAAGTGTTTGTATTGAACCACTCATCGAAGTCCTCTGACGAATTGAACACATCGGGCAGCAAAAAATTAAGCAGAGCCCACAGCTCGTGGAGATTATTCTGCAGTGGAGTACCGGTAATCAGCAGGCGATTTGCGGTCTTGAACTCTCGAAGGATCTCCGAAAGCTTTGACTTTTCGTTTTTAATACGATGTGCCTCGTCAATGACCAAATAGCGCCAGTTAAACTTCTTGAAAACAGACTTCTCGCGGATACACATCTCATAGGAGGTCACGCAAACATCCCACTCGCCCGGCATGAGCACATCACGAATGAATGTATTACGTGTATCCTGGTCGCCGATCAAACAGACGGCTCTGAGGGAAGGACACCACTTCTTGAACTCATTCACCCAATTCTGCAGTGTAGATTTGGGCACAATGACGATGTGAGGACCAGCTTGGTTTCTACAGGAATAATTTAAATGATAAGAATTTCTTGGGCGTTTGAATGGCTATAACCTACTTAAAATGCTTAAGGTATCCCAGTAAGGATATAGTCTGTAGGGTCTTTCCAAGACCCATTTCATCGGCCAAGATCCCGTTTATGCCATTTTCGTATAGCGAAATCATCCAATTGAGACCGCGGATCTGATAGTCACGCATTTCTCCACTTTTGATGTAGGCGGGTGAGGCATCAAAGCGGAAGATCTCTTTGGTGGCCGAGTCCTCCGCCAAGAGCTCCTCATCCTCCTCCTGCTCAGTTTTGCGATGTCGATGGCTGTTTAACAAGAAAAATTAATAAACATTTTGGGTTTTCATTAGAATTATTACTTACTCGGCTACATCCTTCTCCTTATCCTTGTCCTTGATCTTCTTTGGCCTGCCCTTGGGCTTAGTAGGACTCTTCGCGCTGTTAGTCATGAAGTGCGTAAATATCTCCGTTTGCTTAAGTAAGAAATCGAAACGCCTACTACGATCCGCCTCGATTTTGTTGTCGAACTCGGCTTCCTTCTCACCAGATGAACTGGTGGCCGCATCCGACGTTGTCTCGTTCTGGAAAATTTCGATATGAATTATTAGACCTGAGTAGCAATACCACAGTAATTTAACTTACTGAGTTCTCCTCGGTTGCCTCAACGGCGGCCCCTTCTGTTTTCGACATATTTGCAATGCCGGCGTCTGTCTCTTAAATTGTATTCAGTTTTTTCACAATGTTAGCCTCAGCAGAATAGCGTGCTGCAGTTCAGTTTCCGTTAATTTGCACTGAAAATTGTAAGGTCAAATTGTTAGTCACGTTATTAACAGAAGAATATGAAGCAATTTACACAAAACAAAGTTAGTTTTGCTTAAACAAATGGTAAATAATTACATGCGATTTTTTTAATGAATGGTGGGAAAACTGCGCGTGCTATCGGAAGAAATTACGATGAATGCGTGAAGTTGGCTGCTGCAGGGAAGGTGGCGGCAAAATATCGATAAGACATCGATAACTCTGGTAGGGTAGGTTATGTTCGTTACAATTTTAATAATTGGCAACATTATGGTTAAGTGTTTTTCAGAATGAAATGAGAAAGGAACAAACAAGTTTTATGTTTTAATTTTATTATCACACACTAAACCGCCAGGTAAGTGTGACCAAAGGTTAAGACTTAAGAAAATCCCTTTACCGGCGTTTTAAAATGATTTACTAATAAAATTCTAAACGGTCACATGCCAAAGCTAGCTCCTCGTTTTTTAAAAAAAACTATCCAAAATGAGTAAATACAATTCAAAGTACCTCGAAGAGAAGCTCAAGCGGGAACTGCAGGCGGAATACGTGAGCGTGACGGATGAATCTGACGGTTGTGGCGGCAAATTCAGCGCTGTAATCGTGACATCAGCCTTTAACGGCAAAACCCTATTGCAAAAACATAGATTAGTGAACTCGACACTGGCCGAAGAACTAAAAGAAATCCATGCATTCTCCCAGAAGTCGTACACACCCGAAGAGTGGGAGAAAGTGAAAGCCCAATAGTAGCAAAACCAACATACATATATACACACTCTATACATACAACAACAAATACAAGCCGCAATAACCTGTTGTTCGTTTGTTGGTAGTTGCGCTTTTGCGTCTGATGATCCGATCAAAGAAACGAAACCCGAAAAAAACAGCAGTCGAACAAAGAAAGTGAAAGGGAAAGCACAGGAATCGGTACTCAGATTTAGGAGTTACCACCAAATAAACAACGCAAGTGATCCGCTAAACGCAAACGTTACATAAAAACCAACAATAAAACTTTAAGTACCCGCGAGAGGTCGTCCACTCGAAACGCATTAGCATTACAATTTCAAAAGCTGATATACCGATAAAGCTAATAGTCATACGGAATACAGAATACACAGAGATCACCACGAACAATGCTTAAGTTCCAGGTCCATTCACCGGGCAAAGTCATCCTCCATGGCGAACACGCAGTGGTCTATCAACGACCCGCCCTAGCTGCCGTTGTCGGCTTGGGAACTACTCTGAGATTCCGGCAATTGGATGGAAGCCTTGTGGCTAGTTTTCAACTAGAGGCACTCAATTGTACCCTGGAGATCCAACTGCCAGAGTTTAATAACTTCCTTACTGAATTTAGGAGCAAATATCCCTCAGACAGCACTGCCAATCTTCTTGAAGCAGTCCGGGCAGAGGTTTCCAAACAGCTAGAACGCTCGGGAGGCAATGCACCAAAACAGCACACCCAGCGGGCCTTTGTCTCCATCTATTATTTGCTAGCCGGCGCTGTACTCTCCTCACCCGGCGATCCAAAACTGACACTGCAAACCGGTTTCCAGGTGCAGGTAGAGAGCCAGTTGAACGTGGGCGCAGGTTTGGGCAGTTCCGCCTCTTTTGGTGCTGCTTTAGCAACGACATTTTTAATTTTGGCCGGACACTTTGATAAAGACAATTACTTGAAAGAGGAAAACCAGGCTTTGATCTCGAACTGGGCATTTGAATCAGAGCGGGTTAACCATGGCACGCCTTCGGGTCTGGACAACACAGTGTGCACTTACGGTGGAATGTTGCGTTATGTCAAAGGGCAGGGCTTCCAATCGCTGAAGATACAGAAACCTTTAAACATTCTGCTAGTGGACAGCCGTGTAAGTCGCAGCACCGCAGACATCGTCGCGAAGGTTCGCCATTTAGGCGAGGCCTTCCCACAGCTAATTGAGGCCATTTGGCAGGCCTGTGAAGAGTTGGTTGCCGCCGCTGTTCCGCTGTACGAGAGTTTTGGTAATGCCCAGGACGATAGCGCTAAGTTCGAGCAGCTGGAGCGACTGTTCCAGATCAACAATGATTTACTGAAAGCTATAGGAGTTTCGCATCCGAAGCTGGAACAGATCTTTACTATCGCTTTCAAAAGGGGATTTTTCTCAAAGCTGACGGGCGCCGGTGCCGGTGGATATGTTATAGTTTTACTACCTGAAAACTTCGAGTGCAACGAGGTCTACTGGAAGCTTAAGGAGGAACTTGAATCAGCAGGCTTCGGTGTCCATGTGACGACTGCTGGAGGCGAGGGTTTGCGCGTTAGTTCGTTAGATGACTGATGCGGTCTCGTTTTGTTTTGCTATTGTATGTATTCCTGGTTTTGTTATAACTTAAAAATAAAGATTTATACATGTATTTTGTACGGCAATCGGGTTTCTTTAGCGCTGGCTTCTATCTCGAGTTTTGTAGACGATTCCACGGTTTTTCATATCTCTTAGAGTCGATTGTGGAAGAGTTCCGGAGACGGAGATGGCATAAATGCCACGGGTGAAGCGGGCTAAAAGAAAGGTAGAACACATGTGTTAGTTTTGTCCTCTTGAATTATAGTTAGAAAGCCTTACCCAAACGCTGCCACTTGGCCACCCAGGAATCGGTTGGCGTCGTCAAGGCTATAATCCCGTCAAAGTTGTTGCTTGTGTGATCGTAAACATTATCCTTGTTGTTCTTCATGCGCAGGAACTCTTCACAATTTTCGCAGCCATCAGTCTCAAATTGATCAAAACTCTGAAAGCGGAAAATGGGGTTCATTATAAAGTTCTGGATCACCGGGTAAACATAACGAACTTTTACAAGGGAGCAAACGAGGCATGCACGCAGTCCTCGTAGATCCTTGGGAATCGCCTCAAAAGCCATATTTATTTCTAAATTAATTATTTTAAAACTAAAATCTATAAAAACCGTGCAAAACCAAGCCACGAAACTATAAGAGTGACCGTCTTTAACAACTTTATTCCACGAAAGTTATCGATTGCCAAAACAACCGACTAAAATGGTCATGAACGTTCTCACGATATCCATTTCGAAAATATTTTCATATCTTATTTCAAATACTTGTAGCACCACCCATATAAGTTTTCAAACTTTTTGAGTAAAACTAACATAATTATAACTTGTGACAACATTGCTGTATTAGTATTGTGATACATTTTAAACAAAAACAATAGACTTTGGCCTTGGTTTAGTTCGTTTGTTCTTGTAATAATCCTCCAGAACTTCGAAATAAATTACAACCACTCCATAGTGTTTCCATGGTTTGGATCCTGAAAAATTAAAAGTAATTTTGTAATCCTGAATCGGTAGTGGGGGCAAAGACACCTCATCCAATCGTAAGTCACGCGCAAACAAATGGCCCTAAAATATGCAAATACTAAATTGTTGTTATTAAAATATGATCGCTTCAAAAACTTACAGAAAGAGGGCAACTGTGGTTTACATTAGTCCAGGCCTGCAGATGACCCATAGTGTATTTTTCCAAAATATTATATTCTGTTTTATTTTTTAAAAGTTGACAAATTTCAAAGGAAAACCTAATGGCAAAGGGTTTGTAAAGATTTGAAGAATCCTTGTAGGCAACGTCTACCGTCATCTGAAAAGTACAGATTTTATTTAAATGATAAACATATATGAAGGTGTCTTACTAACTTTAATATTAGTTAAGACATCCTTAACGTCGCAGTCCATGTTCATAACTGATCGAGTCCAACTTATGGGCTTCAAAATACACGAAACATTGCTAAAATAAGCGCCATTTGCTATGCATTCACTTTTCCTAATTTTGTAGAAGTGTCCATTGCCGAAGGACTAAAAAACTAATTATTAAGATTTAACTTATTTCCGTCTTATTAACATACAAATGTATTGGCAAGGTATAGTAAAACACCCAAGTATAAATGAGCAACGTCAATCCACTTTGCCATGTTCGTCGTAAATAAAAATGTTTGGATAAAAAAAACCTAAAATGAACACTAATTGCATTTTAATAACTAAATTATATTAAAAGTCGTAATTTTACGCGTGAACAGTTTTTAAATCAACAACCGATAACAAACGATAGGTTGATGACAATTAGTCAGTGGTGTATTAAAAGATGCTTTTGTTTCATATTTAAAATAAAATGTCGCTCAAAAAAAATAAATATAAACAAATTTTATTCATTGCGGTGTTAGATATATATAGAAATTAAATATTTTGTAAGCTTCTTAAGTTTTTTAAAGTATATAAATAAAGAAACGGCAAAAATATTAAAACTTTTAAGTTAAAAAAAATGTCTAACTACATAACACGTCTAGGGTTAACGAATTCCGTAAGCTGATGAAATCCCACGACGCCCCTGGCAATCAGCTGTTACGCGGTTGTTGTGGGTGTGGAACAGGCGAGCACCGAATAGCGGACAAGAAACGAAAGTAACAACGGTAATTAGAGAGCTCCGTTAGACTTTAACCGCACTGATCGTTGGAACATAAAACCGCACAATAATCCGCCATGTCCTCCTCCTCTACATCGAGTCCGACGGACAATAGCTCCCACGGATCTGTGGCGCTATCCTCAGCTCTAAATCCGTCATTAAACCCGGTCTCCGGGACAAATACGAGTAGTCAGAAGCCATTTTCCCTCTCCGAGCGCCTGAACTTTGAAATATACCGTTATTCCAGCTATTCTCCGAACTATCTACCAGAGTAAGTACTAGTTCAAAAAAATAATATGGATGCTCCGGATTTCGTAATTGACAAATGCGCATTTTTATAAATTCTATTGCATACGATTTGTAGAAACGTCCTGGTGGACTGTCCCAACGATCAAACTTCCAGGTGGTCCGCATACACCAACAGCCCGCCGCAATTTCTAACCTTGAAGCTTCGCCGTCCCGCCATTGTGAAGAAAATCAAGTTTGGCAAGTTCGAAAAGTCGCATGTGTGCAATATCAAGAAGTTCCGTGTTTACGGGGGTTTGGAGGATGAGCACATGGTCTTGCTGCTTGAAGGGTAAATTATTCTCCAGGGTCTTTCGAGATCAATCATTATTAAACTGGAATATTCCCATTAGTGGCCTAAAGAACGACAACATACCGGAAGTATTCAACTTACGCTGCCTCACCGAAGACGGTTCAGAAAACCTGCCAATACTTTACCTCAAGATCGTACCCCTGCTCTCCTGGGGTCCGTCCTTCAACTTCAGCATCTGGTACGTCGAGCTGCACGGCCAGGACGACCCCATGTACACCAGTGCTCGCATGAAGAACTACAACTCGCTGCGCGAGGTTGAGATCATAAAGCTGTGCCTTAAGCACTTCCGCCAGCAGGGTTACATGAGTGCCTTCGGGGCGCTCCAGGAGCAGACAAATGTTCAACTGGAGCACCCACTGATCAGCGAGCTCCACAAGTGTCTGGTAAGCTAGTCTTTTCTATCCAAAAGAGCTAGCTTTTTAAAAGAATGTTTATTTCTTAGGTTTTGCAGGGAGACTTTGAGAAGGCTGAGCGGTTTATAGCCGAATGTATCGATGAAGGTCTAATGGATGAGTATTTGCACAAGCAGGACTACAAGCACAGCTGGCATATGAAGCCTACTGAAAGCGAGTTAAAGCCTGGTTAGTATTACTTTCTGTATTTAGTAATCAACAGCTAAGTTTCTATTATTTTAGGCAATCGCGGTGGTCATCAGCTAGTGGTGGATGCCAAAAAAAGACTTATATATCTTTACGGCGGTTGGGATGGCTTCCAGGATCTGAGTGACCTTTGGGTATTCAACATCGACGATGATCAGTGGTCGCTACTGTGCGAAAGATCCGAGCTTTCCAATGGACCCACACCCCGATCCTGCCACAAAATGGTCTTCGATCCTATCAGCGAAAATGTATTTATGCTTGGTCGTTACCTGGACAACTCTATACGAACGTCAGATTATATAAAGAGCGACTTTTATCTGTACGATACGAGAGCTGGAAACTGGATGCAGATATGCGATGACACCAGTCAAGTGGGTGGTCCACAACTTGTATACGATCACCAAATGTGCATGGATGCCGATAAGCGTACAATTTATGTTTTTGGAGGGAAAATACTCACGCCTCGAAGTGTCAATGCCACGGGCGCGATAGAACCGGAGTATTCGGGGCTGTTTTCCTATCACATAGCAACGAATACCTGGGCACAGATACTGGTTGATTGTCACCATGCCAGCGCATCTCTGGCAGATGTGATGTCCATTAAGTCCAGGATTACACATTGCATGGTGTTTCATAACGTAGGTTTCATTCACTTTATGATAAACTCTATTTAATTATTATTTTCCTATACCAGAAACATCGAAAGCTCTACATTTATGGCGGCCAACGGGGCAAAGAGGATCTGGACGAGTTTCTCAGCTATGATGTAGACACCCAAGCCATATCGGTGCTGAATAAGGAGCATCCGCATCAAGGTACTTCTGCTGGCAACGAAGCCAAATTCGAACCCTCTTCGGGGTACACTTTACGTGCCACCATCGACTGTGAACGAGATGAGATCTATATATTTTCTGTGAGCTGGAAGGACAATACCTTGGAAGCCTTAACTGATTTCTATATTTCCAGAGCCTGAGTAAAGTCAAGGATCGTCGAGATATACAGCATATTGATGCATCAAACTCATTTTGGGTTTATTCCCTGCGCAGTCATAAATGGTCAAGGATATACTACTGTCGGCACAGTGGCCAGGATGCAAACTCCATTAACAGAATGAACATTTTGGGAGCTAGCAAAGGCGATGGTTCATTAGAACCTTGTCCTCGTTATGCCCACCAGTTGGTGTACGATGACTTTGCTAATACTCATTATTTGTTTGGAGGAAATCCTGGAATCTGCCAGCAACAGCAACTGAGACTTGATGATTTCTGGCTGCTGCGGTTGGAAAAGTAAAAATGCCGTCTGCTGATTGTAACATATACTTATAACCTTCTTTTATAGGCCAAAACGAGATGAGATTCTAAAACATTGTCGGTTTTTGGTGCGTAAACTACGCTATGAAGAGATGACGCGCCAGGATCCCTTAAAGGCAATGCAGTATTTGCGGCATCACATTGCCGCTGTGATTGATCATAGCGATTCGGAGCAGTTGAATAATGTATGTTTTGTGTTTTTTATAGAATTAATATTTTTGAATGTTTTTCTATTATTTGTAGTTCCATAAACTTGCTTCCTTGCTCTTTAAAAATCATGATAGTAGCCTCGAAAGAGAGTGTACGACACCAGCGTTGTCCGCTGATGCTGAAGATCTCGAAACGGATCCCGATGTGTCGGCCAAAATAAAAGGTTTTATTTTAAATTATTTTATTTGGCCAGGATATTAAACTCCAATATTTTCAGATGAAGTGGCTGATGGCCCCGCCACTGAGAATCTTTCGTTGGAATCGAATGAAAGCCTGATATCTTCCGGCATCTCGGAGACCGCGTCCAGCCCCAGCTCTTCGTCATGCACCAAAAGAGCCCGCACGGAGTGTACTCCAGAACTGAAGAACAAACGTGCTTTCTTGTTTAACAAACTGGTGCAACTGATGCCACCGAGCATGGTCCAACCGGAACGCAACCTCAGCGACTTTGTGGTCATGTGAACGCCCAAGTGCCAAAAAACTGATTTAAAGAACCCCCATCCACGATTAAATTTAGCTTATTAAGAGTGCGTGCGAGTTCGTTTTTTAACTGTTGAATAATGTGATGTTTATTTTGATTGTTTGCCAATTCTAGGTTCGTTGGCCAATGCAAAGCATGACATGAATATGATTTGTGATAGTTAATTTGTACTGAAAAAATAGCTGAAATCAGCTTGATTCATAGTTATTGCACTTAAGACAAAATAAGAAGAGTTTGTGAAACGTGTTAAAATTAAACGATTGTGTATGTAATTATAAGTTTGAAATAAAAAACAGTTTTGTAACGTCCAAACATGGGGGAGGTCTTCTCGAAATCTTATTATATATATTAATTTGATTTTTAATTTCTAGAGCGTACATACATAAATACATAGAATCTTTAAAATACTTTAGAGATTTGTTTATCAAGACATGTGTCTGGAATTTCTTGCAGTTCTTATATTCTGTGAATATTCAAATCCGTGTCACAGCAAATTAGTGTCCTTAAGATGTGTTTCTAGAATTGTGTCCTTAACAGCTGAGAACACAAACCTAATATTTTCCGTATCTAAGCGATGTAAAAAATATTTTATTAACCTATTTCACATATCGTTACTGATACTTACTTGTAGCAATGGTAAAATGGGAATAGATGAATCGGTCAGGGTCGCGATTTTCGTTCACAAACATTCGCAGTATAAAATTTCTGGCTTCACTTGCATTTTTCTTTCGTCCTATTGGTTAAGGCAATTAGGAAATAAAAATGTTATATCTACTTCTAAATTCGATTTAGACCACTTACCTTTGTACTCAGGAAAATAGTCTGACAAACTCGTAGACATTATTTTCTTTCTAAACACATCATCTTTGTTCAGAAAAAGAATTATTGAGGAAGAGTGAAACCATTGGAAAGAAATTATCGTGCGAAATAAAGCTCTAGACTCCTCCATTCGATTCTGTAAATGGTATACTTGACTATTTAGTGGTAAAAATGGTAAATATCAGTCTTACAACACTTTTGCATTCAGCCAATGTTTGATCGAATTCCGATAGTGCGACTAAAAACATAATCGACGTCACATTCGAAAAACAGTGGATCCACTTTCTTCTCTCAGTTCGTTGTCCGGCTACGTCCACCATTCTGGTAATTAGTGATTAGTTAACTTAGTCCTGTTCAAATAAGTTAAGTTATTACCTTATCACATATCCATCCAGCGTGAAGGGATACTCAATAATCTGAGTTGTTGGCACTCGAACACGAAGAATGTCCTGCTCGGTGGCCAAATAATCAGTCTTTTCAATTCGACTTATTTCGCTTAAAAAGCTAAATTGGAAAAGGTAAATCAAACAAAAATTTAAATTAAAATAGTTTTCCAAGAGTATATCTTACTATTCGGTTGAATCAGTCAGCTGGTATTCCCTACGACGCTTATAACACTCCTTAATGCCTGCATCCTGCCAAAGCGTTTTGATAGCACTTAAGTATGGATCCTTCAAATCAGTGACGGTGTTGTAATCAATTGTCTTCACCAGATCGGCCAGTTTCTTTGGATAAAATTCATCATAAGACAATTAAGGATTGGTCTAATGATTTTCTTACGCTATGTTCCTTTTGACTATATGGAATCTTCAGAGCTTTCATCGCGTCGATCATTGTCTGCATAGCCATGAATATGTTCTGGAAAACCAGCTTAATGTACCCACGCTTGTCCTCGTCCGTGTAGCCTTTGCCATGAATAATACGCATCTGTTTAATGAATGTTGACTTGCCGGACTCGCCAGTACCTGGGTATATAGGTTTGAAACATATTAGCATAAGTTCTGTTCAATTAATTCGTCCTGTCCAACTTACCCAGGACCAATAGTTTCATCTCTTGTCGCGCTCTCTTTTTGTCCCTGCGCAAAAACTTATCGATTTCGTTACTAATGCGCCTTGCCTCCGCAGCGTCATCTGAGAGGCAACAGTCCATCATAACTAGATCCATCGCTTTGCAAATCTAAACTCCGCCGTTTTAATTAAAATTCGATTCCTCAAATGAGAACGTTTTGTAATTAAAAAATATTAAGTTTGAAATATTTTGATTCGTCTTTAATATCTTATCGAAAATATTTTGTATTTTGTTTATTTATAATTATTACGTTATTGAAGAATGCATATAAGATTTTTTAGATATCAATAAGAATATAAGGATATAGGGTATAAGATATCAAAATATCTTCACCAGTTATGATTCATACAAAGATTTTATTTACTTATTTTACTGCCAGTGAGTTCCGTTTAATATGAGTGATAAAACAAGATATTACTCACTTGCTCGTACAATTTTTCTCTCTAAGTTATATTTTAACAATAGTATGGAGTATTCACCGAATTTTTGAGGCTTGCCAATGATTCCTCTTTGGCCTTTTGCTATTTTTCGAATTTCTCTAAAAATCAAATCTCTAAATGATAGATTTGTTTAGTATTTAAGCCTATTTGTTGTAAAACTTTGTAACTTATCACATGCTAAAAGACGAGCTTTAAGTAACGCCCGGACGGTGCAGAGAATTTCGGAAAACTGAAAGGCTGTTCGGTTTTCAAAGTGGATCGGGGTTTATCTGCATTACGAAGAGTCATTCCATTAAAGAGAGTGTTCATATTTCTTTTGAGAATCTACACAGAAAAAAATCAGTCTCTTAATCCCAATTAAATTAAAATGGAATTTATAATATTGTTAAATAATGTAACTTTAAAAATCTTGATTTTTGGATATTTTTATACGGACAAACGAACGGACAAGCATATAATTTTACGAACTTTAGGATTTTGTTATTCTATTCCATAAAAAAAGTTTACTTTTACCAATAAAATGTTCTTCAAAGATTTTAGGACTCTCTTAAAAGATAACTTCTCTTAATTTAGGACTGACAACCCTCTACAGCTGTTCAACAGTTTTTTTTGTCAACATCCGGGCGTGAATTTAGAAATATTCGTGATTTTCAAAGAAATTATAAAACTTCTATAACAGATAAGGTCACATTAGGTCATATTAGATGAAATCTATGGAATAAAAGTGCAATGAGTCATCAGCCAAATAAGTTCTGAGATGGTTAGCTACTAGAGATGTCTGAAAATAACAATATTTTATAATAGTGAATAATCTTTCAAATTTTTAACTGAATTTCATTTTAATTTATTTAAGAGATTTAAAATATAAGTATAAGCATATAATATATAATATAATCATTTCTGATTTAAGAACCTTTTAAAATAATGTCGGTTTACTTTTGATTTTTTTAGTTTCTAGTTCGGTGGGCTAATTAGAATTTTTTTAGCATTTGAATCTGGCGATTTATATAATAAGATAAGAGAGTGTAAGTAAAGGGCCTTATCAAACAGCAACAACGACATTTGCTGTCTTAAAAAATGTGTAAAATTGGAAAGTTTATTAAGAATCATGACAGTATTTCACTCAAAAATCATGATATTGAAAAGGCGACAAAACTTATTTTTATACTTGGTAAATCATAAACTATGATTTGTACTTGGATAATATATATTATACAAAATTAAGCACTAAAAACAGTATAAACATTTTTTTAAGTAAAATGCCGATAGTTATATTAAATTTGGGTGTAAATAGACAATCAGAAAATCTGATCCCATTTAGTCCATATTAAATATTTTAAGGTTCGAATCCATAATTGTGTCCCGAACAGCTGCAAACGCAAACTTAATGTTGTCCGTGTCTACAAAAATAACATTTTTTTAATTTGATTTAAGAATTTCCATCATATTAATAAACTTACCTGTAGCATTAGTAAAATGAGGATAAATTATGGTGTTAGCTTCTAAAGAAAATTGTGCATACTTCTTAAGTATAAAATTTCTGGCTGCTTTGTCATCTTTTTTTGGACCTGTTCAAAAAGGCAAATATATCTAGCTAATACTGTATGCATATGTATAACACTTACCATCGTATTCAGGAAAATAGTCTACCAAATGTGAATTCATAATTTTCTTTTTCAACAAGTCCTTCTTATTCAGGAAGAGAATAATTGACGAATTTTGGAAGAATTGGTTTCTAATTAAAGCACCGAATAAAGCTATAGATTCCTCCATCCGATTCTGTAAATTATATTTTTTAATATACGGATCGAATTTGAATAGTAGGACATACTTCAGTTTGAGACTCAAACAGGACTTGATCGAACTCCGAAAGAGCGGCCAAAAATATAATGGAAGTCACATTCGAAAAGCAATGGATCCATTTTCTTCTTTCGCAGCGCTGACCTGCGACATCCACCATGCTGATTAAGAGTTAATATTTAATATTACTTTTTATTGGGAAACACCCATTAATAAATACCTTATCTTAATACCATTCAATTCGAATGGATACTCTATAATGCCGGTTGTTGGCACTCGAACACGAAGAATATCCTGATCGGAAGCCACGTAATCAGCCTGTTCAAATCTAGCCAAGTCGCTCATGAAGCTAAATTAGATAAAATAAATATTTAAAAAAATAAAATAATTATTTTTTAAGAGTTCATATGAAACTCACTAGCTTGTTGAATCGGTCAACTGATATTCATTACTACGTCTGAAGCACTCCTGGATTCCAGTATCCTGCCAAAGCGTTTTGATGGCACTCAAGTACGGATCCTTTAAATCGGTGACGTCTTCGTAATCAATGCTGCTTACCAGGTTGGCTAGTTGCTGTGAATCAGCTTGTGGTTAGGAGTCTTCAAAATAATACAATGTTCTACTCACCCGATGCTGCTCCTGACCATAGGAAATGTTCAGATCGTCCATTGCCTTGATCATTGACTGCATGGCCATGAATATGTTCTGGAAAACCAATTTGACATACATACGCCTTTCTTCGGGCTTGTATCCATTACCATGGATAAAGCGCATCTGTTTGATAAATGTTGATTTTCCGGAGTCGCTAGCCCCTGTAGATACGGGATAGGAAATATATAGGAAATAGGAAATATATAATGATCCACTTACCCAACAATAATATTTTCCTCTCCCATTTGGCCTTCTTCTTCTCCATTCGCAATTCCTTCTCGATTAATCTATTAACGCTTATTTGCTCTCTCTCTTCCTCCGACAAAGAGTAACCTAACAGCGCGCAACATGTTAAAGTGTCCATTGTAGGGAATAACTACTGTTTGCTTTTGTTAAGTTGTAAAAGATCCAAGAAAAGCTGCAAAGAGACCAAAGTTAGATTTTCGAAGTGGATTCTATTTCGGATTAACCTCTGATTAATAATTTGAATTTGTTATTTGTTTGAATTTAGAACACAAATATAGACATTAAAGAACCCCATTAAAACTTTATATAATGACCTTCTATAAACAAATATAAACATAAAAGCTTATTCAATATAAACATTTGTCACCGACTTTTTATCGTCTTTGAAATATGCAATTTTTCTCAACAAAATATTAAAGTCTTAGTTTTCTGACGTTCAATTTCCATTTCTAACTTTTAAGCACATTTTAGTTTTACGTAGTTTAAGGGAAATTCCAGACGACTTCCAGTTAAAAAGGGAATTTTTATAAAAAAAATTTCACAATCGAGCTGAGTATAAGAAATAAATCATAAACATAAAAAAAAATCAATTTTTATACATGACTAATGTGTTTTCTAGGAAAATTTTCATAAAATTTATTATATATTTCAACGTTCTTATCGAAAAAGGTTTTTTTTAAATATTATCTTACTCTTTTTCTTGCCTAATTTACTTTCTGCACTTTGATTGTGGGTCTTTTTTATCCTTATCGCATTTTCCGAGAATTTCCTAAATAATTGCTTTATAAAATAAAGAATGTCCGCTTGAAGCGGAGATCAACCGAGTACTGACCCGTTACTGCTTTTGTTTTCTATAGTTTTTTAGAATTTCTGTTTTTTAAGAGAGCCAACCTTCTGTTCTCCGAAGTTGTATTGTTCTCCTGATAAAGGCACGAGTTCCACTGTAGAGCAATCTCATCTCCACAGAGAACGTCCCAAGGGAATATTTAATGATTTCAAACAATATAATTGAGTGTCCAGAAAATCATTATCCAACCCCGCATTTATTTCCTAAATGAAATTTTTCGAAATAAAAAAAATTGTATATTCTTGCTTGAATTTAATTTATATATTTATTTACGCTTTTACAAATAACATTTGTTTTATAAATTTGTTAATTCATTTACTTACTAAAAAAGAGGAATTTTTACTTATTTTAACTTTTAGTGTTTAAAAACTGCCGAATGATTCTAAAAGGTGTTAGAAAGATATTGATTTGCTAAGTTTTTTATAGTTATAGCTATAGTTTGATGTCAAGTATTATTTTAATAGCTCTTTAGGAGATTTTATATAAATTACACAATCCCATTCCAATTCTAATTTAGAACAAATTATTTTCCTTAAGGTGGCATTGCAGAATTGTGTCTTTAACAGCCGCAAACACAAATCTTATATTTTCCGTATCTAAACAAAGAAAATAAACAAAAATATTAATTAGTTTTGAGGCAAACATTATTTAAAAGATCATTTTCTAAAACTAGAATTACCTGTGGCACAGGTAAAATGGATATAGATCTTTTTATCGGGATCTGGATTTACAGCCTCAAACATGTGCAGGATAAAATCTTTGGCCGTTTCTGCATCTTGCTGTGGACCTGATGGATTATAAATGTTATATAAGTAAGTAAATGTTATATAATTACTTAGTGTAGAAAGATAACTTTGATTCCAAACACTTACCATTGTATTCCGGAAAATAATCTGCCAAATGCGAATCCATTATTTTCTCCTCAAAAACGTCAATTTTGTTTAGAAAAAGAATAATCGATGCACTTTGAAACCATTCGAATTCCAAAATAGTATGAAATAAAGCTATGGATTCCTTCATGCGATTCTGCAAATAGCATTTAATAAGATATTCGGGTAATACCTAAAGAAACTTTTAGACGTACTTCCTTCTCAGATTCCATCAAGACCTGATCATATTCCGAAAGAGCGGCTAAAAATATAATGGAAGTCACATTCGAAAAGCAATGAATCCACTTTCTTCTCTCGGATCGCTGACCTGCGACGTCCACCATACTGTTTATTAAATAAATTATTAAATATTAAATGTAATACTAGTATAAGTTAAATAGATACCTCATCATAAAGTCATCCAATAGAAATCGATACACGTGAATATTAACTGTCGGCTCTCGAACTCGAAGAATATCCTGCTCAGTGGGCAAATATTTAGCCTGTTCAATTCGAGTCAAGCTACTTAAGAAGCTAAATAGGAGACTTTTAAATACATTTTTTAAAATATTTAATAACTAGTAATAGCTCACTATTTTGCTGAATCGGTTAATTGGTATTCCCTACGACGACTATAACACTCCTGGATTCCAGTATCCTGCCAAAGAGTTTTGATGCCACTCAAGTATGGATCCTTCAAGTCGGTAACTTTATCATAATCAATGCTCATCACCAACTCGGCTAGTTTCTAGGGATCTGCTTGTCTTTAGTGGTTTAAGAAAAAATCCAATGATTCACTTACACCATGATCCTCCTGATCGTAGGAAATGCTCAACGCGTCCATGGCCTTGATCATTGACTGCATGGCCATGAATATGTTCTGGAAAACCATCTTGATGTACCCACGCTTATCCTCGTCCGAGTAGCCACTACCGTGAATAATACGCATCTGCTTGATAAACGTCGACTTTCCTGACTCTCCCGGTCCTGGTGATAAAGGTTTGGATAGTGGATCTTAGACGACCTTCGCCACCTATTTTACTTACCCAAAAGCAAAAGTTTGAGATCTCGTTGTGCCCTTTTTCTCTCCAGGCGCAACTGCCTATCGATTTCCTCATTAGTGCGCCTATTTTCCCTTGCTTCCCTTGACTGGCAGCAGTTCATGCTAACCAAATTTTATTTTAAAAAATAATATATAAAATATAGACACCGTATTTCGACTCTTCAAGGTAACATATTCCAAAATCTTATATTTTTCTAATCAGTATTTTGCCATTTATAAATCAATCATTGTATTTATTTCCACTTTTTCCATATCGCACTCCGAAAACCACAACCAAACTCGTACATGAATTGCCAAGAACTGTGCTGAGTTGATTTTATTTTCAAACTAAACTCAGAGCCTTGAATACAACTATGTTTTTTAAGAGAGTTTTTCAACTTGAGGTACTCACAATTTAAATAATTCTCTTGATAAGGTAGGGAAAGTGCTCCCTTGGAGGCAATGTAGCTGAAAACGTCCCAAGGGAATATCTGGGATTTGGTATCCAATCCACCAAGGTCCATCGAAATAAAAAAATATTTTTGCAAAATTTATGTTCCTTACTTAAAGTTTCTAAACCAAGTGAGAAAGAAAGTTTAGTTTTTAAGCCAAAATAAAAAATGCAATTGAACTTTCTTTTCAATATACTTTTATTTATATTATATTGGTTTTTTCATTAATATTAAGGTGTACATAGATACTTTTAATTATCTAAAAAATTTGTTTAGTTACAATTGCCACGCATACAATCTCCGTCTTCAATATGATTTGTATGACAAATGTATAGACACCCAGGAAAACCCCGTCCGTCCAATATCAATCAATTCAAATGCTACAGTTTATCAATAGTCGGCCCATGGACATGTTGGACTTGTCTCCGGTTTTTCTTTTTTTGTGTTTTTCATTTTATGGTTTTTCTTTTTTGGGGAGTGGGTTTTGGGTCTGTGTGTGGTTTTTGCCTTAATCCTAGGCTAAGCAGTTCCATTGGATGTTTCATTTAGCTTCTTCTGATTTACACGTATGTATATGCTTAGATGTGCAATGGAGAAACACGACTCGTACGAATATTTCTCCCTAATATCGCCCAATCGATCGATCGATCGATCGATCAAATGCCACATGCCGAACTCACAACTAATATTTCTTACTGCTTATCCCGATGCTGAGTTTATATTATATTATTTTTTTTTTAACCGAAACATTCGGCTAGACATTCTTTTTATCAAGAATGTAGTTTTTAATTTCCTTTTTTCATTTTTGTCAACGTCAAGGGGGTGATTTGAATTTTTTGGGATTTGTGGTTTTTTTTTTGTAATAGTTTTTTGCTTTTCAAGCTTTCTTATGTGGAATGTGGTCATTCTTTCATTTACATACATAGTTAAAGTAAAAACTAGCCACCGAATGCCACGCCTAAATATGGTTTTCATCAATCTGAAAATTGGTGGCCCTAAGGATCATATTCATCATCCTATATACCATCCATCCGCTCTACATTTACACAAATACATAAATTTTTCCCATTTAAATTGTTGTCCCCTTTGCTTGCAGTTCTGGTTGAGTTTTTGTTGCTTAGAAAATTTCTTTTGTTTTTTTTGGTTTTTGTTTTTTTTAATCTTAATTCCTTACAATATTTTGAAATTCCTTTAGCAATCATCGGATTTGTGTATTATGTACTTGGTTTCTCTATATTTTGGTTTTTTTGTTTTTTGTTTTTTTGGAAATACATATCTAGTAGATTCTTCTGTATTATTTTTTATCATGTAATTTTAGTTATTAATCGTAACAATTGTAAGTGTAATCAAAATTATAAATTGTATATAAAAATACAAAATACATACATTAATGATTTATATCAAATTCTCATTTTTATTATTATAGTTCCTTATTGAGTTTAATGTATAGTTACATACATATATGCTCGATTATGTTGTATATATAACTCGGGAGGTTTTTCAAATCTTCAAATAACCCCGCTCGATTTATTTTCCAAATATTTACATTACAACTGTCTGACTATCGGTGCGTATATATCATAAAAATAAGGAACCAATCTTTCAACCCAAAACACAACAATCTGGCAAATACACACATGCTGATAATTTAAATGTTTTTTTTTGGGAGGGTTTTCTAACAGACTTCCATAGGGGTGCCTACTGTAGCCTGTCCTATATATTTGATGTGATTAATGATAGGTGGAAAGGCACAAAATGCTAAGAAATAAAACTGAAATTCAATTTAAATTAAAAAGTGCTGCAAAAAAGGGAAATTCTATCATTGAAACCGCCGAAAAATGTTTGTATTTTTAAGATGGAAGAAGATTTAGAAGAAACCAAACGGGAAAATATGAACAAACTAAAGGGGAGACTTTGTCTGCTCGCTGCTGATGCAATTCATTGGACGGAAAACTATATATATGTCAGTGTGTGAATGTCTATAATAATGCGTAATGGATATACGAAATCGGAGCTACCAACAAAATTGGATGCCAAGCCAAAGGGGCTGTGAATTTGATATTCGCATCAAGAACCTAAACCATATCTCTTTATCCATTCCAATGGGGTCTCTCTCATCTAGGCTCTGCTAAACTGCAACTTTTAAAATACACATTGACTTATTGAAGCTTTTTAAAAGCTAATCCATTGGTTATAATCATAAAAATGGTTTAATTACTTTATTTTTACTAGATGTGGTTACGAGGATTAAAGCTTTATACAACACACTGTTGAATCGTACTTAAACTAAGATGCATATTGGTTTCATCTTTATTTTTTATTCACTTTTTGGTTATGCGCTTGGTTATAGGATTCTCAATTCTCGAGTTCTCCACTCCCCTGGTGTAGAGCGTCGTCTGCTGCCAAAGTTTCGATTCTTCTTCTGTGGCCCCGACTAAACTAAGAACTTCCAACTGATCGGTTGAGGGAATCTCGGTTGAACGAAAAAAATAAGTGTAATAAATTATGAAAAACATTTTGCTTCATATTTATTTTACATATATGTACGTTTCAATATTTTTTTTTTTTTCATTTTCATTTTTATTTATTTTTTATTCTTTGTTTGTTTCCACATATGCGTAGAGTAGAATTGTTTTTATTTGGATTTTTACATAAATAATTTGTTGATGGGTTTCATTTTTTTTTTTCACTTTTTCTCTATTTATGTGCGTCTCATTTAGTTATCCTTGTATATTAAATTAAACTAAAATTATAAAAACAAAAACAAAACACTGGACCGCACTCTCGCTGACTCTCGATTGGATGTGGAGTGTGGGGCAGCAGCAGAGTGTGTGTCCATTGTTGCATATACATTAAGATCTATAAAATAAGCAAACAACTAACAAAGTTAATGTAAAAAGTACGAAAATCAAGCGCTACTATCATTTGATAACAATGTTTCGACTGAAATTTTGATGGCAACGAAAAAGTACGTGAGAGCAAAAACTTTCCCTTCAGATAAGTTAATAGTTATGTGTCTCGACCAGTGGTATATCGCATTTGATTTGATTTGACCTGATGTCTGATTAAATATCAATAAGTTGCATGGATTCTGCTGTTGTTGCATGGGTGGTTATCGACATTCTCTTTCTTTACAAACACGTTTCTGTTTTACACTATTATTATTATTTCAATGGATGTTCCATGTAAATGGCGTTTCTCTTACAGATTCATTTTCTTAACTCTTCTTTTCTTCTCAATTTTTTAATACGAATCGTAATTTACAATGAATGGGACTCCCGCAAATGCAAATTAATTAAATTTTTTGTGTTTTTGCTTTTTCAATTGTTACATATGCGTTTATGAATTATTTTTTATATTATCTGTTTGCATGTGTATAGTTAAATATGCCGGTAAACAATAGTATCAATATTTACGGTTTAGCTTAATAAAAAATACAGTATTATCTGTGATTTCGTTTTCATTCATTTTATATCGGCTTTCTGCTTTCTGTTTTCTGTTTTCTGTTTATTGTTATTATTTTTACACGCCTTATATGCCCTGAAATTCTAATAAGAAACTTCTAGCATATATAATTCTTTGAATATATATATTCCGGGGGATTCTTTACGCAAAATTTTGTTTTCTTTGTTTTTTTATTCTGTAGTTATGTTTAGTAAAATGTTGCTTTATTATGCTTCAGTACGACAAAATTGTTTCAGTTTGTTGTTTCTTATCAAGCTTTTGATTAAATTTACGTTTCATATTTTTTGTTTCGGTTTTTGTTTATTACAAAAGTTACTATAGTAATAAATTTATTCAATTATTACAGGATGACAACAGTTAGCCAAGGACGTGTGTATATTTTGTATACAATTTTCAAGGAAATTCATAGTTTATCGGTTTTATGTCCGAAAAACTAACGATTTTTATTCGACTCTAATCAGAAACTCAGTTCATTTTGCCTGCCAATCAATGCTGGTTACTGTCTTTTTGACTTTCAGGCAGAGTTTTCCCAGACGAAACAACAGTTTTCAAATCACACAAAATCGTTTTCCGTTAACCAAAAAACCTTGTCCGACACTTAAAAAAATGACTATAAATATTCCAATAATATAAATTATTATTTGCCTACGAATTCCATATATATATATATATATATTCGTAGTGTAAAGCGAGAAAAATTGTCCTGATTACTTGCTGCCATCCTGTGTATCAGATGTTGTTTGTGTTATTTTTCTCACGAAATTAAAATGTATACATAATTTTCATCATTTGTTGGTTTGATGCTGGTTTACCATCTCAGTTTAGTATTTCTATTTATGCTACAATTTTTTTTTGTTTTCGGTTCCTGATGTTACAAACGTAAGAAACTTTCTCGGGGGTCTAATTAATGCCTAAATTTTCGGCCACATTCGCTCGCTTATCAATTCTTCTTTTATATTTAGTAAATATGCGAAAAAGGAATTATATGAATGTGTATGTGTGTGTTTGTATAAAAATCACAAAAATAGTTTTTCGATCCAAATCCAGTTTAGACCAAATTATATTCCTTAAGGTTCGATTGCAGAATTGTGTCCTTAACAGCTGCAAACACAAACCTTATATTTTCCGTATCTAAACAAAGAGAAAGAATAACAAATTAGTTGGTTTTATTAAGTAGTTCTTAGAAAGTCAAAGGCACACTCATTCCATTCAAGGTATTTAACAGACTATATTGAAATTTTTATTGGAGGATCTTTGAAAAACAAATCATATACATTATAAATCAATTATTCATTTGCATTGCCATTTTTTCCCGGTAAATCCATGTTGCCAGCCGTAAATTAGCCCAAATTGAACTCCTTAAGTGCATTTTGCATAATTGTATCTTTGACAGCGCAGAACACAAGTTTGATGTTTTCGGTATCTGTTCACCCAAGAGACCATCATTTCATTAGAAATCAATATTCATTGTTATTAACAATTTGACTAGCGATACTCTATGCTAAAACAGCGGCAAAAGCAAATGCAAATGATGTACAGACCAAAGTTTTACCTCTTTGCCAGTTTTCTCTTTTTAGGCTGAAAATTAGAATCACACACAGGCACACCCAATTTCTGAGGAAAACCCACACCAAAACGCAGACTTACCTGTAGCACAGGTGAAATGAGAATAGATAATTTTTTCGGAATCTGGATTTAAATCTACAAACATTCGCAGTATGAATTCTCGGGCCGCTATTGCATCTCGCTGTGGACCTGTCACGATTAAGAAGGCAAATCAAAATGTTACATCTAGCAAGGTACTACATGATTTTTTTTAGCATATAAACTACAAATGATGTTTGGCATTTTTAAGGCAAATACATAGTCGTTAAGAGTATAAAAAGGTGAAAGTCCACCTGTGGCCGTTGTGAAATGCGAATAACATTGACGCTCGGGATCTGGATTGCAGGCCAAGTATTTTTTCAAAACAAACTGTTTGGCCGCAGCGTGATCCTGCTTTGGACCTGGTTTTCATTGCCGCATAAAATCGTACATAATTATGGCCACTTAAATCCATAATTAAGACACTTACCATCGTATTCAGGAAAATAGTCTACCAAATGCGAATACATTATCTTCTCCTCCAACAAGTCCTTCTTATTCAGGAAAAGAATAACTGACGAATTTTGGAACCATGGGTATGTAATTATAGTACGAAATAAAGCTTTAGATTCCTCCATTCGATTCTGTTGGGAATACATGTCATTATATATATGGAATCAATTATATATAGAACTTAAAGACTTACCTCATTATCAGATTCAAACAAGATTTGATCGTATTCCGATAGCGCTACCAAAAATATAATTGATGTCACATTCTCAAAACAATGAATCCACTTTCTTCTCTCGGATCGCTGACCGCCGACGTCCACCATCCTGTTTGTTAGGGAAAATTGTATTGTTAATATCGAATTTAAGCAAATATTTATAACATTACAAAGCATAACATAAAAGCATTTAATACCAAAAGCGCAAGCCACAAATTATATTAGTAACTAAAACATATACACAAAGTCTTTTACTAGCTATATAGTAACCATTTACATTTCTAGCCTCGTCAGTAGTTTATCGCTTTAAATCAGTTTATATTTCGAATAGATACCTAAACACAATGCCATCCAAATCGAATGGATACTCAAGAATGCCAGTGGTTGGCACACGAGCACGCAGAATGTCCTGCTCGGTTGGCAAGTAATCAGCCTGTTCGATTCGAGCTATGTCGCTCAAGTAGCTAAATTAGATTAATAAATACATTTTTAAGCCAAGAACGAAAACCATAACCAAGTCTAGAATAGTTTTACAATCCGTCTCAGTCCACTAACTCTGCAAAAGGCCCTAATCGAATGCTTCGACAGACATGCGCTAAAGGAATTCTTAAGATTTTTGTTAACAAAAAGAATAAAATGGAACCATAACCATAAGGAGAAATCAGACACATGCAATTGGTGTAATATGAAAATGTTGAAATGTATGTACCTAAATCTGATTTCTTCTAAATCAAAGGGATACTCAATTATCCCTGTTGTCGGCACACGAACTCTTAAAATGTCTTGCTCAGTGGGTAAATATGCAGGTTGAGCCACACGATCGAGATCCTTCAGATAACTATACATAAACAAGATAATGGATTTAGTTTGTACAGTCAGTTTTTCAGTCTCAATCGTTAGTTTTTCAGTAGTTTTCTTATTTTTGGATAGGTTTGATATCCCTTCCAATTGCTTGACAACGGGTAACTCACTATTTGGCTGAATCAGTCAGCTGATATTCCCTACGACGATCGTAGCACTCCTGGATGCCAGCATCGTCCCAAAGCGTTTTGATGGCATTCAAGTATGGATCCTCGAACGTGGTAACGGTCTCGTAATCGATGCTCATCACCAAATCGGCCAGTTCCTATACAATATAATATATATATATATATTAATATTGAGCTTATAAGTTTTAAGATAAGCTATACTTACGCTATGCTCTCCCTGACCATAGGAAATCTTCAGCATGTCCATGGCCTTGATCATTGACTGCATGGCCATGAATATGTTCTGGAAAACCAGCTTGATGTACCCACGCTTGTCCTCGTCCGAGTAGCCACTGCCGTGGATAATACGCATCTGTTTGATGAATGTTGACTTGCCGGACTCGCCCGTGCCTGAGGGATATAGGTTTGGAAAATATATAGCCATAAATGCCGGCCAATGCAATGGAATGTAATTAGCAAAGGCGGCGCTGCCTTCAATTGCATTAAGCCAAGCTAATTGCAATCAAAATGTGGCCATGTGTTCCATGTTCCACCTTTCACATCCACTTACCCAGTAGCAACAGTTTAAGCTCGCGGCGCGCATCTCGCTTGTCTCGACGCAACTGCTTCTCGATTTCCTGATTGATGCGCTTTTGTTCCTTGGCCTCCTCCGATAAACAGCACTCCATGCTAACTAGATTTATGGACGCTTTCGCGTGCTGCTGCCACTACGCTCGACAGGCCGTACCGTATAGAAAATGTATGCTGTTTTGTTTTGGATGGTGGGATGGTCTCCTGGACACTCCCTTCCACTGGACCCGCTGTCACCTATCTAATTGGTTATGTGACTGCCGCTGAATTCAACGTATCCTAGCTGCCTGCTGCTCATCCAAGGGAATTGCTTTTTGTACCCGAGTTCCAAGTTACAGATTCTGTTTCAGTTTCAGTTGCAGTTTCGTTTGATGCATTTGTACTTCGGCGTTGCTCCCTCTGCAGATTTTTTATCCTCCTTCCGCTTACGATCCAGGCTCTCTTTGGCTATTGCTATTTCTAATTACGGCTCTACGCTAAGTCCTTGACCAGATTACGGTGATTTGGAGGCTGAGAGTGATGGTTACAAATGAACGAAGACCACATTGAACGATCCAAGAACATCTGCAACAAAGGAGACGAAGCTTTGATTTAGTACTTGGCGGCTTACATAACCAAAATTTAGGATCTATGGAACTATGCCTCTTACAGACCACCAGAGTTGTTAGCTCAACGAGAGTTCGCCACGTTGTGTCCCGTGCTGGCAATTAACATTTCATATTTGCTAGCCCGCCCTACAAGCTGGCGACGTCGATGACGACGTCGGATATGGATGGCCCATGGCTACCTCTGGCTTTCCTCTGACCATGGCATTGGCTTTGGTCATGTTCTGGGTCTGTCTGTTCTCTCTCTCTGCGCAGACCTGAGGGATCGCCTTCCACCAAGTGCCAATAGATTGAGGAAGCGTTCGCCCAATGCCCCCCGATTCATTGCCAGGTTCATTGCAAGAAAGCTGATTTTGGTAAATATATGGCTTCACTGGCCACAGGTTTGCGAGAGTGTTCCCTAGGTGAGTGGACCAAGCTTGGTTTGAAATTTAGGTGACCAGGGAATATCAATAATTGTCCAATTCTTAAATCCTATATCGCAAAGATTTTGATAATATAAATAGCCCAAGAAATGGAAATCTTTCATCCAAATTTCCACAGATTTCGGTCCACCCAAAGTCGTCGTTCATTCATGGGTTCAGCGTAGGGCAAGCCTATAGAATATAGCCTATAACCTGCAGTCCGTAGGCACTGGTGCTATTTCCTCTCTTTTCCCGCCCTCGTTTTATATATATCGAGTGATTGCTAATCCAATTTCGCTGGCGAATACATTGACACGGGTCGAGGTAAGGTTTTCAGCATGGACACTACCAAAATATCAATAGAAAATATCTACCAATATTTTTTGAAAAAATGTCTAGGAAGGAGAAATGGAGAGGGTAGGAGGCGTGAGGTGAATATGAAGATCTAAGTAAAGTCCATGGCTAGTCGTTAAGATTCAGGATTAGTGAGTGGACTGCAGTTGGAAAACATTTCTCGATGAGCAAAGCCACGAAATCTAATTAGCAGTAGCCGTAGCAAAATTCAGGGGCAGGGGCACGCAATTGGCGCAGTGAAGCGTATTTTAACAATAGTTTGCCAGATATATCATGCCACCAAATCGGGAGGGAGAGTTACCTACCGGGAACTGGTCTTATCTGCCTTACACATGTATATGCTTATGATAAACCAGTCAGAGAGATAACGTTTGACTTGTCTTCTTAATCTTTAGACGACTACTGTGTTCTTATGAAGTGCCCTCTGTTCCTCTATTGCATTTTCTAAAATATGCAATTATAGATCGGAAATGCCAGCATGTTACTCACTGCCTCTTATCAAAGCCTTTCTTTACTTGCAACTGGAGTTGTTATAAGCTAGTATTGAATTTATTATAAACGATTTTCAGAGCAATATATATTTATCAGATTATTTTATAAAAAGTGACCACATTTTATATTTTATTGTACTAAAAGCATGTTTATGACAAAACTAATAAAATTCATTTCAGTGTGCCAGAATGATATATATAAATGATATATATAGGTTTTAGGTTGTACTTAAATGATTTTAAAGTTTTTTAGGCTTTTGATATATAAGATATTGCATATTCTTATACAAGAAATAGTTAAATTTACTTATTGACTCCCCAAATATTATTGCCTGGCAACAAGTGGTCAAGTTAGAAATAAACCAACTTAACTTAGTCTTACTTACTTAGTAAATTTACGGAGACACGGGACTAAATTTTGTTCAGACGAGATTCTCCAAAATGATGTTCCGGTTTTTTAGTCCTCTCGTTTGGTTTTTGCTAGCACTATTTTATACAAAAAATATGTAGTTTCGATTTCATACGCCGACTTGAAGTTCTTTCGCGTTTATAATCGTGTGTTTTATTTGGTTCCCTGCCGATTTTCGGTCTGTTTTTTTTTTTTTTAATTTCTTTAATTTAATCACGCGATTTTTGTGTTGTTTTTTTATGCGGTTTGTTGGTTTTACGTTAATATTTAGTTAGCTTAAACTAATTTCAAAAGCATTTCGTTTTTAGTTGGTTTGCGGTTTGGAAAACATTTGTTTTTTAAGGAACGTGTGTAGTTGGTTAATTTATTTTTACTGGTGCTTTGTAATATAAAAGTTACGTTTACGTCTGTTCGGCTTTCTTTTTTTCTTCTTGTTAATGTAAATATGATACTATTTATATATATAGATATATTTTTATTTTTTCTTCGGATTTTCCGTGTGTATGAGGACTGTTGTTGTTTGTCGTTTCTTCTTGTTGTTGTTGTGGTTGTTGTTTTTAAACACCAGTCTGTAAATGCAACGAAGTTTCAACAAATATTCATTGTAGTGTAATTGAAACGGAAAAGTATGTACGACGACGACGACGACGACGAAACGGTCATCAAATTGATTTCACACGAAACACTTAGTGGCTCCTTTTGTATTTAATTTTCTGCATACTTTATGCTTCTTGTATTTGTTTATTTTTCTGTATGCAGTGGAACTGCAAGTAAAATAAGAGAGACAGACAGATAAAGAGAAGAACGAGGAGGTGGGTGGGTGTTGGGTGGCATGGGTGGAAAACTAGGAATATGCATTCCGGAAAATCATCATCATACTGGCTAAGGTAAACACACACAACCCCTACCCACTTTTTTTCTTTCTTTTTTTTTGTTAGCCCACCCGCCGAAAACCCCAAAACTATAGACTTTTCACCAGTAATTCCTTAGACCTTAAACGAATACTAGCTTAAATCACCATTTTGTAGTGAAAACATTTTTAAATTAAACAACAAACTAACTTTTTGTACAATTCTTAACTTTTTTCCTATTCGTAGTGTTTTCCTCTGGCAAGCAGTGCGAAATGATATGCACTGCTTTACGAACGAATACACACAAATATAAGCGAGGGCGTTAACGAAACGAAAAAATTTTGATAGCAATGCGTTTCGAAGATTTCGCGATTCGATTTGCCGATTGTTTAACAATTATGCTGGACCTTGCTTAATAACCAGGCACTATTTGGCGAAAAAACGCACTTTACACTGGCTTTTCGGTGGAACGTTTTTCGGTGCTGGTCGAAAATTTTTTTTGTCGAGGGGGGGACTTTTTTTACGGGGCTAACAGGGGTTGGCGGTGGGCGAAAGCTGGCCAAAGGCGTTGTCCGTTTAACGGGGATTTCGCTCGAAACTCACAACATATTCGATTTGGCATCGCTCGCTACTCACAACATATTTAATTTTGCATTTTTCGCTAACGTTGACGCACGGACCGTAGTTTTTGAGGACAGTGTGACCGCACGGGGAACGACGGTTTAACAGCGTTGCCAATTTCACACCTATAATGGCGTTGCCTGCTTTTCGAAAAACACGTTCGCACAAATTACAAATATCGATAGCAAGAATGAATCGATAGTCGTTTTTTCAAATTATTCATGTTTTTATTCTTTTTATGAAAAAAATTGCATTGACAGATCTTTATGCATTTCTATATGCTTTTTTATTTACGAAATTTCCTTCTGCGCAGAGGATTATAAAAAAACCCACCTGAAACGATGGACATGTAGTTGTGCACCACTTTCAAGCAGTTCACAGTTTCGGTTTTAGTATTTTTTAAATACTGTATATTTTGTGATAAGAGCAGGTGGGGCGGTTATTTTTATTTTTGATTAACCATGTTAATATTAGGCTTAGATTAATTATACCCTCAAGAAAGGATTGTCTGCATTCAATATACATTATACAAGCTTTTGAAAAATCGGTCACACTTAAAAAAAGTTAACCGTTGCCCGCCAAATCAAAAAGTTCGTTTAATTTATTCTATGTTTTATTTGCTTTCTGTAAATTATTATCATTTGTTCAATATGTTCATGCGATAAATAAGTGTTTAAATTAATTAAATAAAATTAAAATAATAACTTTACAGTGTGTGCACAATTTAAACAATTATTTCGGGTCTCGTGTGATTTACAATCGAGTTAAATAAAATATAAAAACATCGAATCGATCGGTTAGTGACTATTGGATTGTGTTCGTGTTATAAAGCTGCAGCTAGTTCGAGTCTCTCAGACGACAAATTAAAAACCAAAGTACAAATTAAGATACACGTAATTGCTAAAAGTTAAAATTGTTACTTGAAAAACAAATTTTCCAAAGAAACTTCGGGGACCACAGAGGAATTACATCTGGCCATTGTTTTTTTTTGTTTGTTTGTTGCATCGTCCCAAAAAATACATTCAATTGACTATAAAAAACTCGTACTATAATATTTGCAAAATACACAAGATACAAAAGGTTCAGGCTATCTACTCCGACTTTTGATTTGTTTAACAATTACTCTGGCTTTCGAGTGATATGCGTTACATCATTTGTGGTTTGCCGTTTTTTTTTTAACAAATTACAAATTAGATACGTTTTTTGTTCGCATTAATTATGAGCACAATAATAGGATTAACAAATAATATATGTATACGTAGGTTTATGCTTTAGATTTGTTGTTGTTGTTGTTGTTATTGAAACTTAGAACTAAAAAATAATGTTTGAAACATTTTTCAAAATATTCTCTCTCCCTCTCTCATCTGCATTCTTCATTCTTTGTGTTGTTTGTGGGTTTTTCTTTCGTTAACAATAACAATTTAATAATTGGAAGCACTGCTCTAACAATCCCAATAAGTGGATTGCACATTTTTCGAATACATTTCACAAAACATGTTTTTTTTATTATTAATTTGACAATAACGAAAGCAGCGCTCACAAAGAAAAAAAATTTGGCTGAAAGTTTGTATTTGGATTTGGACCTCCGTTCGAAAAGTATTTTATGTTTGTTTGTTTTTTTTTTTTTTTTTAGTTGGGTTGTTTATGTTGTAACTGAATTTGCTGATGGTTGGTTGCTAGCCCAGTTGATATGCTGTTGGCCACTTCAGATGGGACGCGTAAAGTTGGCGGGGAAGAGTCCCTTTTCGGTGGTGCCCTCCTTTTGACCCATTAGCCAGCCCTCCTCCTGCAAATTGGCAATAAAGAACTGCACTCAATATAGACAGGAAGTGCGGAGATCTGCATTTGGCGCGGAGGGGGAAACTAGCGCGTGCAAAGCTCAAGGAAGAGTTTATCTTCGGATGCCGAAGTTCGGGATATTCCCTTGCAGATATGTTATATTATTTTTAGAAACATTTTAAGCTTTGTCAGCTTTTTAAGCTTAGTCAGATAGTAAGTTATGATTAAAACACAATCTGCAAGGAATAAGAAGGCTGTGTAACAGTTTTACGCAATCGACTTTACCTGATCCTCGGGATCGTCGTACTCAATAACGCGAATAAGGTCACCGATCTCAAAGCTCAGTTCATCCACATCCTCTTTGACATAGCCATAGGTGGCCTTCACCCGGTAAAGAACACCTTCCGGCAAATCAGCGGTATTGGCATCTGTTTAGAGAGAAATAAATGATAACCAACTTAAGATCTATTGACAAGTTTTGAGTACCAAAACCCTGACTCCGTACGTCACACACACACACAGTGCACATCGAAAGTGGCATAACCGAGTTTAGTAGACAAAGGCACGCAAAGAACAACGTAAAGGCAAATCCTGGCCAAAAAGGTGTTAGTACGGTGTAGCGCTTTCTCAGGCTTTTCATTTGGGCTGTTAGTTTTTCTCTTTTCAGTGGGATGAAAAAGTTGGTCTCAAAACTGAAGCAACGAACGTGCAAGCAATGATAAATTGTTTAATGGGTGATTAATATTATTATATAGTATTTTGATAGTTGTACGATAACCTACGTGTTGGAATCCCGAATTAAGACAACATGAAGTGACTTAGTCCAAAAACTAAAAGGGTACTAAATGAAAATACAAAAGAGAGAGAGAGAGATGCACAGCCCAGGAAATGATATTGGGATCCTGCTATTGTGGATGCTCCAAGCAGCATGCCACACAATCGCTTTTTTTTTTTTTTTTATGTTTACAATACAATACCAAATACAGTAAGACCTCAGTTTTTAGACGACAAATTCACACAGGTAACTAAGGCTTAGATTACAGAGTATTAGACGTGATCCTTCAAAGGATGCAAAGAGATAGTTGAGTATGTGTGAGGAAGTACTACATACAGAGTGTGATAGATAGAAAGCGATTTTGAAACACCCAGTGGACTCGGTTTTTTATCGAGTTTTTTACTCACCAGCGGGCACCTCGTAGATGCGTTCGTCATCATCCTCAAACGGATTCTTATTTAGATTATTTACGCTGTGCCTATTAACTACGGGTACTGGTCTACCTTTCTGACTTGTGCCTGTGCTGGTCTTAGTATCTGAATTGGATGTATCTGATTTTGTTACTAAATTATCTGTATCTGTTGATGTAACTAAGTGCTGGGTGACTGTTTCTGTTACTGTTGCTGTTGATGTTGCTGTTGTGTCATTACCTAATTTCTTCTGCTTGTGCTCCTCGATGGAGTTGCCATTATTGGCCGCCGCCTCGGCAGCAGCTTCTGCATTCGATGTGGTTGTTGGTAGTTCCTTGGGATGTTTACCACCTTCCTTGGCTATCGAGGGTTCATTGTTGTTGCCATTGATTTGGGGAGGTGCTGTTTTTGGGGCGGCAGGTGTTGCTTCTACTGGTGCGGCTGCTGCTCCTTCTGTTTCTGATGGCTTCACTTCACTGACCACCACCTTCTCCTCCGTGGGCGATGTCTGCGTGGTTGTGGTTGCCTTGGCACTCGCATTCGTACCACTCAACTCGGGACGCTCCACTGATTTGGTGGTTACCCCATTCTCCGTGGGACTGCTGGGCGTGGCAGCTGCTACTGTTGCTACTGCTGCTGGGGATTCCGGAGGCGGTTCTGGTGTTGAAGAAACTGAATCAAATCGTGGCTCTTGCAGCGACGAGCTGGTGGATATCGCTAATTGTTGTGTCGTTTCGCGTGTTTTTATTTTTTTTGTTTTATTTTATTTATACGTTTTTGTTGTTGTTGTTGTTTGTGATGTTTGTTTGATTGTCAGATGCGTTTTGTTTTGTTTGTTATTTTCATTCAATTTGGTTTCGTTTTGTTTTGTTTTGTGGTTAGCATCATCATTCCAAACAAAAGTTTAAATAAATAAAAAAAGAGAGAAAACAAATCAAATAAAACTCAGGACATGCAAGTTAGGGCAAAGAGTAGGTTTCTCAAAACTCAATCGAAACTTTTGAAAAGCAACAAAGAACATGCAACATTCCATTTGTCAGTCGCTAGCAACCTGGGATATCTCATTTGCATGGCTTCTCCAAACTCAACTTTTAATTGGTTAAAAAGTAGATATAATAGTTTATAAAACCCATATATATAGTAGTATATATAACAAGATTAAAGCTAGCCCAGATCGCCAGACCGCCGCCAACAATTTCGTCTTTATTTACAAGCTAAATTGTCTACAAATGGAATGTTTTCGCAATGCCAGTGGTGGTTTTTTTTTTAGGTAAAATTTAAAACAAATAGTTAACAAAATTAGTTGCCAATAATAAAAAATAACAATTAAATCAAAAAATTTCATATAAATTGCCAAAAACTTGAGCGAAGTCATCCTCGTAGGGGTACAGTTCATAGAGTATATGCAGATTATATAGTGCGATTATCAGATATTGATATATATATCTATACATTCTATATATTGTGTATTATATTGAGTTCTTTATCATATAGTACATCGAATCAGAAATATATATTTATACTTTAATGGATTTTTTGCATATGATATTTGGTTTGTTGTTTGGTTTTTTTTTTGTACAGTTTTAAGCAATTTATAATGATTATTTTTTGTTTTTCGTTAAAGAAAAGACGTGGAAAATCAAGGAAAAGCAAAGAAACAAAAGATTTGATAAATAACAGAAAATACTTAGGTTTCTCATGGGAGAGATATATAGTAAGATATATAGCAGAAAATCAGTTTAGAAAAACCTGATAAAAGGACTTACGGCTGTTTGCCAAACTGGAGCCACCGTTTGTGGTAATTTGATTCTGATAGTTGCTGTTGATGTTGGCATTGTTTAACTTATTCACTGGCGACTGTACTGGACTCGATGTCTTGATGGGATTGCCTACATTCAAAAGGTTAGCTATAGTATGTCATATTTAATTATAAGTCTGGACAGCCTTACTTGTCTGTTTGCGTAGCGTATTAGAGCCGCGTTGCGATTCTGTGGCCAATTTGTCGACGATTGCCTCCAACTCCGAATAGATCTGGTAGCGAAAAGAGGAGATAAATTTGTATAAGTTGCTTGTGTTTACTTAGACAGTAGACGTCATAACAATAGTATTGTTTATTAAAGGAAAATTCTTAGAAAAATATTTGTAAAATTATATAAAACGCCTCCAGAAGTCAAAACTTTCCTTAAGTTAGGAGCAAAGTCTAGAAGTTTCTAATCTTTTTTCTTTAATTTACATTTCTTTTAAAATCATTCCAAGCTATTTTTTGATCCCACGTCTCATTCAATACCCACCTTAGCCGTTTCGTTGTGGAACACCTGTTCTGTGGCGAAAAGCGTCTGCAAGTTGGTGACCAGAAACAGTATCCTTGAGTCGTATAAGGCAGGCAGCTCATCGTGCAGTTCCGTGTTCAGGATTTCGTAGGTGCGTCTGGCCTCCTCAAGCTGTTCGCGTCCTTTGGTTAGCTAAAAGTTAAACCCAAAGTTAATATAAAACAAAATTTTTAAGTAATAAGAAAACTCACTTTAACATCATCTTTGCGCTTGTTGGCATTGGCCTGCAGATTCTGGAACGAGTGACGTTGGCCATCGTAGTCAATCAGCTTGCGGTTGCGCTTCTCCACTTTTTTCTGTTAAACATTTCACACATATTATAGATTTGCTTTATAAATTAGTAATAAATAAACATTACCTTCATTTCAGGAAACTGTCCGGTGTATGTGTTGAGCGGAATGAGGACTTGATCCCCCAATTTGTGCGCAAAGTCCGCCCACAGGCTCTCCGAGGCGCCCGTCTGTGCCTGCAACGCATCGTAGCCGCTCCATTGTGGCTCGTAGATCTCGCAAACGGCATCCATCAGCGACTTGGAGGCGGTTTGTGCAGCTGTTTAAGTATTTTTTTTTAGATTTATATTACTAAGCAAATGAAGAGCTCTTTTAGAGTAACTTACCGCGAACACATCTTATATAGTTATTGAACTCCTTTTGTAATCTGTTGGCACTCGCCTGCTGGCGGTTGAAGTTGTTCAGATGATCGTCGAAGATTTCATCTGCGGTGCGATCTACTTTGCCCAAGTTTTGTAGAATCTTTAAGTAAAAGAAAAAAGATTTTGATTAGATAAAAGTTAAGATATTGTAGTAGAGGGGATTGGCTTTAAAAAAGATCTAAGAAGCTCTTAATTAGAGATCAAGTTGTTTGTCAACAATTTTCCTTTTTTGGCCACTTCAAATTTAAACTCTGAATTGCATTTTTTTCTTCAAATTTCTGAATGAATATCAAATTCACTATTTGTTACGTGTGGGCACGGCAAGGTCGGTCAATAGCAGCATTTTTGAGTTGAAAAATGTTTGGAATGTGGGCAGCATTAAACTCGGCTTGAAGTAATTCAGTCATGCCTTCCACTCAACGGAACCACAAATGGCCCAAAAATAAAAATAAAATAGAATTATTTTGCAATTGTTGGCGCGGCTGATTTGTTGTTTTTTCTTGGTGTCGGAAAATAGAAAAACTCGCTAAATCTGTTGGCACATGCGGATCTCCGCAATCTATAGCTTATCGCTGGCAACAGTTTATCCACTTCAATGTGTGTTAAAAATGCCGCTGTCAACGGCATTTGGGTTAAGAACGATGTTATACTTATTTTTCTGCCTTTTTTCTGCGCCTCCGGTCAATTTGTGGCACTTATCCGTGCCACAGTTAATGGCTTTTCGACGACCAATTAACAGAACAGAAAAAAAAAACGCTGCAGAGAAAAAAAGATGAAAAGGGTGGCAGTGGCAGGAAATGCTGGGGGGCAGTTCTGCCTTTGGTAGTCGTCTGGCTGTACCATTGACAAAAAAAAACACTCAACCTTGTAACAGTTTTCGTCATCGTTACACTACAGAATAACGCCCACGCCTCAAAAGACTCAAAAGTGACTTGTTCACTCGGCCATCTGTGCGTATACGCAATGTGCTGGAAGATAGCCGACGATAAGCGGCGTATACTCTATTTGCTGAGATTCAACAGAAATGCTGGCCAAATATTTGAGGCCATACCAGTCCTATCTGAATTGGCCAAAAAAAAAAATGGCAGATAACAAGCCTGGCTAATTGAATTTTGCGCACAATTTCGGCAGATAAATAATTAGATATACCTGCAGGCAACTCTCAGGTGTTCATGACCATTTAAATAAATACACAGAGAGAAATTTGAATATGTTTACTAAGAGAACATTTGCAAAACTAGTAACTAGTTTATTCTATTAATATATCTTACTTTTAAGCCATAAGTGAAGCCAAAACCTATAGATTTCCATATTTTCGAAGTTTTAAAATGATTTTTCTTTTTCTGTATTTACTTTAACGATCGGAAGTTTTGATTTGGACTTCCTTTGAGGGCCAGCTTGATGTTGTTTCATCATAAAAAAAATCATTTTTTCGAGCATTTTAAGCCCCGTTATGAGCGATTGACAAATGAGCCGCGACATGTGGCACGCATATGGAATTAGCCAAGTCAGAAGGAAAGGTAAGAATGCCCCTATGAACGAGAACTTGAAATGCCCTAACACGTGCAAGCATATCTTATCTATGAGTTACTTAAAAGAGTTACTATTTATTATTTTATAGTCCAGTTCCGTGATGTTCTATGCTAATACCTAAAGTGCCAGCAATCAGTTGAATTACATTCTCAAGTGGCTAAATTGCCACAAATATTTCCATCAACTTTAAGTCAGTGTCCACACATCAGCAAGTCAAAGTTCTTTTCTTTGGCCAAGAGTAGTCAGCAAGTGCACCTTTTAAGGCCAAAAAAAAACACTATATGGCTTAAACAACAAACTGGTTGTGTTGCCTTAAGACACTTTTAATGACCATTTTCGTAATTGAAACCAAGCGGTTTGTGTTTCTGGTTAAGAACTTTGTTTACTTAACTTCCCTATTTGGTTGGCGATCTGTAAATCGGTTAAGTTAAGTGGGTGGAGTGGTCTGAGCTTATTGATTGTCTTATTAAAAGTTATTATCAAATTGTCTGGCTAAGAATGAAATAGATATTGTGATTATTTTGTTGCCAAGGCTGGAGTTCTTATCAGCTTCGTTTCGGTTTTCAAAAGTTAACTCAACAAGGACAGTTGTGGCTGGTCACTTCCGTTTTCAGGTTTCTCTGCTTTTGTAGTTTCTTTTTCGGTTAAAGCCATGTGTAATTTCTGTCACATTTTGCGTCATTCTTGGTAATTTTTTTTTTTTAGGTATATATTTAGAGACGCGCATATATAGTCTCTGTATAAGTGGAATGTCTGTCTCGGCAGATTTTGTCATTTATTTAAAAACTGACGTCGCTCTAACCCGCCTTCTGTTCTGCTCTCTCTCTCTCTCGATCTCTTTCGATCTCTTGCCAAAAATCATATTTGTATGCCTAGACTGGTCTATATATATAGATATATATGTTTGATGTATTCCTAATACGATATGAAACACCCATGCAACATGTGCGTTGCCTTCTTTCCACGCGGGGGATCCCGACCACAGACCAAAAATGGGTCAAATAAAAGCCTAAAGTTTGGTGGCTAATAAACTTGTAACCACGAAAAGGTTAAGCGGGCAATCAGTGTTAGTCAGAGATTCGATACCATATGGGTTAACTACCCACACGGGAAATAAAAAAGGGTATTAGAAGTCAGCTTAGTTTGAGTTTTATGTTCTAATGGGTATGAAAGTGGGTTTTAGGAAGAAGTTAATGTTTTTAGATCAAAGAAAATGTGTTTATAATAAAAACGATTAACCGCACTTAATATATGATTTTAAATCTGAATATTCAAACATTTTCTCTTAGTGCACTCTTAGGGGAACCTGCATTTTAACGTGGGCTTAACTTTAGGGTAACTTACGGTTAACCAGTTTGGCTGTCTGGCAACAGAAACAGAAAAAGAAACCAAAACTGAAACAGCAAAAGCAACGACCTCGAAGACAGTGGAAAATGACTCGTTTTGGTATGTTTTATGTGCAACACTTTAGGCGTAGGATGTGGGTCGTAGGATGAAAACTGAACTGAAATGGATGACAACATAGCGAGGCACAGCTGTTGGGGATTCGTTCTGCTGGTAGCAGGGAATCAACTGCAAAATCTAATGAAATGAAACGGAACGCTCAGCGAAGTGCAAACAAACAAAAGTTAAGTGCACATCGGCAATGTTGAGAGAGGGGAGGAGGAGGGATATGTGGGGCATGTTCATTCGCATTTGGCCATAAGCAGACGTTGGCCCAGTTTGCCAGGAATGCACAGTGGCAGACAGTGCCAGTTGCAAGTGAGACCCACATAACCAAGCAACAAGTCTATTACATGAAGTAGGCATGGGGGATACTCTATGGATGGTGTTTATTTACTTTGTTTAATAAATATATATATATCAATCTCTTGATTATTAAGGCATTTTCTTACAGTTAAAATGGTCTAAAAATAACTTTAAAGAAGTCTTCGGAAAGCACAAAAAATGTGATTAATTCTTAATGAGCAACGACAAGCTAAAATTGCTTTTGATTATTCATTTTCTGAGTAAAAGAAGACTTATAAATAATTTACTTACTGGTCTTTTTTATACTTTAATCATCACATTTTGACTTCTATATTTTATACAACAAAGAAAGATACCAAAAGCAGATAGATCTTGTATAATTTTACTACTCAAACCTTTAAGAATTGATAATAAATCAGATAAAAATCAAACTGAAAAAGGTTTTTATACTATCACAAATCTTTTCTTTATATTCTTTGATTTATTTTAACCTTTAACTTAATATATATATATACCCAATATCTCATATATACCCCAACTTCTCCCTACAAACTCCCTCCTAGTTGATAAACCCCATGTCTACCCTACACACAAATCACTGACTAGAGAAGGTTTTAAAACAAGTAAAAGATATACAGTTGTAAGCAGGCAAGTACATAGCTACAAGTATCTAACGATATATATATATATATACAGTATCTACATTGTCTACTTATACTGAGAACAAATAACAGACGCAGAACAATTGTGAAGAAAAACTTGTAGAAATTGGCATGAATAATGCGCCCGCCGGCGAAAAGCGAGAAAAGAGAAAGGGGATGGATGGCAGGAGAGGAGAAATGGCTAGAGAAATGTGGAAATGTGCCATGCCATGGGTGAGGGTGAGGGAAAAGTAAGGAGGGAAAAAAAGCACTGAGAAAGCAGTGGGGAAAGGAGGAAAAGGGGCCGCTGTCTAGAGATCACTGTGCCCAAAGAAGACTTTTTAGCCGGGCCAACGCGGACCCTCTTTCGCCTTGTGCCAGTGTTGAGGCCGCCCAGTTTAATGACATGTTTCTATAGCTAAATACAGTCAACAAAATGGCAAAGTGATTGAAAAATTAAAAAGTACTAATCTTGTATATATTAAATATTAATTTAGTTTTAGGAAAAGTCTTTTTAAATCTATGTTTCTAGGGATTCTTACTGCTAAACTCCAATCAAGTTTCTCTTAGTGCACCTTGGCACTTGTATCTCAGTATTGGCAACTATATAAGAATGTATCTGTGTTGGCCAAGCCAGAGACCTAACCTATTACCACAAAAGTACATTTTTCTTTACCCACTTTTTCTGTTGTTGTTGTTTCTGGGTAACTTGTTGCCCCGTTTGGTTAGCGGTGCTTATTGAGTCGATGATGACAGCGAAATATTATTTGTGGGCAGTAACCGGTTTTGGCACCTCGTCCAGACTATCCCCAACCCAAACCCCACTGAAACGCCACCCCCGAGAGTCATGTGACAGAGAACTGACATATGGTTATGGTAATTGCGATTAATAATGACTTCAAATGGTTATTAAGCTCGCATTAAGACGGAGACTGAAAATGAAAACTTAAATGGACACAGATTTCTTACATATGTAAATCGAATTCCGTTGCGCAACAACCGATGAACGAGATATCAATTCCCATTACCATTTTGCATAATCTTTGAGGCTCTCATTTCTGTGCTGTCTGTGAAGTATCTATATGTATATATATATATATATTTTATTCCATCGCTTTCTTTGGTCAAATCGGCTCAGGCAAGTGGAAAGTGAAACTCGTTTTTGTACTCGTAGAAA